GTTTTATTTCTAGTTTTAGAAAATATCTTTATATATAAACATATTTGAACATTTAAAAAAAAATTAAATAAACTAAATAGAGCTCCATAGGGAAATATAAACTGAAGCCTGCAAGATGCCCCTAAAAGCCTGAACTTGAACACTTGAATTTCAGATGTAAACTTGATCAGTCCTTGGTTCCAGAAGCTGATTATGCTCTCTCACCTGAGGTAATCACCCAGTTAGGTGACAGGTATTATTTTGAATTTCTGAATACTTTACAGAACCTTACACAGAATAATAATTTTTATTTGGAAAATAAAGATTATATTTAGTTCATAGTAAATATTGAGAGTACTGATATTTTATCCATGTTACAAATAACTAATGAACTAAACTATTTATCTTACAGAAATAAATGCGTGGTTTGTATAACTATATTCCTTATTCATTCTTGCTCAATCCATAGTCTAATTGGCACAGAAAAGATAGCCTCTCCTGATGTATATCATTTGATCATATGATTCGATTTTATTGTTTTTCCCAGAATGGCCAAAATCCAGGCCCAAATATTTCAGTAGTAAATTGACCATAATTTTCAACAGAATTTGTGTTTGTGTCACCAATTAAATTACTGGAATGACTTAAGTAAGCCTATTTTCTTTCCTTGCATATATATCAATGGGTACATAATTTTGACAGTTGTTAATAGGTTTCAAGAACAATATTCCCCTTATTCTAAGAAAACTCTGGCTTACTATTTACAGAATGCATAGTTCAGCCAAGAGAGGAAAAGAAAAAAAAAAAAAGCCATCTGTGATGGCAGAAAGAATGCTGGATAGCTTGATAAAATATGGTAATAGGACAAATGAAATACTAATTTATAGTGTAGGCTCTGCACCTGTGCTCATGCAGAAAATGTTTTCTCATGATAAAGACCTTCAGAAATCTACAAACACAGTAAATTTGGTCAGCTCAATAAAATCTAAACTGAGCCATGACATAACCATGCTCAAAGACTGCTGAAATGAAATCATGGCGAAAAAACATTCATAAACCCGGCATTAACTAAGGGTTATATAATTAAAAGTAATCAATATATCCATAACTGATTTTGATCCTGATTTGAACTAAACTATCTGAATCTAGCTTTTTCTCTGCAACAGATAACTATTTTGTCACCCTGGAACACTGGCATATACTGTTGCAGAAAAATAGTAACTGGAAGATTTAGGTTTACGCTATAGCAAAGGGGATTAATAACTTCTGAAAATACCGTGAGACTGCCAATGTTTATAGAATCATAGAATAGTTAGGGTTGGGAAGGACCTTAAGATCATCCAGTTCCAAACCCCCTGCCATGGTCAGGGACACCTCACACTAAACCATGTTACCCAAGGCTCTGTCCAACTGGCCTTCAACACTGCCAGGAATGGAGCATTCACAACTTCCCTGGGCAACCCATTCCAGTGCCTCACCACCCTTACAGTAAAGAATTTCCTCCTTATATCCAATCTAAACTTCCCCTGTTTTAAGTTTGAACCCGTTACCCCTTGTCCTATCACTACAGTCCCTAATGAAGAGTCCATCCACAGCACCCCTATAGTCCCCCTTCAGATACTGGAATGTTGCTATGATGTCTCCATGCAGCCTTCTCTTCTCCAGGATGAACTGTCCCAACTTTCTCAGCCTGTCTTCATACTGAATAATTTTAGATTCTGCAGAGGTAATCTATAAGTAAATTTCCCTTGATCTTTTTAATTTTTAGTGAAACAAATGTTTTAAAAAACAACCATGTAATTTTAATGTGCAAAAATTGTATACTGCTCTAGGATTAAAGTCTAATGGCTTCTTTTTTGAAGGGTAGTATCTTAATTTTCCATTTATTTCAGTGGGATTATTGGTTAATCAGCATTTTAAAACATGATGGTAAAATATTCTACTCTTTAATAAATTATTTGGATTTCACAATTGCAGTTACTACCGATTTCAAATGGATTTCTTTAGCAGAAATGAAGTAGAACACTCAACTTTTCTTAGTACAAGAATCAGCAATCTACCTGACCAAAATCCACAATTTTTTGCCCATTGTTTATTTTGACACATATGAATAAAAACAACAGGTGGGAGAATAAACTTCCAAGACAACATGAGCTTCAAAAACTTTTGCCCACTCAGTGTCATTTTAGTTCTGTGCAGTTGTGTTTATGTATGTTTGTACCATGTTTAATCTATTAATGCAGGAAACCCACCTTTTTCCCTGTAGAATTACTCTCTGACAATTTTCACTTAAAGAGATGACCACTATTACCAAATTGAATGATATCTCAAAATTGTCATTAAACAGAACATGCAGTGTTTGACGTAATATTATTACATCATACCTAATGATCAAAAGTGGTAGTGACAAAAAAACCCTCCTTTATATAAATACAAACCAATATATATTTATCAGTCAGTCGCTGGATGCTTGCTGCTGTATATATGTTTGTGAGACAACCACAATTTTATGAGAATCTACCATGCTAGAGAGAACCAATTTTTATATGTTTACGGTTCCTATATCTTTCTGACAGCTCTTCCCAAGAAACACTGGGGAGAATTAAAATCCAGGAGAGCATGATCATTCTAAATTCACACTTTGATATCAGAAATATATTAGGTCCAACAAAGTAAGAAATGCAAATCTGTCATAAGCCACATAATTAAAGGTCTTTTTCAATGCAGTCTTGCTATATTTATTCAGTGAATCATAATGAATTGCAAAATATACAGTACAACTAAATCCTCATTGATTCATAATAACTTTCAATTGTTAAACGTGTTGAATACTTTATCAATTACAAATAAAAATGCAGCAGTTCTCTAAGTCTTTTGCCTTAAAAATAAATTCCTTTTTTAATTTTTAGGATATGGTTTTATTCTGTTGGTGGATTAAAATAGAAAAATCTCTGAGAAAGATAGTTTTGCTGGTATATGCATGTGTTCATGTGAATAGATTGAATTTTAATTTTTCTTTTGTATTTTAAGGTCTCACACAAACAATTAATTAATCCTCACAACATCCCTGTGAGGTAGGTATTTAGGCAGTATTAAAAAAATAAAAAATTACCAAGATTCAGCAAAACCAAAACAGTAGTAAGGCAGCTCTCAGTTTCCACTCTGATCTTTGCTAGGAAAATATACTGCCTCTCACCAATTTTAGTAGCTTCTGTAAAACTTCTAAAATATTTCATATGAATATTACCTTGGTCATTGTCAACAGAGCAAGATTTTTTCATGAGAAATTAGAAAGATACAGTAATTATCCTGTATACACATAAATGACCTCATTTCCCAGATACTAACAAGTAGTCTTCCTGCATGAAATGCTAGAGGATATTTTAAAATTTAACCATTAGAAGGATAGAAAGATATAAATTGCATATTTTAACAAAAGAAAAAACCATGTAATTGTTACATGGCTTTAAAAAGTTGATGACTGTATTCCTTTGACCAACTCAAAAGCACTTGTGCTGATGTATCTGCCTTACATATTTAAAAGAAATATATGCTAATATGTAGTTTTATTAATTTACTAGTAAAATTTTATAATGGATATACTCATCCTCTTCCATGGTAGGTCGTGGGTGACAGAGAAAGCACACTGACAGCAGAATGTTTTTATATAAATTGCATGTACATCCTTATTTCTTACTTGCTTATCAAAGAAACAAATATATTCATTATAAAAAAAAAGACTCATTTACAAGACAAAGTGAAGTCTGCTCTAGCTCCATTTCAATATAAACAATTTGCAACTGATTACATTCATCAAGTTTAATATAAACCATAGTAATCTGAAAAAAGTAATAATATGGAACAAGATTTAATAACATACAAACCAAAGTTAATGTTTCTCTGATTGTTTCCATGTTTCCATTAACTGAATAGCTATTCCAATTATTATTTTTATATATACATTATGTAACTTAATGGTAGAAAAGTTTAAAATACACAATTATTGCTGATTTTTGAAAGCTTTTTTTTTTTTTACAGTCAACAATATATCAGTTAGAAATAACACTTCATGTATTTAAATTTTCATCATCCTGCCAGTAACCCCCCTCTGCAATCTAGGTGCATTTAAAAATAAATAAATAAAGTTATATTTTGTTAAAACACCCCCTTACCACTAACACTTTTAAGATTACAGAAGAGCACATAATGCAACAACTTCCTTGAGAGAAAATATTATCTCTCTTCATACAAAATCAAAAGCCCAGGAGGCAATGAGCAGAATAGCAATGAAAAACTGCCTTGTAACTGCAAAAGCAATCTCTGGTAAACTTTAAATGGGTAGCACCCAATACAGATTTTTATCATGAATCTGGAATAGTGTCCCTTTTATTCATCCAGTTACTGCAGCATGTATAAACCAGTAAGAATACTTATATTTTACATACAACTAAAGAACCCAAAATCAGAAGATAGAAAGTCAGTTCATAAAATTATGGCTTAATTCCAGAAAATTTAAAAGTACACTTTCTTGCAAAAACTCTTTTGAGAATTAAAGCATTTGAAGAAGAAGCCAGGTATGTATAGTGTTGTAAGAGTTTTTTTTTAATCTCTTCCTAAAGTGGTTATAACATATTATCGACAAAAAAAAAAAAAAAAATAAATTAAAATTGGCATGGGATGGGTAGTTTGGAAAAGACAGTTCTTGTGGTTTACACATTCACTGAACAAAATAGATGCATGGCAAGCTGATGTTTTTAAACTGGAAAATGTTATGGAAAAATAATGAGGCAACAGAAATAAACATATTTTCATTGCTGAGTTTTTTGTAATTGGCTGATTTAACTTACAGGTAATTTTAAGACCATAATAGAGAACTATTAGAGTATAAAGATTCCCCTACTTGCAGACCATAGGGTTTCTCTTGTAAATATCTGAAGAGTTGACCCTGAAGCTCTCATTGTTAGTAGAATGCTGTTAGTAGTAGCAGTTGCAAACATACAGGTTTGCCAGTAACAACTCACAATTTGTGCATAGTTGAGTCTTCGAAACTGAGTAAATTTGCTCTCAAAATCTCGCCAGCGCTTGCTGAGCTGTATCAGGGTTGGCTCCACTGCTTTTGCAGCCCCATCCTTAGACAAGCGTTCAGCTTGCCTGTGCACCGCATTCAGATCTTCCTTCTTCTTCTCCAATTCTCCATCAATCTCCTGGTGAGCAAAACCAATACAGGGCCCAGGACAGTTAGCTAACTAAATCAATCAACTTAAAATTAGCAAAATACTTCTGTCAGAAACTTCATTTCCATTTTATTGTTACAAGTAAAATTTACAACTATTTCATGTCTTATTTTACATTCAAACAAAAAAAATAACGGAAATTGAATAACTTTCTTGGAGATTGGCTGTAGAGGTATCACAGCTAGTGCACACTGAAAACTGGTTATCAAAGGGCAACAGTTTCAATTTTCAGATTCTTGGTAACACACTTTGATGGGCAATTGGAGAAATTATTTTCTCAATAAGGGTCAGCATATTCAAGACAAATAGTGTTTGGACAGATGAGAAATATATAAGCTGGTTCTTTAATATATTACTTAACTCCAATTTTACTCTGTGGGAAACTCAACAGAGAATGAAGCAAAGAAAGACGATGCAAAATAAACTAGGAAAACCTTTGACAGTATGTAAATAAATCTATAGAGTTTGACAGTGACACATGAATATGTTCTGATGAAAATGAATGTGCTAACATGAGATAGAGGTCATCCATATATCGGAAAGTCATTTGTTCATCTGGAACAAAGATACATAAAAAAAATTAAAATTTTTACTAGAAAACATTTGATGCTTCTTAATATATCACACACTTTCCATATTATTGACAAAACATTTTATTGTTTCAAATTATTTATATAACATTCTGTATAAAAAACAAATACAAGATCTAGTACAAAAAGAAATGTCAGTTTGAACAGAGGTAATTAGGTTTTGTTTTAATATAGAAATGAAGAACGAACTGATAATATCTATATCTATTGGAATATTTGTTGCATTTGCTGTCTGATAAATTGATAAACTATTACTCAAAAGATCTACCATTGCCATTCCATAACAACATTACCTTTAGCTTCTGCTCATCTCTGTGGTCTGGTAGACTGGCTAACTTTTTCTCAATGTCATCCAGCCATGTCATTAGGTCATCAGCCTGCCTCTTGTACTGATACCATTGATGAGAAATCTCTAAAGCCTTTTTTCTTCTTTGAGATCTCAAGTCCTGTTCACAGTGCAGACATTATTAGAATATGAATTAAAGGCTTATAAAGTATGAACTGGCATGTGTGCACATTGAAGGGGAAAAATGCACACAAGGCCACTATTTTATTTTAATTAAATGTTGCTACTTAAATCAAGTATCTAAGTATCTCAACACAGCCTATTTTCCTCAGTTTAACAGCATATAAGCAACCAAACACAGCACATTTTCATCTGTTTAACAGATTAATTTTTTTTCTTTTAAAGGATGTTACTTAATTCATGGTTGTTCACATGTTGAACAAACCACTGAGACAGTCACCAATATTCAGAGAAGTTAAGACTCTTACATAAATGTCAGTATTTTATATACAACACTTCTGCTCAGAATACTTACTGGACAGATGGAAACACAGCCCACTTTGTATCTAGCCATAAGTGGGCTTCATGTGTTTTCTAGTCTCCTGTGAAATTCTAGCCTGCATGCAAACTATGTAACTATTCAAAAAAAAATAATTTCAATGCTGTATGCAAAGACAGCTTTCCTTTTCCTAAATTAAATACAATTTACATAACTAATGTGTCTATGACTCAGCTTTATAAAAATATTAAAACCTTAAGAGGAAGGTAAAAAAAGTTTATTTTATTTCATAGAAATATTATTAAATATACTCCATTTGCATTTATCTACTTTAATTTCGTATGTGCTCATACAAAATTCAGAAAATATTTTCATTACTGTAACTTCTTATTAAGAAGTAAATTAAAAAAAAATTTACTGGTACATTCTATATAAAAATACTCGGATGAATTTGCCTCAGCTGTTCTTGAATTTTATTTGAAAAGGTTGAATGACTTAACAGAGTCACCCAAAGGAAAATCAATCACTGTATTCCACAGAAACAGACAGTAAGAATCTAGTTAATAGCACAGTTCTAGAAACAGTTTTCTTGTTTCTCCTCCATAAAAAAATGTTAATTACTTCCATTTAGCTTGGAATAGTCAAAGACAGACTTAACAGATTGTAAGTTTCTTTTAAATGTGGACAAAACAAAGGTACATTCAAGCTATTCTTTTACTGAATACAATCAGATCTGCAAAACTAAAAATGAGAATGAAATCCATAGCAAAGGAAAGGTGTTGCTTAAAAATAAGTAATAATAAAATTTAACCATGCCACATTCACCAAGCTGAGAACAAATGAATACAAATTTTCAAAAGAGAGAAGAATTCTGCTTGCAATAGATGAAAGATTCTTCTATAGTAGCCAGAGCCTACAGCTCAAGGCAGGTGACCAAGGTAAACCTTCTAAGTGTAAGATTCTTTCTTTCCTCACTTTTATTTTCCCCTGGATAATTACACTCCCAATTATAACTACAAGTTTGTCCAAATAGGTCTCACTTGTGGATGTTTCTAGGAACAGTATCATACAGATATACCTCCAGGAGTATGGTAACACAGAATTCTGATACATAACTGGTTTTCAGCCTCTTAGTTCCTAGGTCTATTGGCAATACCACCTACCTAGAAAGGCTGGAGCCACTTTTCCCACTAAAGAACACAGTATGTAAATCTTTTACTAAAGGATAAAATAACTTACTCATTGACAGAATTGTTAACTGAAAACATAAGTTTGTGAGAACTGATTCTAACTAACATCTAGACTGCTGTTGGAGAAACATAAAACATGCATAATGTGTTAAAGAAGGAATTCTTTTCAAAGAAATCATTGTCCAACTGGCAATCACATGGTCGTAACACTGAAGACAAAACGTACTTGTTAAGATGGAGATTTGAAATGTCTTTTCCAAGGCATCGAGAGAAGTATATAAGAAAATACATGTTTACAGCCAAATACTCATTTCTAAATAGTAATGAAGATTCTCTTAACAGAACAATGTCCTGAAATTTATACAAAAAAGGTTTTAGTAGCATGTGCTTATAATTCTAGCTCCTATACCTTGAGAGTATTATGTTTACTCTGCAACAGCTGTTGTTTTATCTTTATTTCCTCACGTTTTCTCTCATCCGTGATTCTCTTTTGAAGTGTGTCACCCCTTTGCAGCAATTCTTTCACTGTGCTTTCGTCTTCTTCACTCTGATTTTAAGAAAAAAAATAAAACAACAAAAAACAACAACAAAAGCCAGTATAATGGGCATTTAAATCTAATTATTATTTAAGTCCTAGGAGAAACAGACATGTAAGGCTACACTTTCTATGCTAAGGTAATCATTTAACAGCTATTTGCAGTTCTATACTGAAGCCAAAATATGTTTTACTTACTTTCTACAATATATATAGACATTTTATGGGTACATGTAAAACAGCACATGAAAACCTATAGATATTTGATATTAGATTTTATACAGCAACCCGGATAATGGGATGAAAACATTAAAGGCAAAAAGGTAAAATATATTTTGCTTAAAAAAAACACATATATATCTAAAATACTCTAAATCACTGTCAGTAGTCACTGAAATTGCCAGTATGCTAGCATGTCATTCCTGACCATTTCTTGTATCACCACAGTGCAAAACAGCTTTTCTGACAGGCAAAACACTACCACTAAGTAGTTTTTACATAGAAGTTATATCTATGCCACAGCTTCTGGGAGTGTTTCTCTTGAAGTGCACCAAATGTTTTACATAAGGAAAGGGAACAAAATATACCTAAGCAGTAGAAACTGCTCTGTCAAACTTGATTCACTTAGAATTTACCACTGCAATACATACTGCCTTAAATTTTATTTTTCCTGCATAAATAAAAAGAAAAAAATCCTTTAAAGATTCATTTCAGCATTGATATAAAATAGCTAGGTTTGAAGAATTACTTAAATGGAAAAGAATACTGACTCTTTATATTTCTTGTAAAGAAATAATCTGATCTTGCTGAGAACTCATTTAGAAAGAGTTCTAAAGACGAATCTGTGCTACTGCTCAGCCAAGAAATGTCATCCCTCTGAAAATCATTCTGGAGAAAACACACAATAGTGGCAGCAGTAGCAGAGCACAACAGTATTTTACTCCTCTCCTTTTGGTTCCCCCCACCAATATGTATAGCTTTTTAATTGCAAGTTTTCTACTTGCAACAAGAAAATATGAGTAATAAAGCTTACCACAGCCACAAAGACTATTCACAATAAGTGGTATAATCAGATTGATTAAGAACTAATTGGCAAACGGCATTTCTTTCAATGATCATTACCTAGCATTTGTTCTTAGTGAATGTCTTCGTTGACTATATTGCCCATTTAGACACATCATTATGAGTTTTCTTGGACTTTATACCCCTATGAAGATTTTAATATTCATTCCCTATTCTGTAATATTTCTGGTAGTAGTACAGGACCCGTACATAATATTTCTGGTTTGCTTAGTATTTTCACTAGGGTTGAAAAATATTTTTCTTATAAACTAATAATTAATTTAACACTAAAACTTTTAGTTAATGATAACGTGGGACTTTTGATAATATATTAGCACAGTAAAAATTTTGTCCTAGTGCTATCTAAAGATCCTAATACAAATATGGAAGTTTCTAATTTTCACTCGCTTGTTTTTATCTCCTTATTTCACTCAGACTTCCATTTCAACCAAATTACCATATCTTTATTGAAGTCCTCCTCCTTCAGATTCACGCCCTGCTGAATTTCAACCTCCAGCGGTTCAAGCATTTTTTGTATATCGAAGTCAAATTGCTCCAGTTCCTTCAAAGGAATGAAGGGCTAGAATGGGAGAAATACAAAGATCATTTATTTAAATTATATAACTTAGTAGTTATACAAAAAAACCTCAACTAAACAAAACAGAAAAAAAATCCTCCAAAATGAATCACACAGCATAATTATGGTGCTTTTGTTCAGCATTCAGTTTTAAATTCTAAATCAAACACCACTTATTAACAATACACTGCCCTTTATCTACCTGGTACCCAAGTGCCTGTGGATAGTTTAATGTACAATATGCAATATACTTATTAAATGTATTGCAAAGAATCAACAGAAAAAAGCTTTCTTCTTTCAAAGCTTTAAACACAAGAATAAACAATAGATTCTTGATGATGCATAAAATTTGAAGAGAAATAATGCTTTAAGATGTTCTAGGAACTCTTGGACATACAACTGTCTTCTTGCTAAAGACATAAGCACATTATATTCTAGTCAGTTCTACCTTACTCTTCCCTCCAGTACAATTGGTATTTATTATAAAGGAAATGTTTTTAGTGAGGATGGTAACTATAAAAGTTAATCAGTTAAAACAAGAGACCGTACTTCAGCTGTAATCTATTCTCAGCTGTTCTACAGATGATCTGGGAGAATTATGGTAAAAATGCCTTAGTTTTAGCTGGTTGATTGTTTTAATGACAAAAATTTTGAACACTTATGAACATTAACTGAAATATAATAACGCATGGTATTTGTAGAGAATAATATTGTGCTAGCAAATTTTCATCAAGAATCTCAGAATTACACATTTTTTCATATGCTCTGAAGGATGTCTTCAAAAGTACTAAAGTCTCACTGAAAGACAAATCAAGTAATAAAACTGGAATATAAAAATTACTAGTCTCTAAAAATGTGAAGAATAACAACAAAGGGAAAAATGGGAGGAAAAATACTAAATGAAATTCCAATAATTGAATGAGGTGAAAAGTCCACTTGTAAATGTTAAATCTTATTTTAGTATTCTATGATCATTTTATTAACTCAGGACACAACAATTATGTACTACCATTTAGAGACTTCATGAGTCATTTCTTTTTTACTTCACTGATGTACTGGGAATTGTAAGCATTTGAAAATATATAGCAAATTTAAAAACAGATGTGAATTGATTGAAAATAGATTATGAGAGCTTATTATCCTCTTGAATTTATTTTTTTAATTTGTTGCTCACCAAGTGAATAATTTTACCTAAGTATGAAAAAAAATTGAACCACTAAGGAAGCATAATATCACCTTGTAAGAATAATAATTTCTCAGCGCATAAAACTAAAATTATAACTAATGGAAGTACAGTTACCTACATTATACAGGTGGACAAAACGAGGTAGCCAGCAAATTAGTCCTTTAGCCTAATGCATACAGCAAATCAGTAGAATCGCCAAGAGGTCTAGACAAGCTTTTGCTGCTCTATCTTACACAATACTAATTACGATGGATATCCCTTTTGAACCATACCCTAGCTGTCCATTCCCCAAGGTCCTGGAAAAGGTTCCCTAAATTCTAATTTGCTATTAAAATTATGTGCTGTAGTAATTACTCTCATCTTGCTAGATATATAGTGTATAAAGCTTAGTGAGGTGCTGCCATTCCAGCAGCCTATACAATCACCTCGCCTATAAAATCATAAATAGAACACCTGAGAGAAAAGGTTGCCAGGTGGAAGCAGTCTGCAGTGTTCTGAAGACACTTCATGTATCTTGACAATCATCTTTTCCCACTTCTGTGGGTGAACCCACAACATGCAATGCAAAGAGTTAACCCACGATAAAGCATCTACAGTCAGTACCATTTTTCTGTAAGACAAGCAATAATTTCACACAACTCTATCAAAGGCTGCATCAGCCCTGTATGCTTACAGCATTGTGGAAGTGCAAGGCAAAACTGCAAATGAAATCCAAACTGCAGATAGCAGATGTTCAGAATAAAACATTACACAACACAATTGCTTGGGCTTTGTGCCAAGATGTTCTTGGTCTACAGTTTGTACTTGTACAAGAAGAAAGTGAGAAGCACACTGGAACGGTTCAAGTGCTACTGATGGCAAACAGGAAAAAAAATAATTATTTATAGGACATATTTTTCCATTCCAGAAGCGAAACCTAAACAAACTCAAATATCTATAAAGAATGTGCTGGTTGCATAGGGTATTGAGCCCTGCATAAACCCCTGCATAAAATAACTCATGAAAACCACGTCTCTTTGTATATGCTTTTTGCAAAGCTTATTTCCTGCTCTGTCACTGAACCTCTGTGCATTTATTTCTGTTGCAATTAAAGTAGCCAGTAAAAATAGTTAAGATTAGGATCCATACATTCCCATTATCCTATATACTAAGTTTCTTGGCTGCCTGCTTTAAAATCTGCTGAATAGTTCTCTGCAGTAAAGGCAACAAATACAGTGGAGAAAGTAGGTGGTTTATGTCTTTCATCATTCCAATTCAGAAGTCACAATTTAGCTAAAAACTACTTAATCCATACTGAATTCAGTAGGGATTCAGATTCAGTCATCAAGCTAGCTGTAGAGGTGAGTAGCTGGAGTATAATTAAAATAGTCTGCATATCTATCTATCGATTGATCTCTATCTCAAATCTTGGTGAGTCACAGCCTCACAGGAAAGACTGAGAACATTTAATGAGAAATTAACCCTCAAAAGCCAATGTGTATAAATAAAGGCTAATCGTACTTTAACAAGATTAAGAATCTTGCTAATTCCCAGATGTTCAGTCTTTGTAAACTACTGAAGTAATTGTTAAATTCACATAAGGTCAGTGAATGCTTCTAATTCTGAGCAGTGAAGTATGACCTTAGTGCCAAAACACACTTTAAAAGAAAAAAAAATTAATTCTTAGTATCTACATTTTTTTCCATTAAAAGCTTAGGTTTCGGAGAAACTTCAGCCCGCAATATAGTTGTAATTGGGCACCTTGCATAAATACCGTTTTGTATGCACCTCCATATGGAAGCAAGCCCTCCTACCTTTCCACTCTTAATTCTTTGTGATATAGTTGCAAATCGCTGGTTGAGCTCTGACAGTTTAGGCTCTATTACTTTCCTGCAGTGATCTCCACGGTTTGTCATCAAGTCTATCGCCTGGTCACGCACAGAGTCCACCTTTGGATGCATATCATTCAGCTCAGCCTTTAAGCGCTACAGTCCGTGAGCAAGAGACAGGGCTTGAAGTTAGTAATAAATGCAAAGAGAGAGAAAGAGAGAGAGAGAAAGTGTGCAAAGGAATAGGGAGCAAAACCACAAAGCAAATTCAGATAATTACTCAGGAGTGTGTAAATCCAGTAGAAACCCATTAGGTAACATTCCCACTCGTATCCCTCAAATTTATAGCAGGAATGTATCTACATGTCTGTTTTATTATCTCCTAGTGGAAATTAATGATGAACATTATTTCTAGGCAGGCTCTTACCTGCAATAATACAATCCTCAGCACATTTCATGATACGCTAAATTATGTTATGTTCCCAGTGCTAGGAAAAGCTGCTAATTCATGTATTATGGAACTGGATGTATACCTGTTGCTTTCAATTCTGTTTATGGCCATAGTTGTGGCAGGGAAAATTGACCAGATGAAAAACAATGTGGTTTGGATTTTTTTTCCTATAAATCTATCACAATTTTTTATTTTTTTTTTTTTAAAGGGGACAAATACATTATTCCTCTGCAATAGTAAACAGTAGATCGCAGTATGGGCAGAGGCTGAAAAAGATAGCCAGGCATTCAGGAATCATGAACACAGTTGGGCATTAAGAATTACATTTCACTGTCTGTATGAAAAGCCTTTGTGAAATACAAACATATATAACTATTGCTGGCAAAGATAATTGCACTTTTTACGTGATGGTGGCAAAATTGTTCATTAAGCCACAAAACTGTGTCTCATAATCCTGCTGAGATCAATGAGGCATTGATTTATGCTCTGCCTTGGAATTTGTAAAGTTTTCCTTTAGTAAATGGTATCATTATGTTAGTGTCAGCAATACAGTTCTGATTCTTATTTGCAAACTGTTCCTCAGATAGTATGTGTTGACCATAGGGTTCAATACAAAGTGAAACTTCACAGTGATTTAGGAAGTAAAAAACCAATCCATATAGATAACTTTTTGAAGTTGTTTAATGTTGACAAAGGAGGTATTTAAAATGAGTTTAAAATTTGCATCTATCTTGCAACTTCTGATCAATACACTAACACATTATTATGCAGCTAGTGTGGTGGTGTTCTGGCATGAAAGCAAACGGTGTTTGTAGAATTAAAACAATTATATCACAAAGATATCAAATGCAGATACCATGAATATTAGGAAAGTATAAGAGAAAAAAGAAAATACATAAAAAATGAAGAACACGCAAAAAAGGATCTTGTTCAACCAGATGTGTTTAAGGAGTATTTTCCAGTAAACAAAGGTTTAATAAGGTGCTGTTCTACTCACCAGGAAGTCCCCAAGATTTATAATAACATATCTGGTTTTATTTCTGCAGGGATTTAACTTTCGTAATGCAGTGCAAATTTATTAGGTAATCTACAAGCTGCCAGAGGGTAGCTTTAACATAGAAAAAGATGTTAATCAATCTGTGATACCTTTCCAAATATGCTAGTTTTGACACAGTCTCTTTTAGAATAAAATTAATACTTTCGAGAATATCATGTTTTTTTTTACCTTAAGACTTTCCTCTTTTTGGTGGGGTTTTTGTTTATCAGATTCATCCAACAGTATTTCAGCACGATACATCCAAGTTGTGACATTAGCTAGATTCTGATCAAAAGCCTCCATGTGCTTTTGATATTCCTGCAATGTGGAAAAGGTAAATACTGCATACAAAAAAAGTAATCAGAATTGAAATTATAGGTGCAATTATGCTCAGTATGGCAAACATGCACACGTTATGAAATTAATTTTTTTTACACAGTAATTTCTTGTTTTGTGAAGGATAGAATCTGTTGTTTGTTTGCTATCACTTTATATATTAACTTCCTTTAAAAAGACATTCTAGGGGAGAGATAAACTTCCAAAGAGACAGGCAGGAGGGTGATAAAATCACACACAGCAAGATGCAGGTGGCTGCAGCTCAGCCAGACTGCTGAGAGGAACAGGAAGCAGACAGATAGACCTATTGAAGATGGAAAGAATTGTTTCCCAAGAAGCAGGTACAGAATTCATTTGGAAAGCCAAAGTTGATTAAACCTCATAGTAACAAGATGCACTTCACAATCAAGAATAGGAGCTCTGTATCTAAAACTCTTATTTTCATTTCATCTAACTTCTCTGCTTTGAGACTCTGCTTTTTAAAAATGCTTTTTGACATTCTGATTTTTTTTCTTTTCCCCTCTACTTAATTTAAAAACATTTTGTCTTTGTGGGTGTGCTGACTAGAATGAGGCACATGCATATCCACACCATCACCACACCTATGTGTACCACACACCTGAGATCAAAGATTTTACTAGTCCTTTTGACCTCCACATCTTTGTATCTTTATTTTACACTGTTTTAAAATCAGCACAAGACCAAATCTCTCTCTTAGACTTTTTTATCATGGGTTCTAGTAAATATTAACAAAAGAATCCAAAGCAGAGAAAGTAAAGGAATGCATAAATATGTCAGACTATAAACCCCATTACATGTTTCTTATAACTAGTTTCACATTGAAGCTGAGCACCTACATCACACTGAATTAAACGCTTAAGTTTTCCAGATAATTTCACTTGTATATTGTATACAGCTAAAGAAGCCCTGTAGTGATGCTGTATTTTTATTGCAGAAGCATTTTTAATGGAGGCACACAGACTCTAGTGGAGTTTTAATCCATCAAGCTCTGAAAAGTCATGATAACAGTTAATACACCCTTGAGAACCACTTCAGTTTCTCTGGTTTGAAACTGCATTCCAATGGTCTCAGCAACAGAAACAGCATACAAGATATCCCAAAGCGTTCTTGCAGCCCAGTGGTCAAGATTTATTTCACTTGTTTCATATTCAAGTAATCTAGGTCCTTTGGAAGAAACTTTATTTCATGTGTTAGGAAAAGAAACAAAAACCAATCCAACAATAAAACCCCGACTAAAACCCAAACAGAATATAACAATCCCAGAACTACTGTGGCAGACAGGAATGGGAAGCGTTAACAATCAAAGCTGGACAGAGCCATCACTCAGTAAGCAGTCAGATTCTTAAAATATATACAATGTCCTAAACAACAAACGATCTGATTGTCTGTGTACCTACGTATTGAATAAACGTAGTCCATGGCACCAGAAAAAGCATTTCTGTAAGGCTGAGCACCTATGACTGAGCACCAACGTTTCCTCTGAACAAATGCATTTTTCTTACCAGTAACAGATTGAACCATTCCTCAGCACGTGATGTTACTGCTATCCAATTACTGTTCAGGAGGATGAGCTTGTTCTCCACTAGACTTTCCCTCCCTTTCAGCACTGTCTTCAAATTCTCTCCTAAATCACTGATGCTCTTGAGCTGGACCTGGCGTTTCTCAATCTCCTTCCGTGTTGCCTACATGAGCAGAATGAAAAATAAAAGTTCAGGAAATTAAAAATTCTCCACACTAAGAACATGATATATTTAAACAGCCAGTAAGTTCACACTAAAATACAAACTCTTACTTCCTATAGGAAGGGAAAGCATTCTGTGAAGAAGAGTAAGTTTAAAGCAAACTGCTCCTCTTTAGCCCTGACAACATTGTAGACGCTTTCTGACAAAATTGTAAATGCTTTCCATAGCCTCGCAATATTTTTTTGTAATTGTTTAATTTTAAAAGGTGTGAGTTATCTCTCACTCCAGTGCTCAAACTGTTGTTTTAATAATTAATTATTAAACAAGTATCCATGTTTTATAATATTTATATTGCAATGTTTAAAGTTACTTTGCATATAATAAAATGGCATAGTTTTCAAATTGCACATAAAGTTTACATTATAAATGGAACAAAAATAAAACATCTTGATGCTATTTTAAGACTTGGAGAACTCCATTGAAAATATTCTAGTGAAATATTTTAATATTCCTTTAACATTTTCCAATGAAATCTTTTTCAACAGAAGCCATGCCCTTCTCTTTTAAAAGATTTCTTAACTGCAGAAATACATCTTTTTATTACTTTCACATGGGACTTCACTCTGAGAACTAAAATAGTAAAATAAGCTATTGTTCACAGCATCTCTAAGCTTGAATGACTAAAATACATGTATAAGACCAGATTTCCAGCATCTAAACCCACTATTATTTTACCTCATATAAACAGCTTTAAATGATATGTCAGGTCATATAATTATTCATGTCTTAATATTTTTTTGCAACCACACAGTGCAGAATATAACAATCTTGCTGTATACTTAAGGAGAGGCACAAATTTTGTGCACCTAGTATCACATATAACTATTTTTATGAGAGAAATTTATCTGAGCTCCTTTGCACCCGATAGCAATGATCCAGACATATATGATCTCTGCTTATAAAATAAACCTTCACCTAGAAGTTAAATGGTCCAAACTGAACACAAACAGAAGCTAGGAGAAAAGTAAGAATCACTCGTCTCCAGATATACTGACTTCTCAAAGATAACTTGAATACACTAAAAGAAGAACCACTTCTATTCAAACTGCAATCACAGTTATTCCATCTCAGGATCAACACTGTTACTGCAGTAAAACCTCACCTTTATATCCTCCACCCTATCACACCTCTCATGGTCACACATCAGTACAATTTCATTGATAATTCCATTTCTAGGAAAGTAAAATTTTCAGTTTGCAGTAAATACAGTATAGAAATTATTCTTTTTGGTACAATATAGTCATAATAATACCTCCAAGTTGGCATAAATAATGTTTAAAGCAGCAGCTCACATTCTATGTTTAGTAGAATAAACGATCTGATTTTGTAATGTTATTTCACAGGAAAAGTTTTATACTTGAATTTCATTGAATTTTCCACATTCTATCATTTTTTTCAAATACACAGGAAATTTAATAGAACCAAGACATGATTAATGCAAATTATTAACTAGAAAATACATAATTATAGAATTTGAAATTCTATCGAATTGAGAGTTTCAAATTTCAAAAGGTTCTTGACAGATTAAAGGAAAAAACATGTCCTTTTCTAGCGCAATTTTAACTGTTTCACAGCAGGTACAAAATGCCATCATTAAAAAAAAAACAATAAGGCAAAGAATATGCAAAATTTTGATCAGCTTGATTATCTTTTCTGAGCAACTTACTTCCATTTGGAAAAGAATTGCTGAAGCATATTTACTATGGGTTGTGGTTTCCTTTGTAGTTTACATGTATAAAAACTCAGAGCAGTCTTTAGCTATACATAAAAATCTTAATGCTAATTAGAAATGTAAATTGAGGGATCGGTTTATTAAATTTCTATTTAACAAAACTGCTACCCAAAAACAGGATGTGTAATTCCATATGTGTAACAAAACGTAACAGTGATTTGCCTGATCCCAGGAGCTGTTCCTGTCAAAGACTAGGTGCACCTACAGGCAATATGAATATTAACACTTCTGTGTATCAGCAAGTAAGAGACATAAATAACCAATGAGATAAGTAAACAGTGACATTTCCCCCTACCTTCTTAAGAAAAACACATTGAGGCCTTCAACACAGCATCAAAGTGAAAAAGCCATCTTCCACAAATTTCAAATCTCAATTATTCAAAATTCTTATGTATAAAATCCTGGACCCACTCAATACAGCTTTAAAAATAACAGGGTCTGAAAAGACAGCGGAATTCCACACTGCAAGATCAGCTAGGACCTCCTCTGTATGGCATAATGGGTACTGGTAAACTAACAACATTTTTTTCAGTTCTTTCTCAGGTTCCAATTGGTGACCAAGTGAATTGGTCTTCACTTACCACCTTTTCCTGTCTGTTCTTCAGAAATAAAAGAACACGAAAAATCACAAACACCACCACAATGGGTTCATTATGAAACATGGACAAATAAAGCGATGAAATTCTTCCCAGAAGGTCTAAGCAATTTATACTTTTTGATTTTGTGTGCTTATCAGGATGAAACCATGTAACATAAAGAAAATACAGAAACCTACGAGAAGTTGGGAATTTTCTGATGCAATCTCACATGCCCTTTTGGGGGAACAGAAATGTGTAAATAAAAAGTTTAACTAAGCATTGTAACACCCAGAATTCAGTTGCAGCTGTGAAAATTTGTCAGCAGTGTTCAACACTGCTTTAAAACAAACTACATTCACTCTGCCATTTATCAGTATAGTGAAGCTATTACATTTTTTTTTTCCTCAGGACTAGTCTATTTTATTTATAAAACAAAAGTTTATTCAAGTGTGTATTACCTGCCGGAAGACAAAGGTTCCATAAATACTTTCAGAAAAGACAGCTCCAATGAAATGTGTATACAAATTATAAAAATTATATTAAAAGTATATATATATATACACATTGTCATCTCTTCTTTATGTATGCCTCCATGCAGGAACACAGCTACTAGCAGACACAAGAGTTAAAGAAGATGGCAATCTCTTCATTCAGATTGTTGTTCAAATTTCTGTTAGACAGAATTATGAAATGTCTCCTTGGAGGAAACTCTTGTACTTCCAAGTTTTTGAAGTACCAGTTACAGCTATGTGGTACAGGATACCACAATGGAAATTCTTTGAAACAAAAAAAATCATTTGTATTTCACTGAATGAAATCTTTCCTTATGTTGTAAAGGAACCCTTTTTTTTTCTTTCACTTGTGTTTCTTAGAAAAATGCTGCGTGTGCCTTAACCAAAACTGGGAAACCACATCTGCACTAAACCCCCAAGAACTGAACATTTCCAAGAGAAATGGCATATAGGTTTCCAGCACCCAGGAAAGGAAAGGAATCAGATCCTTCTTTGTTAAAACTCTGCATGTGGAGCATGCCTCTGATGACCAGTTTCTAATCTCCACCCTGGTAACACCAGAGGAAGGAGAGAGAGAGAGAGAAGACTAGCTGAGCTTGCCTTATATTAGTCCCTACCATCAAAACCTCAGGAAATAAATTGTAGTTACCAATAAAATAGTAGTTATAAATAAAAGCTTTATTTAAGAAAAAAAAACAATTTCAGATGCCTTGAAACCTGGATAGAAATGAGATTGCTCTGCAGTGTCAAAAGGCATGGGGATAAGCTTTACTGTGAATTCTTGAGGTTTGGAGGTGCATACAGTAGTATTTTTTCTATTTTACATATGGATCAATATGACATGGTGAATCATGTTAGCATAAACAAATGTAGTTCCCTGTGCACTTCTAGAGGAGTTCAGAGCAATCTCTGTGAACTGTGGCACGCTCTTTCTTTCAGTTTACTAACGAAAACTACTGGTTTGGCTTTCTTCTTTTGGGGTTTTTTACTGGCTGTTTCGGAAGAGACTGAAAATCATAACCTCCTTCACATGAGCAAATTATAGGAATGAATTACATTTGAAAGCAGAAGCTACATAGGAATGGCTTTTCGTGAGGATGTGGTGCATAGGGTTTCTGAGCTATACTTTATAATGATAATACCACCATGTATCAAGTTGAACTGCTGATGTTTTTTTCAAACAAACCAGAATTGTGATTAAATGCAGAGGGTAAGATTTTAGTTGTGGTGGTCATTGACACATGTAAATTTAAAACAAATTAAGCACCTGTGACTGAATGAAGGAAAAGTTCTGTGTTCCTCTTCTACATAATCTGTATGCCTCAGACTCCTTGAAAGTAATCTTTGCAATCTGAACCTCTCTAAAAGAAATTAAGTGGCTTGGCTCTCATGGGTGGGATGTCAGAATTAATCACAAGCTGGCATTATGGCCTTCTCAGCAGCTGATTATACATAGTTTTGTTTATTCACAGCACATCTTTTATTTTTATTGCATTCTGGCCGCTGACTATGAATCAACTGTCACAACTTAAAGACAATTTTCTTTTACTGATATTACTGACAGGAAATATGTTGCTAAATGCGTTAGTTAATGTAATTCTTAGTCCTTCAAGTCATCTTTATACTCAGTGGTATTATATACTGAGCTAAAACACTGGCAGACACATACTGCTGATAGTAGGGAGTGAAACAGGACTTTTCCTAGTAATGCCATCTGCTATTTCCTTTTTGAGAACATGGTTTCCTGGCAATCTAATTCTTATCAGGCCAGTTCCTGATTAAAAGACAAATAAATCCCTCAGTGGTTAATGTCTTCAGTGAAAAATACATTCACTAAATCAGACTTCTAATTATAAAAGGATTTCTAACACATGTTTAATGACTATCTTTCCACCCACATGTCATTTTTCTTATCTATTAAAACAGAACCCCATTCAAATGAAAAGATTTAGCTTGTCTCCACTGAGTAAAAAGGCAGGATTTACAGTCTTCTGTAAACTGCCAATCTCATTTCACATAACTCAGCCAAGTTTTTGTTGCATCCTTAGAAAAATTCTAGACATGAACAAATAATGCACTTCACATTCATATTAATGTTATGTTTCATTAACATAATCAAGATGGGCATCCATTTTTATTCTAGGTGTTTATACCATGAAGACAATGTTTGCATGTATGACTTTTTTTTTTTTTAATTCTATCCTCCATAATTATCTTTGAAACACTCCTAGTTCTTTTCACTTTTAAGAAGTCTTGGGTACTGAAAATAATTAGAAATAAGTGCAGTAATAAATATAACTGCTTTCTCATGCTGTAAAGGAAAAAAGATTATGAGCTCTCTGCTGAGTTATGTCATCAGCAGCATACATTCGATTTTCAGTTTATCTACACAACTGAGTTCTCTTTCCCCCTCCATTTTCCATCTTAGCATTTCTGCAGACCATCCTCACAGTGGGTATCTGCTGGGTTTAATTCATCTCCCAGTGTATTTCATTAGATCGGTTACTGTTTTTGGCAGCCTACTTACCCAGGAAGTCCAAAGCCCAAAGCTGCAACATTAATCAGATACTGTGAGGCCCTGGTTCTGGGGACTGAATTATTAATATACAATTTTGTATGATGCCTCAATAAAATCCACATAGGAGTAACAGTATTGTACTTATTTATGAAGTACTCACAAGAATTTTAGTGTCCAGGATCACATGCAGCAAGTAACACATGCCTCTTTATGAAAAGGGATACTCTTTTACATAATTTCTGCAAATACTTATATTTAGGAGACTAGGATCTGCCACCTATGCTATATGTTTGATTGCTCAAAATTAAAAGCGTGTTTATATTTATGCAAATATTGGCTTACATTTCCTAAAGAGAATCTAAATAAAGGAATTCAGACACTCAGTACATACATACTTCAACAAGAGGAAATTGCTCTCAAAGTTGTTTTTTATTCTCATTTTAGTGATGAATTGACTTAAGTAGAAGAGTGGAGGTACTATATAAGGTTATACTGCAGTGAAGGCCTTGGGCAGGATTTGAAGCCAATATATGCTTTTTACCAGTTTTTTCTGCAACCCTTTATATATCAATTCCTTGCAAATATTTACAATCCTCAATGGCATTCTTTAAGATGGTGGGATGGTTCCTGTTTGAGATATTTTTCATGTTGATATTTGTCATTTTAACTAGCTTTTGTTACTTTTTTCAACTGTCATAAGAAAAATATGTTGTACTTGCAGGAAGCATAACAAGGAATTCCCACTGTGTAACTGTGCTGGTCATCAGGCTTTAGGTTCTAATTTTGAAACTTGTGAAGCATTAAAGTTCATATCTAAGAAGTAAATAATACTAAAGACAAATCTTTCTATTTAAACTGCTCTGAAGCCACGTATTTCTGGATCAACTTTCCTGAACACACATGTGGGAACAGACAGTGTAGATTTCTGTTTCAGTAGAACTGTACCGTGTAGCTTAACACCTACAAATACGATTCTTCTTTTCATGACTTGGTGAATGGACCGAATAATTGACAGGTTAGTTTTGGAGGCATTAAAACAGAACAATTGCCTAACCCATTTCTTCAAAATCTGATACTTATCCTTTATTATGGGTGTTAAGATCACAATATCAATCAAAAGTAATGAGAGGAACTGCACAGACTTTATTGCAGGAAAAGCAGCAAGTGAAAATGAGAGCACATCAAGCACCAATGTTTTTTTCAGGGACTGAGATTTTGATTTGAAAGTCAAAGCATCAATAGTCAAAGCAGTAATTGTAAGATACTAATAGCAAAAGTTGATCTTCATATATTTTTGATACTACTTTTAAAATTTGTCATTCTTAAAAATTGATGACCAAAAAACCCCGATTGCAAACCTCATAAAAGACTTACAGACTTTATTATTAGTTTGTAAACCACCAGTGCATTTCAAAGCTAGAGATTTTAGCAAGCTAAGAAGCTTGAAAGGCACAGTTAAATAAAAAAATAAAAATATTAAAAAAACAAAGGAAAAAAAAAAAAGCCAAGCCAAAAAAAATTTTACTCCAGCGCCTTTAATCTGCACAGTTGTTAAAAAAATTGGTAATGCCTGTGTATTATTCATGACTATTTCTATAATGCATGGTGAAACTGGTAAAATAAAGGATTACTACTGTTAAACAAAGCAGAAGCGAGAAATTTTTGCACAAAAAAACACAATAACATCTAAGGTCAGTGTTTTGTTTTGTTTTGTTTTGTTTTTCAAATTACACAGAAACACTTATCCAAAATGCTGCTTGCTGACATAATCATTTGAAATTTTGAAGCTTTGGATAATGTCAAGCATAGTTTCCTCTGAAACCCAGTTTTTTAGTATGTATGCACAATGATGGCTTGTTTAAGTTCTGAGTTCAGTTGGATTTATTACATATGCAGAATATAAAATGGATTAGGTAGTAGTGAGTGATACCATGCTGTCTCAACATCACACAGAGATAAAGCAGTTTGACGTAAAACTCTTGTATTTCTTAGTGATTCTGTAAGATGTTTATCTAAACTGTAACATGTGTAGTAATTTTGAGGAAAGTTTCATTTATGCTTTAAGTTTTAACCTAAAATAAGAGTTCAAGGTGATGTCCATGGAAGTAAGAAGTCCCCAGAACGAAAACAAATGAGTTCTAAACTGAAAAGGGTAAAGAAAACAAACACCCCAACTCCTGGCCACTGTCTGAATGTGTGGAATATATATAATGTCTGACATCCTTTACCTTTCATCCACTGGAGTTGTTTTACTATGAAATACTTTTATAATGAGTAGCATGGGCTGAGAGAGAAAAGGATCTCTGTTTATATGGATCTCTATTTACATGAATATTGGATAGATAACTCTGAAAAATGAAATTCTAACTTTAAATTCACCTCAGTGAAGGTTACTGCAATATGAAAGTGAATTGTGCTATTGATACATGCAGAGACGAGATGATTTAACTTTTTGGAGCATTAATGTTAGGGCAATGATATTAGAGATTATTAGATAATTAGAGATAATGCCTAACAGTTAAAAATTTGCACTAATTAAAATGGCAGGTTTGTTTTCTTTTTTTCTTTCTTTATAAGGAAAGAAATCTATCTTTCTGTAATATGCATAAACTGAGGTACATAAAGGTACAGTGTGTGTTACAGTGTTACCTTGCCCCAGGCAATTTCAGCATCCAAATTACTAGGCATCCCGTGCACAGCTGATCTCTTTGTCAATTCTGCATCTGTTGCTGCAAGCCATTCTGTCATAGCATTAATTTCTTTCCGTAGCTTCCGGGACAATTTCAAGCATTTCTCTAACTCTTGCTTTTTTTCTGTCACCTGCAGAAAGAAAACATGTGTTTCTTAACTTTTCAGTCAAACAGGTTTAATGATTTTTTTATATATACCATTTTCTATGTGCCACTTTGCTATAAAAACTTAACTTGCAAATTCACAGCCAAGGTGCACTATTAATAAGGTTATATCTTGCCTAGTTCTTTCAATATCTGTAATTTTGCTCTAGAATGCAAACAGCTATGAGAAAAATAGCTGCATGAAGACACACTGAGTTTGAGCTAGCAGCAAATTTATGCTGACCTCCTCCTCTGTTTTGAAGTCAAACATAGTAAATTAATTTGGAACAACTGAATAAACAGTCTTTCCTTGAGATGTAAAATAGATGTCAAAACCCTTCAAAGAGAATATTTTCATATAGATAGCCATATAGTGATATTGAACCCTCAAGGTTTTTTCTATGTAGCTACACTACACACAATAAAAAAAAAATTCTCTGCTAAAAACCCTCAAAATCTTGAAATACAAAAGTCACTGAAAAATGTCAAACTAAGGCAACACAGTTAGTTGAGTTTTCAATTTGCTGAATATTTTGGATATGAAGTACTATGGACAATTCGTTTTAGTTCTTTCAGCATATTATATAGTAACTGGAAGGAAGGCTGAGTGTTTATGTTGTCTTGACTGTCTTACACTGAATTTTGGTGCAACCTGGAGGAAGATGGGAAATAAAAGCTTCCCTCCAAGCCTCTGAGCATATCCAGGGAAAGAGAGAGAAGACTGCATATACTTAGTAGAGAAGGCAGAAAGTCAAAGGATGACATCTCAGATGGGAAGCTATACCACAATAGACATTAGGCAACCAGTAGTTAGAAAATATAAAACAATAAATCCTGTTGTGCTAAAGTTTAAAAAAGCCCAGCCAAAAAAGGTGAAATAAAAGTGTTCCATAGGTCACTAATATTTAAAAGAAATTACTAATTAACCTGCATGTCTATTGTAATCAAGTGAGATACTGATTTTTAAGTATTTTTATACAAAAAAAAAAACAACTGTCTAGTGTCAGGTATCCAAAACTGCTATCATCATTTGCTTTAACAGTTTGGGTTTTGACACTGTTTGAGTAGCAGCAGCACAATGATCAAACTGATTCCTAGATCAACTGCCAAGGACAGTTTGAGGTTTCAAAATGTAATAAGATGCTACAAAGTTAGGTACATGGCTTTTCTTATCCCTGAATAAACACATCAGATTTGCCCAGGGAACAAGCCGTAAAGTGTCTCTGATTGTACATTATCACTCTACAGACGGTTGCCACTAAAATGTCAGAACATATCTTCACTGAATATGCTTTATATGCCTTCATGTATGCCAAATTTATTAAATGAGACATCAGAATTCATAGTCAAGCCAAGAGGTAAATCCCTGGAAGGACCACAAAACACAGCTATTTAGAACCCCATTCGCAAATGAAGTCATAAATTCACATATGTTTTTCAACTCTTCTTCTGACAAGGATTAATAGTCATTGTAAATAACTATTTGCAGGTACCTAACTGCAATAAAAGGCAGAGTGTACTAGCCTGACTGCCTGGGTTAGAATTCTAAACACCTGGTATACTACAAGATTAACTTACTGATACACAGAATCATAGAATCATAGAATCATAGAATCATAGAATAGTTAGGGTTGGAAAGGACCTTGCTGTCCTGCAGGGGGCTAATGAGGAAACGCACCCGCGCCAGAAACAGCTGGCTTACCTTGGTAAAGAAGATCTCTCCTGGTGCTGCTAAGAAAAAGTGGCAGGTTGCAGTAGTAGGGGACTCTACACTGAAAGGGACAGAGGCACTTGTCTGCCAGCCAGACCCCGTCTTAAGGGAGGTGTGCTGCCTACCAGGGGCACGGATCAGGGATGTGGCAGAGAGGCTGCCTGCTCTAGTAAGTCCCACAGACTATTACCCACTTCTGGTGATACATGTGGGTGCTAGGGACATAGATAGTAGTAGCTTGGGGAACATAAAGAAGCCTGGAAAGAACAGAGCCCTGGAAAGAACAGAGCCCTGTGGGAGGTTGTTAAAGGCTCTGGAGCTCAGGTGGTCTTTTCATCAATTCTCCAGGGTACAGGGGAGGACCTAAAAAGAGCTAGGAGGTTTAGCCAGGTTAATAAATGCTAAAAAGTGTGGTGTCATAATCAGGGGTTTGGGCGCCTTGAACACAGGGCCCAAGTTTGTAGGTCAGGTCTAGTGGGGGCTGGTGGAGCTGGTCTGATAAAGAAGGGAAAGAGCAGTTTTGGTAGGAGGCTTGCCAGACTGGTCAAGGAGGCTCCATTCCAATACACCCAGTCAGTTGTCAGCACCTATAATAAATGCTTGGAGCAATGTAGAGATATCCCAGCCGCTCCAGCCAATGAGCCAGCTTCAGTTGGAGCTCGGCTCAGATGCCTCTATACAAATGCCCACAGCATGGGGAACAAACAAGAGGAATTAGAGATGCGTGCACATCTGCGGAGGTATGATATAACAGGGATCGCAGAAAAATGGTGGGATGGCTCCTGTGACTGGAGTGCTGGAATGGAAGGTTACAGGCTCTTTAGAAAAGACAGGCCTGGCAGGCGGGGAGGGGGAGTTGCCCTTTATGTTAGGGATAGGCTGGAGAGTATGGAACTCTGTCTGGGGACAGGTGAGCAGTCCACAGAGAGTTTGTGGGTCAGGGCTCAAGGGAACATAGCTATGGGAGACATTACTGTGGGGATGTGTTACAGACCGCCTGATCAAGAAGAACCTGTGGATGAAGCACTCTATAGACAGATAGGAAAAGCCTCACGCTCACAGGCCCTTGTTCTCATGGGTGACTTCAACCACCCTGACATCTGTTGGAAGGACGGTACGGCCCGGCACAAGCAATCCAGGAGGTTCCTCGATTGTGTAGAAGACAACTTCCTTCTGCAAGTAATAGAGGAGACAACAAGGAGAGGTGCCATGCTTGACCTCATGCTCACCAACAGGGAAGGGCTCGTTGGAAATGTGACTCTCCAGGGCAGCCTTGGATGCAGCGATCACGAGATGGTCGAATTTGAGATCCCCAGGACAGTGAGAAGAGCGTGCAGCAAGCTCACTGCCCTGGACTTCAAAAGAGCAGACTTTGGCCTCTTCAGGAACCTGCTTAGGAAGGTTCCATGGGATACAGCCCTAGAGAGCAGAGGGGCCCAAGACTGTTGGTTGATATTCAAGGATCACCTGCTGCAAGCTCAGGAGTGTTGCATCCCAACTAGAAGGAAGTGCAGCAGGAGGGCCAGGAGACCTCATTGGGTGGATAAGGAACTTCTGAGGAAAGTTCAAATGAAAAAAGAGGCTTATAATAAGTGGAAGCAAGGACAGGTGGCATGGGAAGAGTACAGGGATGTTGTCCGAGAAGCTAGGGACCAGATTAGGAAAGCTAAGGCCCAGTAAGAATTAAACTTGGCTAGGGCTGTTAAGGATAACAGGAAGGGATTTTACAGGTACATAGCAAATAAAAAACAGACTACAGAGAATGTAGGCCCCCTCAGGAAGCTCAGGAAGCTCTCGGGAGAACTGGCTACACAGGATTTGGAGAAGGCTGAGGTTCTGAATGACTTCTTTGCTTCGGTCTTCACTGGCAAAGGCTCTGACTGCACCACCCAAGTTTTGGAAGGCAGATGCAGGGACTGTGAGAATGAAGACCTTGCGCCCACTGTAGGAGAGGATCTGGTTCGAGACCATCTTAAAAATCTGAACGTGCACAAGTCCATGGGGCCTGATGAAATCCATCCGTGGGTCCTGAAGGAGCTGGCAAATGAAGTTGCGAAGCCACTGGCCATCATATTTGAGAAATGGCAGTCAGGTGAAGTTTGTGATGACTGGAAAAAGGGAAATATAACCCCCATTTTCAAGAAGGCGAAAATGGATGACCCAGGGAGCTACATAACAATCAGTCTCACCTCTGTGCCTGGAAAATCTGGAAGGCATGCTAAGGCACATGAAAAACAACAAGGTGCTTGGTGACAGCCAGCATGGCTTCACTAAGAGGAAATCCTGCCTGACCAATTTGGTGGCCTTCTATGATGGGGCTACAGAACTGAAGGACAGGGGTTGAGCAGTTGATGTCATCTACCTGGACTTGTGTAAAGCGTTCGACACTGTCCCACATGACATCCTTGTCTGTAAATTGGAGAGACATCAATTTGATGGATGGACCACTCAGTGGATAAAGAACTGGCTGGATGGCTGCACGCAAAGAGTTGTGGTCAATGGCTCAATGTCCGTCTGGAGACCAGTAACGAGTGGTGTCCCTCAGGGATCGGTGTTGGGAGCGGTCTTGTTCAACATCTTTGTCGCTGACATGGACAGTGGGATTGAGTGCACCCTCAGCAAGTCTGCTGATGACACCAAGCTGTGTGGTTCGGTTGATACGCTGGAGGGAAGGAATGCCATCCAGAGGGACCTTGACATGCTTGTGAGGTGGGCTGACAACAAACTCATGAAGTTTAACCATGGCAAGTGCAAGGTCCTACACCTGGGTCGGAGCAATCCCAGACACAGCTACAGGTTGGGCAGAGAAGAGATTCAGAGCAGCCCTGTGGAGAAGGACTTGGGGGTGTTGGTCGATGAGAAAATGAACATGAGCCAGCAGTGTGTGGTTGCAGCTCAGAAAGCCAGCCATATCCTGGGCTGCATCAAAAGGATTGTGGCCAGCAGGTCGAAGGAGGTGATCCTGCCCCCTCTACTCTGCTCTTGTGAGACCTCACCTGGAGTATTGTGTGCAGTTCTGGTGTCCTCAACATAAAAAGGACATGGAACTGTTGGAGCAAGTCCAGAGACAGGCCACGAGGATGATCAGGGGACTGGAGCACCTCCTGTATGAAGACAAGCTGAGGAAGTTGGGGCTGTTCAGCCTGGAGAAGAAAAGGCTGCGTGGAGACCTGCTAGCAGCCTTCCAGTATCTGAAGGGGGCATATAGGGATGCTGGGGATGGAGCCTTCATTAGGAACTGTAGCAATAGGACAAGGGGTAACGGGTTCAAACTTCAACAGGGGAAGTTTAGATTGGATATAAGGAGGAAATTCTTTCCTGTTAGGGTAGTGAGGCACTGGAATGCATTGCCCAGGGAGGTCGTGAATGCTCCATCCCTGGCAGTGTTGAAGACCAGGTTGGATGAGGCCTTGGGTGATATGGTTTAGTGTGAGGTGTCTGTGCCCGTGGCATGGGGGTTGGAACTAGATGATCTTAAGGTCCTTTCCAACCCTAACGATTCTCCTTCAACCTGCTGGTCACGCTTCTTTTGATGCATGCTCAAACACAGAAAGAAATTTTGTTTTGCTATAGACATCTCTAAACTCCGTATATAGTATCAATAATACTGCACTATTTCCATACACACTGTATATATCCAGAGGTTACTGCTTAATCAGTTTTTGCATTTTAAATGTAAAAGTGCATTTCTAGAGAAACATAGGAAACAGTGCCCCCTAAAGGCCTTCTGTATAATAAAGTGACATCAACAGCATTATCTCCATAAATTTATTTTAAAGCTCTTTTAGCTATGCTAGTTTACTCACAAAAAATAAATAAAAGTAAAATGAGAAAAACAATTATTTAAAGCAAAATAAAGGTATTTTACAGCCTTTCCTTTTTACAGAGAAAAATTCCTGTGCAGCAGGATCATGAAGGCCTATGCTTGTAAGTTATAGCACCTACTGCATGCAATGCCCTTAGGAAAGCAGCAAGAACATTATTACTGCTACTCTCTTTTATAGTACAGCTCCCTGTTCTGCTGAATTACCATAGAGAGATTTGGCACAAGTATGCTACAGAACCTACATCACAGCCACTCACAAATAATAAACTACCTAAATTGTAATATAGTTTTTTGCTTCTATGCACTTGTGTCAGAAAGAGAGAGATACAAGTAAGTGAATGCACACACTTACTCATATTCTCTTATTACTCATAAGCATTCACTTCTAGGCCAAAGAGAGGTTTTAAGGTCTGATACTACCTAAGCGATTAGGACTATTAGCAGGTATTTATATACACGTGTATACGAAAAAAACAAACAAAAAAAACACAAACCAAAACAAAACAAACAAACAAACAAAAAAAAAAGCCCACCCAAAACACAAAACCTACCAAAAGAAAAGAAGGAAAGAGAAGGAAAAAGAAAAGGAAAAGAGGAAAAGGAAAAGGAAAAGAGGAAAAGGAAAAGGAAAAGAGGAAAAGGAAACGGAAACAGAAAAGGAAAAGGAAAAGGAAAAGGAAAAGGAAAAGGAAAAGGAGGAATAAATAAATTTTAAGATGGCTACACCTTCCCATTCTTAAGGGGAAGACCTTCTAGTCTCAGGGGGCCTAGCTATGATACCTAAAATATATAGAGAAAAGAGAGCATGTACAGAACTTATAATATTTTTTCTGTACATTTGAGAGCACAACACTTCAGCATTGTTCAACTTGTTTATATTAAAGCATTCTATTTGCTTAAAAATGTGCTTTATGATTATTTCAAATAGGGGGGAACTTCCTGAAGCAGTACCCGTGAAATGATACAAGTGAGTTTGTGCTTGAATATGTGTTTTTCCCTCGGACTACACATTTCAGTCCTGAGACTTACTATATGTTATAACTATTATCAGTTTTCCCTTAAAAAGATTTTTACTCAATGCGATCAATTAGGTCTGATGAGGATTAACTGATTCTTTTAGTTCTGCATCTCTGGGCTTTTGTGACTTTCTCTAAAACAAAGCTAAACACAGCACTGCAGATTGAGTGAATTTGCAATATGGCTCACTTCAGATCCTGAGGGCACGTTTTGAATCACAGAATCATAGAATCATAGAATAGTTAGGGGGGGAAAGGACCTTAAGATCATCCAGTTCCAATCCCCCTGCCATGGGCAGGGACACCTCATAGTAAACCATACCACCCAAGGCTTTGTCCAACCTGGCCTTGAACACTGCCAGGGATAGAGCATTCACAACTTCCCTGGGCAACCCATTCCAGTGCCTCACCACCCTTACAGTAAAGAACTTCCTCCTTATATCCAATCTAAACTTATTCTGTTTAAGTTTTAACCCATTACCCCTTGTCCTGTCACTACAGTCCCTAATGAAGAGTGCCTCCCCAGCATCCCTATAGCCCCCTTCAGATACTGGAAGGCTGCTAGGAGGTCTCCACGTAGCCTTCTCTTCTCTAGGCTGAACAGCCCCAACTTTCTCAACCTAGCTTCATACGGGAGGTGCTCCAGTCCCCTGATCATCCTTGTGGCCCTCCTCTGGACTTGTTCGTTCATTAGTTAAGAGAAGGTCCCTATAACGAGGAATAGCCATCCTGATTATTGCCTTTTCCACCATTCTTTCTGTCCCACTGTTTAGAAAATAGGAAGGTCTTGAAAAGAACCAATAAAACCTCATTTCCTTACCATACCGCAATTAATCTTTACTTTGCCAGGTAAAAAGAGGGTGTAGTTTTGTACCAAAACACACAGCTTACCTTTGCACCCAATTCATTATATTGCAACTTCAAAGCTGTAAGCCTTTCGTCCAGTTCTTTTGGGTTCTCAGTCTGCTGTTTTTGAACAATCTGCCTCCCAGTTTTTATCACTGTTTCCACTTCAGACTTCACTTCACTTAGGCTTTTATATAATTTCTAATCAAACAGAAATATGAAATACCACCATTAAAATAAATAAATCAGAAAAGACTATTGAAGGAACTACAAAGATACATTAGAAGTCTTTGCATTGTTTGCTGTATAAAAACACCATCATACATGAACCAGCACCTTCTACTTCCATTTGAAAGCTAAAGGAATTGAAAGGTATCATGGTATGTGATCTAAGGAAGAGAAAGCTCAACCTGAGTATACAAAAAAGTGTCTGTAAGAAAATTAATCAGTTTCTAAAAAGGGAATTCAAATTAACACATTCAGAACAGCCTATCTTTACTAATAACAGCTTCAAAGTCTTGTCACCAAAACCAATCCTAGAAATGTTATAGAAAGTACAGGCCACTACTAATTGTTTTAAGAAATTACTAAGGTTGTTTTCAAACTCATTTAGATAACGTAGTATTTAGAACAACAATAGATGTCTTCTGCCAACTCATACAGCTTGTTGGATGTATTTAAACTACAAATAGCCACTAAACTAATTCAAAAATCTAAGGTTTTCATGCTACTAAATCAAGAGACTGGCAGGATAGAAGATTTTCCCTATATTTACTAAGTGCAGTACTGTTCAAAAAATTAAAAAAAAATAAGAAAACATGAAACATTAACATAATAAGGTTAAGTCAAAATATGTTACATAGTTCACTGCATTTTCCTGCACTATTTCAATGACTAAGCAGAAAATAAGGGATAAAAGTCTGTTCAGTGAGGGCATATAACCTATCTTTAAAAACAATGCATTCCCTAATATTTCAAAGGAGCGATAATGAGAAAAAAGAAAGCATTCTCTCTTTCTGTATGCAGAAAGTCACTATCATCATCTAAACATATGACTTGGTAACTCAAACTATTCAACAGCCAAATAAATACCCATTTAACATGCATCGAAGTAGACCAGAAGTTGATTTTTTTTTTTTTCTTTTTAATCTAAGAATAAATTCTGGCATGGCTTGGAAATTCCACTAAACTTCACTGTGGAAAAATACTCCACAGAGATACACAGTGCCCATTACTACACAGGTTCATGAAGAATGGAGATATGAAGCTGTTGAGAAGCTTTATTGTTGAGACACGTAGCTTAATTCTGTGTTCCAGCAAAATGCTGGAAAGTAAGCTTACCAATTTAGAATGACTTACAAAATAATTTATACTGTACTTTTTTAATCTGCAATTTTTTGAGCACTGTAAAACCTTTACTGGACAGTAAAGACAATACTTTTTTTCTAGCATATATGACGAGAAAAAAAATCCCAAGTGCATTTTATCTATAGTCTAATTACCAAGCCAATTTTTAACATTAGTATTATTTTATTTACTTCAATGTATATATGTATATCGTTTGACTGCTTTTTAGGTGCTTAATATGATAAATACATTCTTCAGCATGGAAAAAAATGTCAACAAGTTAGGAATCTATTGCATGATGTACACTGGCTAATACCTGATGGGATACTATGACTAGATTTTAGAAATAAAAACCCTATGAGATTTTTGTAGATAAATATGCTCTAAAAATACTGTAAGTCTTCCACAGAACATGACAGGGCTGCAAAAGCTAGCTGCCAAGTGAGGATACTTTAATACAGTTCAGGGCTTCTAATTATCATGTCATTGTAATAAGAATGTGAATTTAATAGTAATTGCACTTAGTAAAAAAAACCCCAAGATGCAAAGAAATAACATTTACTTGTTCCATGCTTATTTTTTGATTTATATTCTTATATATAGATCTGAAAGAGGTTTTTAGGGGAAAAAAATATTCAGGCATGCCATTGCCCCAGAAAAAACAAACAAACAAACCAACCCCCAAAACCCAAAACAACAACAAAAAACAGCCCACAAAACAAAACATAAATCTGAAGGCAAGGATCTGATTGTCCTGATTTTCACTCTTAAATCTCCATTTTATTGTGATCAAGCACACAGTGTTTATCTTTCCATTGATTTTGCTTCAACAGTAAAGGGGTGAAGAATTACAGGGATATTAAAGTCATATATATATATATAGAGAGAGAGAGATTTTCTTATATTCTTTAGAACATATTCAGGTCATCTTTTGGTCTTTAATTGTAAGAAAGTCACAGGCTGCCATCTCATGGAAACTTTAATCTATGTTTTTCCTTTATGTATTGTTTCCTGGTGAGAGTAGACTTGTGCACTGCAGTGTCTCTATTGGTCACATCATGGAGCTCCCTGACCACAGCATATTGCAGAAAATAGAGCAAATCCAGGGTGCTAAACTCATTTGCAAGACGGGAAGGGGGAATCAGAAAGGGATCCTGAGTGGTCTTCTCACACAGTGAAAATGCGTGACTATTGTTTGAAAGTTCACCGAAATTAATCATTTGATTAGCCTCCCACAGAAGAAGAGAACAACATACAGAAAGGAAAAAGTTACTGTAAGACTGTTAGAACTATTGTTATTATATCCAGGAAAAATTTGAATTGAATAGAATTTTAAGAGTATGATGTCCTTCTAATCTCATCTGCAGACAAGAGAAGTAGGGCAAAAAGGATCAACCCCTTCTCTCCCTGAAAAATATCAAACTTTAACTAAAAAAGTTTCTATAAATTTCATTGAGTAACTTTGCTGTCAATTTTTTCTCAGAATCTTTTCTAATATCTCCCAAAGAAACATTGATATTGCAATACATAATACTTTAAATTTGAAATGCAGAACAGGCAGGAAACATATAGAAAGACAGCATCTTTAAATATTCACCATGCAATGATCCAGCTGAGATTGTACTACTTCCTGCTCAACACTCTTCGTCTCCAACTTGGGCACCTGCAATTTCACTTCATCTAAAATTCTTTTACATTCTTGTAGGCGCTGTTCAAAATTGGCTGGCTTTTGAAACAAGCGAAACTTCATGGAGACATCTTGCAGCTTTTTCTGTAAAGCAAGAGTAAGTAGCTAATGTGAAATCAATTCAACATTGACTTGAAACTAAGACTGAAGACAAGTTTTAGACCTGTTTCAGAATACTTTGAATCCATTATCAAGCAACAGATTTTTATTTAAAGAATTTAAAACTCTGGAGAAAAATACCAGCAACAGAGAATCTTGGTCTTCACAAGATGAAAGAAAACCTCATATCATCCAGGACACCGGATGCAGCAGAACTAGTGACAAAAAAAAAGCTGAAGAAAGTGAGAGTTTTGTATTTTCCAATACACAAAATGCTGGTGGACGGATGAGAACATAGGCTTAAGGGCTTGAACACAACATATCCACATTCCAGGCTGGATGCACATTAGCTCTAACACCATGTTGCTGCTTATTGGTATTAGAATTGAATCTTTTAGTCCCTCAAAGACACCTGAATAAAATGGCTGGGCAGTAAGTAGGTCTAGCACAAACCCTGAGATTTCAAGTATAAAAATGATTTCTATTTAAATTAAAAAAAAACAAACATAACCTAGAGTAATAAGAAAGCAATTTTCAGGCAGAAAAATCTATGACAAGCATAGCTTCTAATTTCACAAATTTCATAATTTGTTATCTTTGTGCATTAATTATATTGCTTGCTCACATGAGTCCTATTTCAGGGGGAGGGGAAATAATTAAAAATACAGAAAAGAAAGGGAATTTTAATGATCTTTTTTGAATAAGAACTGATTTCTCTGTAGAAGTACAGAGTGAAGTGCTAGTAGAATAAGTTTTTTCACTGTTTCAAAAAAAAGAAAAAATGTCACAATGAAACAGACAAATGACAGGAACTCAGCATATGCAAAAAACACTTTTGGATTTATCTTTAAATCCTGGGCACTTCATAACAATACAGCGTCGTCTGTACTATACAAACTTGAGAAGAACTGTAATAAGGAATAGAATTAGCCTATACATAAACATTAGTAAAAAAGCTTGCCGCATCTGTCAAGAAGACAGAAATCACGAGCAGAAAACAATTCTGCGTAACACAAAAAACTGTGTAGATTTCCAGCAACTCCTTCCAACAATTTTCCTCATTAAATAGTCTTAATGAAATTGAGATCCAAGAGGGTAAGAAAGGAAGTCTTTCCTTAGATAAGTAAGAGAATAACTGAATAACAACAGGAAACAAAGGGGAGGAATAAGCGGTGGTTTTTATTTGGTATGGGTTGTGGGTTTTTTTAGGGTGTTTGCATACACCAAATTCATAATTAGCTTTTAATTCTCCTGTAACATTTCAACTTGATGATGTTGGTCAATACATTAAAAACGAAGGAAAAGAGAGGGAATGACAATACAAGTGGTAGATAAAATGAAAGCCATCTCTGAAGAGTCAGTGAAGGCATAGTACTGAGGATCTGCAGGAAAAAAAAATCCAAGGAAATTATATTTAATTCACCCTAAAATTAAACAAAGCATACCACAAAAGAAACACTAAAGTTGATGCGCAACAGGTAGGATCTAGATTACCTATTAGTATTGTCACTTTATTTCTAACAGTTATATCATATACTTCTATTTATCTCCAACAGTTTTCAAAAAAAATATTAGCTCAATACATAAAAACAGACAAAGTGGGTATTTGGAATGATTTGGAAGAATAAAAACAATTTTGAATAAAGAAAAAAGAAAAAGGAAAAAAAACTGTCACTGTATAAAAGTCATTGTATAAAGCTATATTGTGCCCGAATAATGTGCAGTTTTGATCAATTCCTCTCTGAAAACTTATTGTAAAAATAGAAAATATATAAAGAAGAATGACAGGACAATCAAAGCTATATTTCTAAAGTTCTCAGTATGATTTAACATACTTGTCAGTCTGGAAAGGAGACAACTAAGGAGTAGTAAAATTAATGGCATGCGAAAAGCTCAAACTCAAACTGATGCACATGGTCATCCAGAGAAGCCTTTCCAAGTGAAAAAATCGTTCACAAAGACAGATTTAAAAAAAAAAAAAAAAAGGCACCTAGAAAAGGTCATGCTCCCTTGCATGCTGTTGAATTTATAAACATTTGTGTACACAGTCATCTGATGCCTGCATTTCACTGATGGAGGATGGGCAACATCACAGCTGCCATGGAGGCTATCAGGTGAGCTAGTTTGCAGAAAGACAGCAAAATAGAGAAATATAAATATTCTCAACAAAGAGAAGGTAGTCCTGTAGATAAAAGGAGATATTAAAAATAAATCAACTTGTTCATTTCAAATTAATTAACTCTTAAAAAGCCATTGTTATCCATAACGACATATAGAACTGAAGCTAAGATATACAGAAATATTTGAGAGATGAACAAAAAGATGGCCTTGTTTACTGTTAATACCATAAGGAAATTATTTGTCTTTCCTAACGAATTATGACAATTTGCTCTGCAGCCTCAGAAACATTGGCACTAATATCCCCCTCCCCCCCGCCCCGGCCAAAAAAAAAAAAAAAAGGCACAAAAAATAGGCAAGAACCCATCATAGATTAATGGGTAAAAACTGAGTACTGTTTGTTAGTGCTGATTAAGACTTCTTCAATTTCAGACTGGTCTGTGTTTATTAAACTAGACAAAATAATACATTAGTTAACATTTTAAACTGATGACTGCAACATACTGCTCAACACAGATCTATGTTTACAATGCATTTCTACCAAATATTTTCAAATATTTAACATACTTTTAGCTGTAAATATTTTCAAATACCTCAAAAGGTATGCCAAAAATCCTCCCTGTAGTTTTATTTCTTGCAACTTGTCCTGGGTTCAGCAGTAGCAGTCATTTTTCTCCTTCTTGGTAGCTGGTGTAGTGCAGTGTTTTGACTTTCAGCTCAGGAACAGAGCTGATAACAATGTTTTGGTTTGGCCAAGGACTTTGTGAGCCTCACGCTCTGCCAGGGAGGAGGGGAAGCCAGGAGGAAACAGAGACAGGACACCTGACTCAAACTGACCAAAGAGGTATTCCATACCACAGCACGTCATGCCCAGGATGTAACTGGGAGTTAGCCGGAAGGGCTGGGAGACTGCAGGGTTGGAGGAGGTATCGGTCAGAGCTTGGTCGGGCTGGGGGGGCGAGTTATCGGTTGGCTGGTGGTGAGATGATGTATTCTCTTCCCTTGTTATTTCCTTTATCATTATTATTATTGGTGGTAGCAGTAGTGATTTGTGTTATACCTTAGTTACTAAACTGTTCTTATCTCGACCCGTGGGAGTTGCATTCTTTTCGATTCTCCTCTCCGTCCCTCCGAGAGCAGGGGGAGGGCAAGAAAAGGGGGGGAAGTGAGCGAACGAGTTACCTGACTGGGTTTAAACCACGACACAACTGCAGCACATTCAAAACATTTTTTATATGGTCCTCCTACCACTTGTGTACCCTAGAACTTTTCCCAACTAGACACGAAGGATGCAATAGAAAAATAAGCAGTAAGAAGATATGGATGGCATGCTTTATTGACTATAATTTCCTGGCTAGAAAGGAGAACCTAAAACAGAAGAGATACCTTAAGAACACTTCATACTATAGTAATTATACTAGTCATGTTATTTGTTTGCATGATTGGAGGAAAAATTGAGGAAAAAAAATTGCTTACCTGTGCCACATCAATTTGGGAAAGCACTCTTTTGGCAGCATCTTTACCCTGGTTTCGTTTCTTCATTTCTTCCAAACTAATCTCATGGCTTGTTAATTCGGATTGTATTTTCTATTAAAAAATCATGACAGTAATCAGAAGAGATTGAATAAAATACTCATGTTGTTAATATTATTTTGAACAGTTTATTTTGAAAGATATTTAGCAGAAGTATTATTAGAGGAAATTATTCAAAGAACTACCTTGTAAATTATTTCAGTTTATTTTCTCTCAACCGTAATATAATCTTCTCATACTCAAACATATAAAATCAAGATTTTGACATAATCTTGCTAAGGAAAAATTAAATTAAAATTAATTAAATAATTAAATAAATAATTAAAGCCTGACAAAATTGTAGCAAAAAATATCAGGTTTCTTTCTTCTGACGGAAAAAAAACAGTTTTCATTGGGAAGAAAATTAAAAATTAATCATAGAAAAGAAAAATACAAATAGGAAAGTGATTTGCTTCTCACTTCTTATTTCTTATTACTTTCATAGTATCATCAGGCAAGTTGAGAGAAAACTCATCAAAGTATTTTAAAATTATATCTAAAATAGTACACAATTTCTGACATATTACTGACCAGAATCTACGTTCTGAATCTGTAGATATGCTAACTGAAAAATGACTTATAGTTCATTAATACAGTAACTTAATCAAACACACTCTTTCTGCAAAAACAGTGTGCAATCAAATGATCAGAAGAAAAATATTATCCTTGTTGGTTCACTATAAATCAAAGATAAAAGAAACAATTAACTTAAGCAGCTAGTGCAGTGCAATGGAAAAGAATTCCCATAAAATATATTGATACAACATAATTTATAGTGATTCACTTATTTTTATGTTTAATTTGTTAGAATATGAGAAACTGTTATTAGTAGAATTGCTAGACAAGCACTGCTGAGAACAATTACCCTAAGAAATACAGACAAGGTATGCTCCCACCAGGAAAAATATCTGAGGCCATTACTCCTCAATGCAAAAGTGATTTTACATTCAAACTGGTTGTTGGTTTTTTTGGTTGTTTTTTTTTTTTTTAGGTACACAAAAGCATTTCTCAGATACCCTAAAGACTAGTTTTAAGTTTAAATATATGCACATGCATTTATCTTATATGACAGTAACTTCTAAAATATTAAAACTGTAGTTCAAAAGACTACAAAGAATTATGAAATAAAGACAAGTGGTTTTTAAATTACAATGTGATCCTTTAAAGTTTGATTATAAATAAAAATGAACATAGAGGTACCTGTAATTAAATTTTCATGGGTTATTGAGTAAAAATCTGTTTAGACTGTATGCTGTCTACTTTGTAGGGGTATTACACAGTTATAATGATTTGTATAATATCTTGTATATTACAACACTACATTGAAAGCAGTGTTTTTCAAATCATATTGAAAATGTATTAAAGTAAATTTTAGGAGAAGCTTTATAAAAATACAGAAAACTATTAAGTCATTACAGAATTTAATTGCCAAAATATGAGTCTAAACTATCTAGTACTATTCAGATAAATATTTTAATGAATCAAATCATAAAAGCATAATTACTGACAGAAAGCTGTCCATTTAGATTATTTTTTTCATTTAAAATTATCATAATTGTAAATTTTTTATTTTTCATATTTTGAGTACTTCTTGTCAAGGTTATTTATTGCCAGCTATATCTGGAGCAAGTAATAGAATTTTTCTAAATATGATATTTTAGTTTTGAGAAAACAAAGACTGTCAAATAAAAGGACAATGAAATCAACAACAGAAAGCTTATTTAACAGTTTATTTTGGAGTATTTATTTTCTTCTTGTCTAAGTTTAAAATTTCCCCCTTGAGATGTACAACACTCGGATCAACATGGACCAAACTTTTGGTGGTGACAGCATTAGTTATATCTTGAAGCCAAATATTCCTTGATATCTTGGAAGTCAGAACGGTATATACAAGAAAGAAGCAAGTCTGATGTTTGAAAAATATACTATATCACATCCAGTATTTCAACTATTTGTTTCAGCAACCTCATAGATTAACCTATCTTTTATTATATTTTCATGTTTAATTTGTTCAGCCTCAGAGTCACTCTGGAAATAATATAATTGAACAGTTCGTATCTGAATAGGTCAGAACAGCACAGCACAGCACAGATAAGAGTAGCTTTTAAGTAAGTAGGTATTATGGGACATTGCATGGAGATTATCTTACTTTTTTAAATTACTCTGCAGGAGAGAGATGAAGCATCACCTACTCTTACGTCAAAATGTAGTATTAGAGAGAACAAGGACATTAGAGGAAAGCTTAAAAGAAAAGTTAGTAAGGCTTATAGCAAGAAAAGATTTTTTGCATTTGTCATTTCTGTTAAGAGGCAGAAAGTCCTGAACAGCTGTAAGAGAATTTATAATACTTGCCTACAATGCCCCTTATCAATTTTGACATGATCATTTTGATTTCTTTGTCTATTTTGACTTATGTATTTATTACATCAACTTCTTCTAAACATCCACAAGAAAACACTCATTTTCTTTTTCATTTCAGTTATTCCCACCTCTGTTTTTCTAAGTGGTTCCTGTCTATTTTGCCTTTAAATAAAGAGTATAAACTGTCTTCATTTAATTTCTAAAACACCACAATATAATGTAGTGTATGTAACTAATAAATTCTACCGTACATAAATTACTGTATCCTACAGATTAAAGATTCTCATTTATCATCACTGGCATTTTTTTCAGGAAGTTTATTAGTTTTCAAAACTTGTAATATATATGCACATGCACGTATAAAATAAAATATAAATATATCTAAAATCTAATTATGTTTACAAGGTCATAGGCACGTTGTGCATATTCTTATCAGGACGACTTCTGGAACAAAAATATTTCAGTCCTAAGGGCATGGAATACATTATTTCTTTTAATTACTAGTCTTAATTTTAAAAAGATGAACAGCGAAATGCAGACAATATTACTATATTGACAGCAAAAGCAGAGAATTGGCAGTGCAGCCAGTTCTAGTAAATAACCTTTCCTATCTTGAATCAGAGAAAAGAAAGCCAAAAGAACCAGCATGACTATTTGTCTCATTTGAAAATTGTCACGAACCTAACTGCAATCTCATGGTTCAAGAACAGCATTTAGAAAAAAGGTAATAGGACACATAAACTCTGTAAGTTTATTTCCAACAGAAAATTGAACTGGGAGGCTTGAGTGTATGTCATTTCCCATCAATGCTTGCTGCCATAATCAGAAAATCAGCCATCATATTAAAAAAAAACAAAAAACACAAAAACCCCACAAAAAACAAACAAACAAACAAAAAAACAAAATCTCAAAACAAACAACAAAACCATAAATGAAGAAATGCTGGTCAGTGATATTCAGTCTAACAATGGAGAGATTTTTTTTTGGGGGGGAAAAGTCAAACCCAAACACCCAACCCTCCCTATTTAACTAAAACCCATAATATAAACAGAACTAGTATTGTGGAATAATGGCTGAAAAGACAAGGTTAGATGGAGCGCGCAGCTAACATGCAAACACAGATTTTAGAATGAGTAACACTAAAAGGACTACACTACAAAACCAGCAGACAGTTCCAGCTGATGTAGTATCAGCAGGTTGAAAAAAAGTTCGAAAGACAATATGGAAAACATACTGGTGAAATGCTTTCTCATGGCAGGTCAGAGATACCATTTTCCACCCCAGAACCGGGAAAGACTTCTCATCACTTTTGTCTGCTCCTTAAGAAAGAAGACTGTTGGTTCTGTTTACTTCACAAATGGGGCAAGGTCACAGGACATCCTAATTTCATTTTGCCAGACCTCATTGTATTGTATTAGTTGTCAGAAATTCATAACACAGGGAGGAATAAGTTTGCATTAAATATTGACTATACCACAAAGATCAGAAAGTTAAGTTCTCAAGAGATGGATAAATCCAGAAGAAAGATACAAGCAATACATATATCAACATGTTCTAAAATGGGACAGGGAACCTTGATGTCACTTGAACTTAGAATGAGCAGAAAATAAGTGAAATATTCCCTATGGGTATGCACTGTAATGAGAATGACAAATCTAATAGTCTCAATTTAATTTATAAGGTTCCACAAAAAATAAACATAACAAATTAAAGTTCATTAAATACTGGCAGCAATGAGATTAAGTTACAAGTTGCTAGAATTAACCATTTTTCCTTTTCTTTTATTCTGATTTCTGGATATGAATTTGGAGAGTTGGCTCTCCTGAACTGCAGAGAACAGCTTGTTAGCTCTTCTTGTGTATTAGGTCTTCTGAATTGTATTTCTCTACTACTTATTAGCTAGACTAACAGCTCTCAAGTATGGTGCTCAGTTTACCCTCATTTTTGCTTGTGATTGCTATCAATTCCTAAGGAGTCAGCCTAATGAATGGAAAAAAGAAAACATATAGTGAGCAGTATGGTAAGTTGATCTTCATAAATCAAAAGATCATGTTTTTAATAGGCAAAAAAACATACATAAAACCATTTCAGAACTGTTAGTGGTTACTTTTGAAGACTCTGAAAGGATAAACAAAATACGAGAATAATAGAAAAATGCAGTTGAAGTATCCATCTTCAAAAGCACAAAAAGAATATGCGCAATGAAGTCATGTGTTTGCAGAAATAAAAGAAAAACATATAGAAAACGATGTTATAGCAGGACTGACACACAGGTAAGTCTTAAAAAGAAAGCATACTTAGTTTTGGAAGCCACTCTTGAAGAAAGATTAATTGAAGAGTTCAGACAAGAAAAGCAGAACATCAGAGATATAAACATGATTTACAAGGAAAGACTGATTAGGTAAACACAATATTGTTAACTTATTCTCCACATTGCATTTTACAGAAGTCTACAGGGAGAAAAACATACAATGATTTGTCACATTCAGGTGAGAAGTAAAATAAGTGCCTCTTCTGTCCCATGATACAGGTCCCCCACGTAATTGCTCGAACTAAACAGAAGCACAAAGTGGAGATCCTCTCTCCCTTCAGAAGTTATTTAATAACAAAGCTACAAATGATAATCTGGAAAAAAAGTCATATAAATGTAGTATTTTCAGTATAGATTTATTCACTTCCTGTCAGTTCAAGAGTACTCAAAAAAAAAGACCTCAAGTGTCAAATGATGTCATCAGTGATGAGGACTTAATTCTCTGTATTTTCTTAGTAAATTTAGAGAAATTAAAGAGACTTCAGTTGGGATCATGAGATCAAGCATGCAAAGAAATAATATTTCTTTCTGGAATACTGCTTTAGATTTTACCTCATTGCAGCGTTTCTCATCATTACGCCTTGACAAATCTGAACTGATTTATCTGTGCAGTTGTTATGAGATTGCTTTATCTGAATACAGCATCTTTAGTTATACTCAAAATGACTTGGATGAAGTGGCTCTCTCGCATTAAATTCTCAGTGCCACATGGTGGAGTAAGAAGCACACAGAATTTATACTCAAAAAATGATCCAAAGGAGATCTGTAACAGCACATACATAACTCCCCTTTTGTCAACTCTGAAGAAGCTAAACTGATAATTTCATTTAAAAAGAAGAGCTAAACGTAATATTGTTTTCTCAGATTCATTTCTGATCAGCTGAGCCAAAGACCATTCCTCCTAGCCATGCTCTAAACAGATCTGGATTTCTGAAGCAAACCCTCAACAGCTTTCTGATTATAAATTCTCCCATATGTTCTTTTAGATATGCAACATATACTGCTGAACTGTTTACTAAATCCTTCAGCACGGATAAACTGACCCAAGCCCAGAAACCAACATCACTCACTGAAAGATTCCCATTCCAGCTGTGCAGACACTATTGTAGGGTATCTTATTATAAAAGAGCTATGCCAGCAGAAGCTCCACAGGAGGTACAGCCCTTCAGTATGTGCCTGTCCTATCACCAGTTGGCATGGCCATTCACTAAAGAAATGACCCAGTATATTTACCTGCATAAAACTGATTGTCTATTTCCTTTCCCTCTAAGGATTTTAGAGAACTTTACAACTGAACTTCAGAAAACTTCAGTATTTCCATTAAACTTATTCTGTTGTTAATTAGTTTGTTGCTTTTTATTTTGGTTGTTTGGTTTTTTTAGGTCCCACTGGCATCTTAAAATAAAAACATGAAAGGAAAAAACTCAGCAGCCTCTATACTGTTTTTCCAACACTGGTTATAGTATAACCAGGTAAACTTTACATCAGACAGTAAAATCTCCAGAACAAAGCCAAGTTCTGCAAAAGCACTAAGCTGAAATTCTCCCATGAAAGCATGCTTATTAAGGTTGATTTAGTTTTATGCTACTTCAATTACTGCAGCGCTGAATTGCTTCTCTTTATACAGTCTGGAATCATTGCCAATATTCTACCTGAGGATGCACATATATCAGATGTGTCCATGGGATTTATGAAGCACCAATGAACACTTCTGCAGCGTAAGGGTCCAAATGCACAAGAAAAAGAGCACACTTTCATATTGTTTTTTTTCTAATACATTTTTAACAAATGCTGATGTGTATCCTATTCCATAAAAAACCTGTTTATTTATATTTCAAGGAAAGAAAAAAATAATTCAAGGGAGTCAACTGATAGCTAAAATAGTTTAGGATTCAAACTAAAATAATAATTCACCTGAATCTGATCCTAATCTTATGCTGGCATAAATTGGAAGCAAATAAATTAGAATCCTTTTCCAAGTAAGGCCAAATGCAATATGATTCTGTTCTCTAAATATAACTTTTAAAATTCACACACACACGCATAAAAATACCTGCATGTTCTTATCAACACACATGCTAGAAAAGCAATTGAAAAGTACACCTATCTACCTTTTAATTTTTAATTTAAAAGACATGGAAATCTTTGTTTTCAGAGGAGAGAAAACATGATTTTCAGGTCTACATATATTCAACTCTGAACATATTTCAGATCATCTAAGTGACTTCATACAAGACACCCATTTTTTAGAATGATCTAAGACTATTGAATGCCTCTTCTAAAATCATTCTAAAGCATTTATTTTCAATTTCCCTGTATTCTTTTTTGTTTGTCAGTTTTTCTAATCTGACCTCCTAAATTTAGGTAGAATTTACAGAAAAGTTGTTGTACACAAAATTGTAAACTATTGTACTAGAGATGCTTGGTTTTATTTAATTTATATTCTTACCATTTTAATGAAGTAGTAAAGCAGATGTTACAGAAGAAAGAATGAAATGGTAAAAATTAGAATTAGATGTACGTTTTTATTTCAAAGGCTCAATAAAACACTTCTAAAGAACTGGAAAAGCTGTTTCTGTTAAACTTATATGAGCTGTAAAAACTGAAATATAAGAACATTTATATGCACATCATGAAATAATTAACAATGTTGTCTTTCTTTCTACACAGTATTTAGTAACAATCCCTAGGCCACATAATCAACTTTGTAAAAGAGCCATCTAAGAGTAGTGTAGATGATGAGTTTCTTCTTTCTAGGATGGGAACTGAATTTTAGTTTCATATTATTCATCTTTGTAATTTTAAAATCAATGCATAGTCTTCCATGGCATTTATAGCTCTTTACATGTTCTGGACACCTATATAATATAAATCAGAAGGAAAATATGACTTGACTGGAAGATTAGCTTGAACATGTCAAAGCAACCCTACCTAAAATTTACTTGCACTTTCATACCAATCATATTGCAAATCCTAATTATTAATATGATGCCGAGGGACAACCAAACACTCTTTGGTTGACTGCGAAAACCAGTAAGCACAGGAATACATCGACCTGTATATAACTTACCTGTGCTTCCTGAGGGACCTGTGCTGCATCAACTCTGTCTGCAATGTAGGCTGTTAGCTGTTTGTCAATAACAGCAAGAGACTCCTGGATTAAGCGTAGGGTTTTGTCAGTCTCCTGGGCAGATTGAATACTCTGTTCAAGACTCTTTTGTCTTCTCACAGCCTAAACACAATAACAATGTTATCAATATTCACAGTAATAATCTATATAATACATTTTTAACCACTTCCCCTCCCCCCGCCAAAAAAAAAAAACCCAAACAGGAATCCAAAACAGTACTCCTGACTTGTGCTCATCCACCTTTTTGTATGATAAGTTACGCATCTTTTTTCCACCCATTCAGTTTTTTTCAATAAGAACCAAACAAACAAAGCCCCAGATTGCACGGATAAATTGTAAAAACTGTAGGACCATGAAAATAAACGCGTGCATCGAGGATTTCTATACAAAGTGAAAGCTAGCAAAGCTGTATAATAAAACTATCCTGATAGTGCAGTCTTTCATTCTGAGGCACAGCCTGATCTTATATAATTCAAGAGATTTTGTTTACTGAGAATAGGGTCACTGTCATCACAATCCCATCTGAGACAATCCAGTAAGTGAAAGGGATAAAGACTCTCTTGAGAAGGAGCTCTCTTATATGAAGTATTAATAGCTGTCTGGAACAGAAGCAGTGCCTACTCTGTGGGAAAAAAAAAAAAAAATATAAAAGAGAGGGAGATGGATCCTTGTCTTGCCTTGTCTGTGGACTTGCACAATCTATTATCACTCTAACTATAGTCTTTTTTACTTAGGAATTTCAATCTTCCTTCTCCTCCACCATCAGTGCCACAGTAGATTTCCTACCATCACCTTTTACACAACTCCTTTTTCTGAGAAGGATGCTTTCCCATCAAATGAGCTCACTTTCTGGTTTACCAAATCAGAACAATAAATTCTTCTTCCAAATTGTCCTTGAAACACAGATATATTTAAGCACTTGACATAGCTTTAACTATTATTTGTAACGGTTTAATATGATATTTACCAGGTAATAAATAACCCGGCACTTTCTTTCACCTATCGTTGTACCCACTTGTGGACTCATATTTTAATTAGAATACATCAGAGTTTCTGCTTTATACAAAGAACAAAATAATTACCAACAATCTCATATGCAATACAGTTTTTGTCTGTACAAGCCCAGCCATAATGCTGACCACAGAATACACTTTCTCTGACATGAATCAAAAGAGGAGCGAGAAAGCAATCACCCTTCAAATAACATTGCCTAGTGTCCTGCCATTTTTCAAGTCAAATCACACTTTTTCTCTTTGGTAAGCAGCTATAATTTAATTTGATTTCATACCTATTACAAAACTCTTGCCTTGAACAAAAATATCTCTCAGCAATTCAGAGAGAACATTTGATATATCTACCTTCTTCACAGAGCTCAGATTCTTATACAGCTTCACATTTGACAAATGAAAAAGGTTATTTCTTGTGAGCATTCTTACTAGCTCTTGGACTTAGTTAAAGGATAGGGAACCAACCAGTATGTACCTGTATTTGTGTCTGTAAGCTGCTTTGTGCTATTTCAAAACAGCTGATCAGATAATCTTGAGTTACTGCCAGAAACCTTCTGTGGAACTGAGCAGCTTTACAGACACACGCTGTCAGTGTTAATGGAAGCACCTGATCCATTAAAGTATTATTACCCTATCAGATGAACTATTAAAACAGGGTAACTTTGCAGTACATTACTAAGGCTTGTGACTTAAATGACTTTTACCTTCACCTGATTCGAGATTTTATATTACAATGTTCTCAGTATGTTCAAAGCAGCAGGCTTAAAAACCACAGCTTCCATTTACCTTGGCACACATTACCATTAATTTGTAAGACTGAATAAGATACAGTCACTCCCTACCTTTCCATTTGCATCACTGTACAGTAGATTGGAAGACACATTAGATTAGAAATGGTAAGTAGCGTTTTACAGCCCCCACATAACGGCATTCTCCAGGAAGCCTTTACTGATCTCTTTGGATAAATGGTAGGACTAACCTAAGTGCATAATACATTCATACTGAGGGCTGCAGTGTTCAGATCTCACAATTCAAAATAAGACACTGAGGAAGTTCCATTCTTATTAGTCATTAAAATACATGCCTACACTTTTTGGAGAATTGGACACAAACTGGTGTACATCCTTCTGAAAAACTATATAGCAATACCTGAAGTTTTGAACCTTTGTTACATGCTGACATACATTAAGTACAATTTAGAGCTAGGCACTTGCTTAAGATAAATTTGCTGCGACCTCAGGAGCAGATTGCATACAAACAATGAATTAGTTATCAGCAGAAATTATATTATACCCCTTATAATGCAAGTGGAAAAATTAAACCATTCCCAAACCCACTGATCAAATATTAAAACAGATAAGGAAAGAATTATAACAAACCCTTGCATGAGTGACTTAATTTTTAGGGCTGTATTTGAAGCAAATGTGAAGTCAGATAAATATATATGCATACTTATGATACTTTTATGTACTCACAATGTCAACATGTACACACACACAGACAAAACATTGCTGTTTCAGTGTCCTCAGAGAGAATTTGATTACAGTCTGAGAACCTGTGCAACATTTTGTAACTTCCAAGTGAGGTGAAAGTACATCTTTTCCAAAAACTGTGAACAGTTTAGATGATCTGTTGGCATCAGACCAAGATGTAAATATGGCGGTAGAACAGAGGTATCATTAGGGCTGTGAAAGCAGACCCAAACAGCCAAATGCTGGGAAACAGCTCCTTCACTGTTGTGATGATTTTCTCAGATAGAAATGTGTGCTGCTTTAACTTTTTTGTCTGTATCACATTGGGAACAGACCTCATCCTGCATGCTCACCTAAGTCATGCCTCTACCTGACCCTGTTCAATTCACACAACAAATGTAATAGAAAAAAGTCTTCACAATAATCTTATAAAAGGTACGATACACTTACGTAATGTAAAATATTTCTCCAGTATAAACAGCTGACTCAAAATCCTAATCCTGTGTATTAAGTAGGTCCCTGGCACTGTCACTGTCATTGCAGAATACTTATTGATTCAACCAAAGGGAATGACACAATATGGAGGAGGCTTCTTCCTCTCTTTCAGGAGAAAAGAGAGCTATTGATAGAGATAAGCACTATAGGACTTTACAAAAAGGGGCACACATACTACACACACCTGTGGACTCGAGTTTCAAATTTGTCCCTGAAAGATATACAGATGTGCATGGTGAAAATCTGCATATGCATATTTTTAAGACATGTGAAAGCTGAAAATTTTTATATCTATCATACAAAAATATTTCAATTTATATATTCAGGAATTTTTGTTTGTTTGTTTGTTTTTTTCTTTTTGATCACCTTTTTTTTTTTCCTCTGAAAGATGTTCCTTTGTGGAAGAAATAAATGGTTTAACATAGCAGCATATATATAAATCGGTCTAGGACATAACAGGAAGCTCTAGCTTTGCTATCAGATAAGGCTGAAGGGTTTGGTCTCTAAAGGGAAGCATCTGACAGTTAATTGCTAAATAGAAAATCTCAGGAAAATAACCGTTTAATTATTTCTGAGCCAGTGAAATGTTGACAGATGTCAAGGACAATAACAACAAACAACAAACCTCCTGTTAGACATTATCAGAATGAAAAAGAAAAAATATTTACAGTCTGATTTTTTTTTTTATTAAAATTTCCACAGGTTTTTATAGATTTTTTATTATTAAGCACTACATTTATTTTTTATGATATGGGTATTGCAGAAAACTGTTTACAATTTAACAAAGATTGATGGTAAGTGGCAATGTTGCATATTATCCATCCATATAAAGTGAAAGGCTGCACTGAGAGGCAATCAAATATCAGGAAAGCTGGAGGTGCTCGAACAGTTGCTTATGACTAAGTCATTCTCTGATGTTGAATGTTATAAAGCTGTATTAATAGCCATTACCACTTTTTCCTTAAATAGCACATTTCATGTATTTAATGACATTTGTCGCACATACAGTTAGTAAGATGATCTGTAGAGTTTTGTGGTGAAAACCAAACTGAGTTTTGTTTTTAAGGTGGCACTTGGCAGTTGCACTGTAGAACAAGAACAGAAACTATTGAAAATTATACTGCTTTTACTACAGGGTATATTTATTTAAAATGTAGAAGAAAATTCATTAAGTTACAGCTCATGGAAAGGGGTCTGTTAACAAAGTCAGAAACAGGATAGACTTTTTTTTTTTTCTCAGTTATACTCTCTATTGAGAAATATTACTACTGCAGGGTAACGTTAAAAAGTTAGGAAGCTTTAAAATCGCTTCTTAACTTGTTTAAATTACTTTAAAATTTCACCCAATTCTTGGTATTATAACAGTTGTGCCTGAGATATATTACAACATCACTATATGATTTGCATCAAATTGTTATTGTGTTAATCTCCGCTTCTTGTCTGGAACCAGAGTGGATTAGTCTTTAGGCTAAACTAAAAGCACCTTTTCTAACATTCAAAGCATGCATTTTGGGTCCAGGAAATTTTAACACCCTCCAAGCTGGAACTAATTCTTGTACAAATTCTAGTAATGTTTCACAGTGTTTTTTTTTAACTAAGTGGCTACAAATATTTGACCTTTCACCATAAAATTATATTCATCTTTGATTAACTGTATTCCAAAACTGGAAACTATACCAAGGAGGCCTGATTTATCTCTTTAGAGTATGACTGCATTCAGATAATGCTTCAGAACATATAAAAGCAGTCCTCTTAGCAGTTTTCAAAGTAATCACGTGGAGATGGGACATGAAGAATTCTTTCTCCTCTTGAGAAGAGAATAAAAGAAAAAAATGTGTCAAATGATGAATGTGTGCTTTTTGAAAGAAAGAAAGGGTAATCTTGAGGGGAGTCTTAAAATAAATTAAGAGACAGTCCCCAGTAATAATAATTGAATTTTGTGTAAAACTCATCTGAAAAATAATGTTTTTTATAGTTCTTTGCAAGCATAGCCTCAAGAATATCTGAAGACATTTCTGAAGATTGCTTGGACAGGATGTAAATCACTTTCAGCATTACAGAGGAAGATAGCCACCTGCAATATTACATTGAAGTTCTTCAGGCAACAGTGTTTTTTAGATCCAATATATAGGGTTGTAAGTGAATCAGTCCTTGAAAAGTAAAGATAGGGTATATGTTGCTTATCGATCAGCCCCAGATGTTCAAAGGCAAACTAAACACACTCAGTCTTTGTTAACTAAAGAAGATAAGGCATACAAACGCAAAGCCGTTATCTGCCTTTAAAAATGAATCTCTGCCTCAGTAGCAATGCTGCATTGTCTTGCAGCATCATTTACATGGCAGTGGTTTGGATTGGTTGCTCTATTAGTAACGAATAAATATTTCACATATCAGTTTCTGTCCACATGAGATTATTGTCTTGGTAATTACCTGCACAATTATTCAAGTAAAAATAAATAAATTAACCACAGTAGGACAGCCTATTTGTCTGAAGTAGAAGTGACCTTGAACACAAGCTGAATAGTGTTATGCACCTGCAGTGTATTTTTATGCAAAGAGAGTGTGTGCTGTTTGGATTTCAACAGGGCTATACAAACAGCACAGAATATTCAGTGTCAGGAATCTACAAAAAATAAAGTGTGTGAGATTTCAGTGGAAAAATTAATAAAACATTTTGTTGTAAAAAATATAGAAGCAGGGTGCCTGAGTCACTCGTGATTGGTTTCTTTACAGCTCTTCTATTCATACAGAGATCTCACCTTTGACTACTAAATATCAGATTAAACTTTCAAAGAAGGGAGGGGGCTCCACCCTTCTCTCATGTTGTTTTTTCCTATATTTAAACTAAACTGGAAAGCAATAAATAAATTTAAAATATATTTTGCTTATATAATTATCCAAATTGTCTCCAGAATTTCACACAACATCTTCATGTTGTACTTTCCACATTTAACCCCTGCAGCTGGCATGAATATTGATTTAGTGTGTATTATTGTATTTATTCATTACTCAGAATATTTGAAAATCCTGTTTTTACATGCTAGAAGGCCTCTGTATATTCGCACTTTTAGTTATTGCTGAGCAGTGCTTACACAGTGCCAAGGTCTCCTCTTTTCCACTCCGCACCTCCCAGAGAGCTGGGAAGAGACACAGCCAGGACAGCTGACCTGAACTGACCAAAGAGATATTCTGTACCACACAGAGTCATGATCAATAATAAAAGGTGTGTGGAGTTAAGTTCCTCCAAAACTGCCATTGCTCAGGGACTGGCGGGATATTGATCTCCTGGTGGTGAATGACTGAAAGCATCACTTGCTTTTTACCTTTTCCTCTTTAACTTATTAAATTGTCTTTATCTCTATCCATGAGTTTTCTCACTTTTGCCTTTCCAGTTCTCTCTCCCATCTCCCCACCAGAAGAACTGAGAAAGTAGCTATGTAGTACTTTACTACATATTGGAGTTAGCCCACCACACCTATGCAAAATGTCCACTTTATAGAATTACAGAATGGTTTGGGTTGGGAGGGGCCTTAAAAATCATCTAGTTCCAGCCCTCCTGAACATGGGCAGAGACACCTTTCACTAGACCAGGTTGCTCAAAGCCCCATTCAACCTGGCCTTGAACACTTCCAGGGATGGGGCAGCCAAAGTATCTCTGGGCATCCTCTACCAGTGCCTTGTCACCCTCCCAGTAAAGAATTTTTTCCTATTATCTCTTTTTTTCCAATTTTTCCTAATTTTTTCCTACTACCCTCTTTCATCTTATGGTAGATTTGGATTAGATATTGGGAAAAAAACACTTAAAAATAAGTCTTTGAGTACTGTTTAGGAACTATAACTACAAAATAACTTCTTTAGTTTGCAAGGCTGTCAGCTGTTTAATGGGAGGACAGGTCAACTATTAAATATACCTCCTGCTGAATTTCTTCCCATCGAGTATTAAACTTCTCAAGTTTCTCATTGATCAATTCATCCAAGATTCCACCATCAGTTAAAGTCTGAGCTAATTCCCGAATTTGATTGCGGTTGTCTTCTGGATGTCTCATTAAACGTTCCAAAGACTGGAAAAAGATCAAAACCACAGTCTGTTTATCTTTCTGCAAATTAGGTTCTAGAGGAATCACAATTCACCTTAATAACTTAAGTAAGAAACTTCAAACTTCATACATAGTAAAAGTAGTGAGAAAAATAAAAATATCTATGTCCCTTGTCTTGGCAGTCAATGTTCTGTACTACTTATTACTGAAAACAAATATTTTTCATAAAGTAATAAATTGGGTGTTTGAGTTTAAAAATGTGGACTATGCCCAATAAGTTCAATGGGACTATTTGGGTACTAGACAATAAAAAAAATTGTTTGAGGATCTGAATGGATCAAACTCAACAGCAAGAATGCATTTTCTATGTAACATTTTGTATTTGATCCACTAATAGTTTTAATTTAATTTCTACACATTTGAAATTAATAAAAATTAAGTTCCATGAATAAAAATTACAGAATAATAAACAGAGTTGCAGTGCTAGTTTGCTCTCTCTGAAGTCTTCAACATTTTTTGACTGGCCTAGGTGATGCCACGTTTTTTAATAACATATATTTTGTTGTCACCAATAATTGCCTATGACATCAGGCACAATCATTTAATTACTCTGTTCCACTTTCATAGATCTGAATACAAAACCTTATTTGTTGAATCAACTGAGAACATAGGACTTTCCAAATATTCTGCATCTTGCTCACATGTAATATTAATTGATTGTTTTGAATGCAATGTGATTTAGAATTTATCAGTACAGGTGGTTTGAGATTATTAACATCACACTTACATCCAGAGACTCAGAAATCTCTTCTGCACCTCCCTGGATATTTTCAGTTGCCTTGAGTTTCAGTTCAACCTCATTCAACCATTTATTTTCTGCATCCAAATACGACAATAATTCACGCCAACATGCCCATACCTCCTAATGGAGAAAAAAAAAGTTTATCAAGATTGAAAATCTTCCAGCTTTCAGTCATTAAACTATTGAAAACATTGCATGCTTCATCCCCAAAACAACACGGTTGATATCTGATGGCTATGGTGCCATATGGTTGATTTTCTTCTCAGTATTTATATATTTCATGTAAATATAATATACGCCCAAAACATGTACATTAAACAGAAAAAAAAAACAACATGGAACATAACATGAAAAAGTAAGCACTACTGCAAAATACAACTTGAATTTTCTGTCTCATGTATTTTCCTCTTTATATGCTTTTCTGTAAAATTTTCTTGTAATATATAAATATGCAAGTTATCAGAATTTTTAAACACTCATGTTAGAAGTTTATGCCTTTATTACAAGATGTAGTTAGGTTGCTTATATATTCTGCATATTAATTACTAAAAATACAGGCTCATAAAATGTCTAAAACCACAGCTCTCAAGAATTCTGACTGAAATCTCTATGGAAATTAATTCTGAACCACATTTAGTGCAGTTTATAGACCACTTAAGTACTAGAATACTTAACAATGCTGCAAAATGAAATTATGTTCTTATTCTCTTATCATTGTCTAATATTTTATTTTTACAGTGCCTGAACTGTAACATAGCTAAACCCAACACTTTATACACAAGCAAAACTTTTAAACTCTCCGTAAGTCATCCTTTCATTGTTACATTTTTTGTTTGTAGAAGTTAAAATAATTTTATGGAGATGCATTAGGCTGTTTGTAGATAGTTTCCCAGAGTTCAATTTATCTCATCTAACTTTGGTCCTATCGGATGTTAAGCATCTGGTTTAGAAGGAGGTTATAGAGAGATATTAACAAACAACATCATCAATGATTAGAAGAAATACAGATTACCAGTTTAGACTACACAATTTTCACAGCGAAATTTAGAGGAGATAAATTTTATGCAGGTATATAATTGTCCTGCATGAAGTTAGCTATTGCAAATTAGTTCACAATAAAAATCACACCTAATTCACTGTTACCACTGTATAAAATACAAATACCCCTATGGCAAGAATCTGTAATGGAGTTGGCCAAAACAGCAGCATCAACTCAAAATGCATAAAATATTCACATTGCCAGCAGATCAAATGCCGTTCCCATGCTGAGATAACATCACCAGCTTCAGGCCATTCAACCAAAACCCTCAGCCATGGAAGAAAAAAACTACAGAAACTGTTGATGATGTCACAGGGTTGCTACAGAAGGCAGATGCTTGGCTTAATCTCAAAAAGGGTAGGAAACCTGAGCAGCCATTGTTGCCTCCCACCTAAAAGCTATATCTAAGGCTTTTCTTCTCTAGCATACATGATTCTCAAAAAACATGTCGTATATAACTCATACAATGTGGTATTTCATACATGGTTCATAAAGCAAGGACAGCCTGGGCTACTCATGATCTCATATGATAATACATCTTTGTTCTCTACCTTATTTTTTCAGTTAGAAAGGCTATAAATATAATGACTGACAAGATATCCAACCTCCAAAGTTTTGCACTTTCCATTCAGTCTGCTGCAGAGTCGCTGGTAGCTGGTAATTAGAACATCAAGCTCCTTTTTCAAAGCCTCATGAGCTGCAGGTGGAGCCTTTGCTATAAAATTATTCACAGAATCAGTAATAAGTTTCACTTTCACTTCTTTCTGCATGGCTTCCTCCTTTGCTCTCTGGAAAAAAAAAATAATAAAAAATTAGTCTTGTCTTAACAAGGACACTTATTTCTAATAACTGTCAGAATTCCCTCAGAATTCTGCTGGAAGGAAAAAAAAAACCAAACAACCCCACAACAATAACAACAAAAAACAAGAAAAAAACACAAAAAACAAAAAAACAAGAACCATTTAATTCTCAGACTTTCTGACATAATCTTGAATGCAACCCAAAATCTTTGGGGTTTTTGGTTTTGTTTTTTTTTTTTTTATGTTACAAATTCATGTACCCAGGTTTAAAGGTACCACCACAAGCAGTAAAACAGGAAAAAAAGGAAAATACTTCTGAATGATTTTCCTCTCTGTGACACTGTCATTAACCTGCATTGAAAGAGAAAAGGAGAAAACAATTTTTCTCCAGTGTTCATTTCATATATTTATGAGAACATTGATGTTGATTTCATTCTTTCACTTTACAGAGAGAAAAATCAGCTCTATTATTCACCCCAGTGAACATTAAGCTAACATGAAGAGAGGACAAAGTAAAAAGGAAACATCTTCCTAAACTGCACTTTCTGCATTAGACCCCAGGCAGAAAAGTTTAACAAAGAACAGACATAGGAAATATAAGGATCTGAGAGACACAGAGAATCACAAATGGGTGGCAATTAACAAATCCCACATAATGCAACTGGAACAACCCACCTGCCACCTTTTCCCTGGTTTAGTCTATGTAACCACAACAACTGGTGTTCCCACCTTTCTTCCTCCAACTTTCATACTCTCCCTCGTGTTATGCTGTCTCATTAATAAGATATAGCACTCTCATACCTAATATTGTTTTGTATGAGTGCTTACAGTGGGAGAGTGTCTATGATTGGAGTCACATCACTACCGGAAACAGTGATGGTACACACAGTGTCATCACTATGTACTGGTCTTCACAGGAATTTAAGATGGGAACTTCCTAGCCCAAAACCATTAAACTAAAACCTTGCTCCCAGCAACCTTCTTTCTCTCTGGGTCTGAGGAAGTCCATGAACCAGAATAATTGCAATCACACTTTGATTGCCAGGAAAAGTTTAATAGGTTGTTCTTCCTAGCTGTGGGGAGAAATGGGTTACAAGATGAACAAAGAATTCTGGTCCAGATTTTGCCTGTTATGTAACAGGCTGCAAGCCTTCAGGGAAAGGATCATCAGAAGCAGCTGCAGGGATGCATGACAGATGATCTGATTATCTGCGTAAGTCGAGGTGTCACAGTTTGTACATATCTTTATTCCAGCTGGAAGTACAGAATATTCACCAGAAGTCTATATGAGAGTTGTGTCTAAAACTATACATTTTACCCATTTTATTATGGAGTGCAATGTATACATTTCAGTTTTAGTTCATCTTTTTACCTTCAGTTCCTCAAGAGCATTCTGTAATTCATCAGGTGTTTTATAGTCAAAATCTCTTTCCAGATATTCTTCCTCAGCTTGTGTTATCCATTCATGCATCTCTGACAAATCTTTTCGGAGACTCACAGTTTTATCCAAACCACCTTTTAACGCTGTCTTCTTATCATAGGCCTTTAAGAAAGAAAAGATTATATGGTACTTAAAGCAAGGGTACTGTACTAACTTGACAATACTTTAGCCTGAAAAGAACCAAATTACATCCTATACTAACAATATTGCTGTAATTAGACAGATGTTAACACATAATTAGATGGGTATTAATAATAGGTAATGAAGAAAGTATTACACATGTGTGCATATGTACTTTTTTTTAGCAAATTATTGTTTTGCAGAATGAGTTTTTAATGGTCCTAGATCAAGAATCTGCACCATATGTTAAGTTCATTAGAAAAACAAAAATCTGAGAAAAAACATCACCTAAGGATTTCTAAAATGTAAAAAAAAACAATCACAGGAGACCTTTAAAGTGCATCTAAGGATAAAACAAGAGCTATGAAGGAGCGTGACCAGCAGGTTCAAGGAGGTGATCCTGCCCCTTTACTCTGCTCTCGTGAGACCTCACCTGGAGTATTGTGTGCAATTCTGGTGTCCTCAACATAAAAAGGACATGGAACTGTTGGAACAAGTCCAGAGGAGGGCTGTGAGGATGATCAGGGAGCTGGAGCACCTCCCGTATGAAGATAGGCTGAGGAAGTTGGGGCTGTTCAGCCTGGAGAAGAGAAGGCTGCATGGAGACCTCCTAGCAGCCTTCCAGTATCTGAAGGGGGCCTATAGGGATGCTGGGGAGGGACTCTTCATTAGGGACTGTAGCAATAGGACAAGGGGTAACGGGTTCAAACTTCAACAGGGGAAGTTTAGATTGGCTATAAGGAGGAAATTCTTTCCTGTTAGGGTGGTGAGGCACTGGAATAGGTTGCCCAGGGAGGTTGTGAATGCTCCATCCCTGACAGTGCTCAAGACCTGGTTGGACGAGGCCTTGGGTGATATGATTTAGTGTGAGGCATCCCTGCCCATGGCAGGGGGGTTGGAACTTGTTGATCATAAGGTCCTTTCCAACCCTAACTATTCTATGATTCTATGAAGTCAGATGACCTCCCAACCAGTCTGAATGCAACTTGCTAGAGAATAGGCTGGATGGGGCTTTGAGCAACCTGGTCTAGTGTTAAGCATCCCTGCCCATGGCAGGGGGATGGAACTGGACAATCCTTAAGGTCTTTTCCAACACAAACCACTTTAAGGTTCTATAATTGTATGATTATTTGAAATTTCTCTGAGAAAAGTGCAAAGGTATATAACTTATTAATATAATCAAAATAAGCATTTAAAACCTCCACATTAGTTGGTGCGAAAAGACTACGGGACTGGATCAAATAAATGTCTTACAGGTTTCAAAGATCAACTTTTTTGTTATATATTGATCAGAAAAATATACAGAGGGTATTTTTCATATGTAAAGTGAATAATTATAATTTTAGAGAACATTAGACCACCCAGAAAGGTAATAGTTTGACTGTTATGCAAATATACATTAAAAAGGTAGACGAATGAGTAGAAAAAAGGTAAAATTTTGAACTGTCATAAAGAATAAGAATCCAAACACCACCAAAGAAACAACAGTAATTTTTAACTTCCGTAATCTGTAAAATTATTTATCAGGAATGACTTTAATTAAAATAAAAGAACTATCATTTCCTGTTATGCCACATTCTTATAAATTCATACGATCACTGGAGACTAATTCACACACACACACACATACGTGCACATACTCTTAATTCCAAGTTAGTGAATTCTGGACTCTTCACCTTTAATGTCTTATTTCATATAGAGTAACGACACAAGAGTACAATGATGCAGCAGAAAATGCAACAGTAAATACAGAAATGGATTTTTTTAGCAGATGCCACAATATCAGTTTCAGAAAGCTAGTTTTGCAGGAGCCATAAATTGCTATTACTACCTAAGATATTAGTATATAACTCTGTTATAAAAACAGTATGATATTGTATTATAATATAAATAAATATACTTTACATGTATTGCTACATGCTAAATAAAGTTAAAAAAAAAAATTTATTAATGTGAACCAAACATATCTAAATTCAGTTTCCTATCTACCGGAAATACATTGAAAACAAAATTCTGCTAATGAGAAATTTAATTATTAATTTAAAATTAACTAGTCTCAAAGGAAGACTTGATACCTGTTGGCAAATGTGTTCCCACTGAACATTGAGATCCTTTAGTTCTTTCTCTATTCTGGAAGCAAATTCTGGCTCTGCTTCACTCTTCATTTTCTTCCCAACTTCATTAACACTGTTCAAACTGGGCTGGATTGTCTGGATATCATTTACTAAAGCCTAAAGGAATAACAGAAGATTAGGCAAGCATCATTCACACAAAATTTCAGATATGCTATCCCTATCACAATGTGTCTACACGAGATCCTGCCATTTCTTTGGTCCAGATCTCCATTCAAATGAGTGTAACTAACAGACTTAACTATGAAAATAAAAAAGGAATGAGAGCTGTAATGTGGTAAGCTATGCTATATAAGATAGAGTTCATTTGCAAAATATACAAGTTTCAAATGTTATATATATGCTATTTAGACAAATACACAAATAATGTTATATTACATATATTACAATTTTTACAATGCCTAGATCTTTTATTCACATTTGTGAAAGAGCATCCCATCATAATGATGGAAAATTACTAGTGAAGCCATCTTATTAACTTTCTGCTTTATGTCAGCATTACCTTTGGGTTGGTAATTCATCTGATAACTTCCTTAAAATAATCTGAATGGTAATATTCCTGGGTTATTTCTAGTTATTAGAATTTTATTTTTGGTTGATTATTATTTAAACCTTGAGGGAGTTCTATATTGCCACTTCAATTTCTATTTCCTAAGGCCTTCTTCAGTGCTTCAGATGTTACCTGGGCTTCCTACACAGTGGAAAAGGCTCGAAGTGTTAACACATAAAATATGATCAAGATTTTGGTAGCTTTATTATATATCTGACAGTAATGGCTAATATTTATGCAAAACCTTCATAAATACAGGTGACAGAGTCTAAAGAAGTTACATGTAGTTTACCACTCTGTAGAAGTAAGAATTGTCCTATATAATTTAATTTTTTTATTTAGGTAAGCGATAAGAGAGGAAGCCTGAGAAGCTCATAGCTCTGCAAGATCAGTATGTTTGTTTCATCATATTTACATGTTCTGCTACATCAGAACTTGTAAATTCCACTGAACAGAGACAGGGACTGTCATGGATTACAGGATTCACTGCATTTATACACTCTGCTTGGGACAAGCAGAAGAAGTTGCAAAGCCATGAAGCAGTTATCAATACTTCATAATTCTTCAAAATTCTGCTTGGGAAAAATCCTAGAACTTCTAAGTTTAGTGGAATAAAAAAAACCCCAACATTTATAACACACAATACCTGCAAGTTTTTCCAGTATAGGTAGAAAAGCGTGTAAATCATGTGTAAATAACAGACACAGAAAGAGATGTTCTGGCACAGATTATTCAGTTTACAACAAATAAACATGCAATGTTTGTAAACTCAACAAAGTAAATAAACAGTTATCTTTGAAGGCTACAAACTTACTTGCTGCAAGTACACTGATGTTTTGCTCCACTATGGTCACTCAATGGAGTGACCATAATGATAGGGTCACTCAATGCCTCCTTTCTGTATTGAAGTTTCCCATTTTTTAGCAGAATTATACTTTGAACTCAGGAAATGCAGGAGGTTTAAATACATTGCAGACGGCAATACCCTTACAACATGAATTTATTTTCAGGAACATTAATTAGTTGTGTAACATCTGAGGAGGTTAGACTCACAGAGAAGAATAATTACCAAGCAGGCAGGTAATACTCACTGTACATTGCTCAAGTTGTTTTTCCAGTGCTTCTGAATCACCAAGGGCAGGCCACTCTTCTTTCAGAAAAACATCTACTTCAGCCATCCACTTCTTCAATGTTTTAGTGTCATTCTGTTTATTAAAAAGACATTTTATTACATCACACAGAACCTGACTGGCAATGGTGTAATTCATCCTGGCACTATGACTAAAACTCACCGCAATGTAATTTCTAGATTATTGAACTATCTGAAAAACACAAACACAGCAAACAAGAAAAACCAATTTTACTTGGGATTGTCATCGACTCTTTAGTCTACACTCTGACCATTTCTGCCCAAGTTGGGTGGGCAACTTTCTGGATCTTAAGATTATGCCTTCCAGATATCATTGTGTTTAGATGCTGCACATATGTTCATTGGTTCCTAGTATGGCTTCAGACTACTCATGCATGGCAGATAATTCAGGCTTACCTATCAAATCCTTCACAGCTTCGATCTCAATTTTAGACTTCTTTTGGAAGCTGCATGTTCTACTGCCTATTTCTCTACCAGAACACAAAACAGAAATACTCCCTTACTACTCTGCAAACAAACCAAAACAACCGAATAATTGAAACAGATTCAATTTGGAAACTAAAATATGACTCAATAAGTCATTTCAGAGACTCTCTGTTGCTATTTCTACCACTAGAATATTTGTAATCAATTATTTCTTTCCAGTCCTTAACTAACCCTTGCAATTAATAAAGAAAGCTGAACATCAAATGTTTGAAAAGAGAGAAATTACCAGTTCCAGCAACACAGAATCACAGGATGTTCAGGGTTGGAAAGGATCTTAAGATCACCTAGTTCCAACCCCCCTGCCATGGGCAGGGATGCTTCAACCTAAACCAAATCACCCAAGGCTCTGTCTAACCAGGCCTTGAACACTTTTATAAATAACCTAATACCTTGAAAAATAAAATGAGATTTTAAAAAGGTTATTTAAAATTACTTTAAAATTTCACCTTAGATAAAGATTGACATACACATGTTAAAATAAAAATTGTAAGGGGCAAAACTTTTAAAGGCAAATTGTAAAGGTTTTTTTAATCAAACTGTTTCCATCAACAGCAAAGTACATAGTGATATTATATGCTGAATACAAAATTGAATTAAAGCACTTAAAAGGACATTTCATTAGAATACAAACTGTGCACTAAAATGTGTACAGAAATGCCTTAGCAACTATTAGATATAGACAACAAAAGAGAATGTTTTCCTAGTGTGCTTCATATAACAACAGGCTACTCCGGACATTGAACTGAGTTAATAAAAATAATCATACAGAAACAGTATACTTCAGATTTTCAATTACCAAAACACTGTTGAAGTGTCTATGGTGCATTCCATTATCAGTCAGTAAAAATAGTTCAGAATCATATTTCCATATTTCATTATGAAACTTTAATACCTTTATAAGAATACATTAAGTATAATTCATTAATGCTGCAAAATATAGATGTGATGGGATTCACTTAAAAAGACATCAGTCTCCAGCTACTGATGAAGACTGAATATATGACTTGCATTTTGAATCAGAATGCAAATGTATTTTATTTATTAACACTGATATCATAGTACACCATGTTGACACATTCCATAAACTACAACAGCTAAACCAATAATTTGGAAAATAAGTTATTCAAGGAGTCGAAAAGAAATACTTTTATATTAACTGTGTACTATGGTTACTTCAACATTAACTATAAAGTCTAGGATTTGTACGCAACAGTAGCTCACAGCTTTAAAACACATGCTCTACAGAGCATGGTCATGATGTTCAGGACTTTCTCCTTTCAAGAGCAGTGGGTGAACCTCTAAACCTCTATTCTAAAATTTCAGGGGAAAAAAAGACAAAAGATTGACTTTCTCAAGGAAATTGTACTGCTCTATTTTGTGCAATTGCAAATATTTCATAAAACTATTGATCAAACAGATTTTCAGCTTTCCTGTTTATATAGGGTTTATGTGGCAAGGTTTTGGTAGCAGGCGTGGCCTCTCAGAAGAGGGCAAGTGCTACCCTGTGCTGGACACAGCCAGTTCCAGCTGCCTCCAAGGTACCCACCACAGGATATAGCTTGTTCTATGATCAGCCAATGACAACTAAGTGATAATATAGTTAAGAAAAGGCATAAATACCAGACAGGAAGAAGAGGAGAGAAGTAAGAAACAGCCCTGCAGACACCAAGGTCAGTGAAAAATGAGGGAGAAGAAGTTTCTGGAGCAGAGATGTGGTGCAGACCATGGTGAGGCAGGCTGTCCCCCTGCAGTCCATGGGAGTCCATAGTGGAGCAGATATCCACCTGCAGCCCATGGAGGATCCCACACTGGAGCAGGTGGATGCACCCTATAGGAAGCAGCAGCCAATGCAGGATCCCACAAAGAAACAGATATATTGCAAAGACTGCAGCCTGTGGAAGAACTCATGCTGGAACAGGGGGAAAGAGTGAGAAGGAAGAAGCAGCAGAGAGGAGCTGTTATGGTCTGACAACAGTTCCTATTCCCTATCCCCCTGCACCCCTTGGTGAGAGAGTAAAAAGAGTAAAGCAATGGAGTGCAGACTAGGAAAAAGAAGGAGGGGGAGAGGTGTTTTTTTAATTATTATCTTTATCTTTGTTTCTTACTATCCAAATCTATTTTAATTTTCCTCAGGTTGTGTCTATTTTGTGCATGATGGTACCTGGAAAGTGATCTCCCTGTCTTTATCTCAGTCCAAGAGCTATTCCATCCTTTTTTCTCCCCCTGTCCATCCAAGGAAAGGGCATGTGAGAGCAGCATGGGTACCTGGCTGCTGGCCACGATTATCCCATAATACCATTAAACTTCATCTCATGGCCAGCTTCAAACATCAGAGAGGTAGCTCTGATGGAGCCAAAGTTACAATTTAGAGCAATGTGGCACTTCAGTAGCTAAATTACAAATGTTTCCTCCGTTTTTTGGCTCATTCTGCTTAACTGATGAAGAATAGCATGACAGTAAGTACCTTTTTTTTTCTCTAAGAAGCTTTTTTCCTCAACAAAAGCAGAAGTGTAAGGAATACCTTGTCAGAAAGTTTATTCCTAACCAGACAACTCTATTGAGTTAAGCTGAAAATACCAATTACAGTTCACATGCTACTGAATTATAATGTACAACATGGTGCTAATCGTGTATCATGTTCTACTACCAGCAAAACAAAGTCAAGGACAGAAATATTTGATGTGACTAGAAGGAATGCAGAGAGACAACACTGAGAAGAAACACACTGTGAGAACACAGCTTTGAGTAAAGCTGCAGGACCACAACCTTCAGAATTTTCTTTGCAATATCCTCCATAAGTATGCAAGTATTCATTTGCATGGGGGCAAGGAGAGAAAAGCATATAAAAACATAAAAATACCTTCTGGTTTTGTGATTAGTTGATCTGACTTATTTGAAATCTGCCCTTGAAATTATATAGAAATAGACCAGGATTATGTTAAAAATTGACTGATTTTTAAACCTGATAACATCTAGGTCATAGACATCCCATGTAATGCTAATAGATGTGATTTACAAATAAGTATAAATAGGAGATCTTCACAATGACAGAAACAGTGGAAGAGTAAAATGCTGTCATTCTAAATATCATTCTAAATTCACACAACCGTGTAAGTCATGTACTCTTCTGCTTTCTGGCAACTCTGCCGAGATACTACCATATTACTTAATTATGCAAATTAGTCCATTAGAGTCAGTATGGTTAGAGCTACTTCAGGGGCATGAAAAAGTACTTCAGCTACATTTAAAAACTAAGTAGAGGAATATTAGTCACAATTTCACTGTTTTCCTATTGAAACAGCATTGGCAGAAATAGGCATAAAATCAGAATTCAAAGTATAATCTTGGATCTACCAAAATCAACCACACATTTTAATACGTTTTATGTACTGTTCTGATATTTCACTTTGGTATTAATTTCTGCATTTTTATTGCCATTTATCATGCATTCTGGGCTAGTCCCACAGCCACAAACTGACACGTAGTAGCTGGAGCTGAAAAAGTTTGGTTAACCTGGAATCGCTGGAGTTTGGTCATAAGCTCCTCAAGTTTTTGGCAATGTTCCACCAGCTGCGCTGATAATTTCTTCCAACGGCCAAGGATCACCTCAATCTCTGATCGATATCTTTGGCTGACTTCTGCAGGGGCTTTCCTGGATATGTCTTCCACAGCTGTGCTGAGATAGTTCAGGCCCTTTTGCTGCTCTTGCAGAGAACTTTGTAGAGCCTATGAATAAGAAGCAAATGGTGACCCAATTCATGTGTCCAGCAATTCTCTTTGTTTTACAAACATACATGAAATTGCTGAAGAAAGGACTGAAAACTAAAAACGTATGTCACCTTTGCTAAAATATCCAATGACGTATTCTATCGAGGAATTTAGAATTGCTTTTCTCACAGAAACTCGAAAGTAGATTTTTTAGTTGAACTGAGAATATTAACCAGAGGTGTTTATACTCATTAATAGAGGTGATACACATACACTTCATTAATTTGAGACAGGAATTTACTACGCCTCTAATGATTACATGCTCAAAACTCAGACAGTACATGGAGAGAAAGAATAAACTTAGACCTGCTTCTATGACTTAAAATTTTCGATGATAATACACTTTCACAATTATTTTCCCAGTTTGCTGCATCTAACTTTTTTCTATATCCTACTTTTTATTTCTGAATGTGCATTAATAGTTGCATCAAACCACATGCTGCTTATCCATCCAATAGTGGAACAACATCAAACATTAAAATGTAGAGAAGGTTTGCGCTCACTGGCAAACTTGTTCTACATTTGTGTCTGCTTGTAAATCTGACAGGAAATCTAACAAAGCCTGTGCAGCATTTTACAAATCACAATCACATAAATTTTCCATGTCAGCACTGGAAAATGAAATTAGCTAAATCTATACTTAACTCCCAGAGCTATCATAAAAAAAAATTTAGATATCATGGGGACATGGCTTTTGCTTAACATGTTTAATACGTTAGAAAATTGGTTTCACTAATGAGGAACATTTTCAACCCTTTAAGGATCATGTGAGTATCCACTGTCTCCTGAAGCCCTTGCCTGAAACTTGAATGGGTATAATTCACTCAAGACCCACAGGCTTCAGCAGATTCATGACAACTAAGGGTTCTGTCCCTCCAAACTTTTCGTTTGAGATATTTGTTCCCACAGCCTGACCACTCACCTTGAGGTCCCTGAGTCTCTGCTCCATGATTTCATATTCAGCAACTGCAACCTGAGGCATGGAGAGTTTAGTTTCTGACTGCTGGATCCACACAAGTATAGTGTTCATTGTCTCTTTGTAGTGTGCAGGAGGCAAACTGTCAGAAACTATATTCAATGGGGAAGAAAAAGGGAAGAAATAAAATAATTTTGTGCTTCATTATTCTGTTTTCTTATAGAAGATGGTTGACAAAAGAATAAACGACCAAGCTTTATTGAAGCCAATGGCTATTTTGCAACAGATTGCAACAGGTCCAATATGTCAGTATCTGATTTTTCAAAAAATTGTGGAGGCAGAAAACTTTTGAAGAATGAATACACTCATTGTAAAGTTTATGATATCTCTGTTGTTTTATCAGGTGTGTGTCATTTGACTCTATTGTCATAGTCCACATGACTAGTTATATGGCCAAGACAACTTGTTTAAATATGTGTGCTTAGAGATCAACAAACAAACTATTGTACTTAATCCAGAACCTAATTTCAGAAATGCAGTAAGAAATAACATTCACTTTTATGGCCCATGTTTGTGTGTTTAATGTTTCTGTTCAAGTAAAATGTTCTCTTTAAGACATCTGTTAGGAAATTAATCTTTGTTTTGCATAAAAGTTGAATTTCATTGAACTGTGCTTATTGTGCCAACATTACAGCTGCTGTAAACAGACAACATCTGGCAACACATGAGCAAGTCATTAGCAGAGATACTCCCTCTGCCCTCAACAACATTTGCTTCTCTGCTCGCTGAAAAAAGTGAAGGCAAATAGCATGGTTAGTTGGAAATGAAGCATTTCCAATTTATACCACATAATAATGAAGAATATAGAAGCTCAAAAAAATATTACACCTATTCATCCCCTGTATGTCACTGGTATGTCAGAAAAAACAGCTCTTAGAAATTATATAGGTTTCCAAAAAAACATTTTAACAAACAACACAAAGATTTTAAATGCAAGCTTGCTTACATTCTCAGAATTAAATATACTCCAGATTAACCTAATATTTTAGTGATCAACAGAATGCTACTTAAACAAAAAAAAAAAATTAAAAATTCAGGCATCAAATGACATACTAAAATCAGCGGCATTGAAGCTCTCTGTTGTGGAGTATGCACATTGTATATAAAAACCTTGGCTGATCTGATATATCACACACATCTGGGGATTTACAGAAGATAGGACTTGGTACCAGAAAAGACAAAAATTTCTTTCCTTGTGATGTACTTTCTTTACACAGAAACCGATAGTAATACATTCTTGGAAACACAAAAAAACAAACATTTTCCATCTCATGGAATAGCATTCTAAATCCTTTTATTTTCTTGGTGAGATTTATACTGTTTTTGATTTAATCCAAACAATTCCTACTTCAGAATAGAATATGCATTTAAACACATCACTTCAAATGGATGGAGACATGATTTCAACAGCTCAGACATGTTAAAGGAGTATACCGTTCTTAAGATCAGTTTTATTTAGAAATATGGAGGTCTGTGATGTAATGTTTGACTTCTATAAATAGTATTCTATAAATGAAAACCAAGTCTTAGGACTAACATATGACTCAAGGAGCTATATAAAATATCTAGCTGGTCTGGACAGTAAAGAGTACCTCAGAAAAGGTGAAAATACAGTATTCGCTGTTACAGCAAACTCCACCAAACCACATGAAACTCTCATCCTGAAAGTTTGGCAATAATAATAATTTTACTTTTAAAACCACACAAGCACTGCAAATGCTTTAGAATCATAGAATAGTTAGGGTTGGAAAGGACCTTAAGATCATCTAGTTCCAACCCCCCTACCATGGGCAGGGACATCTCACACTAAACTGTGTCACCCAAGGCTTTGTCCAGCCTGGCCTTGAACACCACCACAGATAGACCATTCACAGCTTCCCTGGGTGACCCATTCCGGTGCCTCACCACCCTCACAATAAGGAACTTCCGCCTTATATCCAGTCTAAACTTCCCCTGTTTAAGTTTTAAACCATTACCCCTTGTGCTATAACTATAGTCCCTAATGAACAGCCCACCCCCAGAATCCTTATAGCCCCCCTTCAGATACTGGAAGGCTGCTCTGAGGTCTCCACGCAGCCTTCTGTTCTCCAGGCTGAACAGCCCCAGCTTCCTCAGCCTATCTTCATTCGGGAGTTGTTCCAGCTCCCTGATCATCCTCGTGGCCCTCCTCTGGACTTGTTCCAACAGTTCCATGTCCTTTTTATGTTGAGGACATCAGAACTGTACACAATAATTCAAGTGAGGTCTCACGAGAGAGTAGAGGGGCAGGATCACCTCCTTCGACCTGCTGGTCATGCTCCTTTTGATGCAGCCCAGGATACTGTTGCTTTTCTGGGCTGCAAACACACACTGAAGCCGGCTCATGTGAAATTTCTCATCAGCCAACACCCCCAAGTCCTTCTCCACAGGGCTGCTCTGAATCTCTTCTCTGCCCAACCTGTAACTGTGCCTCGGATTGCCCTGACCCAGGTGTAGGACCTTGCACTTGGCATGGTTAAACTTCATAAGGTTGGCATCAGCCCACCTCACAAGCATGTCAAGGTCCCTCTGGATGGCATTCCTTCCCTCCAGCGTATCAACCGAACCACACAGCTTGCTGTCATCGGCAAACTTGCTGAGGGCGCACTCAATCCCACTGTTCATGTCAGCAATGAAGATGTTAAACAAGACCAGTCCCAACACCAGTCCCTGAGAGACACCACTCGTTACTGGTCTCCACCTGGACACTGAGCCATTGACCACAACTCTTTGTGTGCGGCCATCCAGCCAGTTCTTTATCCACTGAGGAGTGGTCCATCCATCAAATTGATGTCTCTCCAATTTAGCGACAAGGATGTCACGCAGGACAGTGTCGAACGCTTTACACAAGTCCAGGTAGATGACATCAACTGCTCTACCCCGTCCATCAGTTCTGTAGGCCCATCATAGAAGGCCAACAGATTGATCAGGCAGGGTTTCCCCTTAGTGAAGCCATGCTGGCTGCCACCAACAACCTTGTTGTTTTTCATCTGCCTTAGCATGCCTTCCAGGAGAATCTGCTCCAAGATTTTGCCAGGCACAGAGGTGAGACTGACTGGTCTGTAGTTCCCTGGGTCATCCATTTTCCCCTTCTTGAAAATGGGGGTTATATCTCCCTTTTTCCAGTCATCATGAACTTCACCTGACTGCCATAATTTCTCAAATATGATGGCCAGTGGCTTAGCAACTTCATTTGACAGCTCCTTCAGCACCCGTGGATGGATTTCATCAGGTCCCATGGACTTGTGCACGTTCAGGTTCTTAAGATGGTCTCAAACCACATCCTCTCCTACAGTGGGCCTAAGGTCTTCATTCTCACAGTCTCTGCATCTGCCTTCCAAGACTTGGGTGGTGTGGTCAGAGCCTTTGCCAGTGAAGACCGAAGCAAAGAAGTCATTCAGAACGTCAGCCTTCTCCACATCCAGAGTGGCCAGCTCTCCTGATAGCTTCCTGAGGGGGCCCAGGCTGTCCCTAGTCTTTCTTTTATTCGCAATGTACCTATAGAATCCCTTCCTGTTATCTTTAACAGCCCTAGCCAAGTATAATTCTAACTGGGCCTTAGCTTTCCTAACCTGGTTCCTAGCTTCCGAGACCAAATACCTTCCCTGTATTTTCCCATGCCACCTGTCCTTGCTTCCACTTTTTATAAGCCTTTTTTTCCCTCTAAGTTTCCTCAGCAGCTCATTATCCATCCAATGAGGTCTCCTGGCCTTCCTCCTGCGATTCCTTCTAGCTGGGATGCAACACTACTGAGCTTGCAGCAGGTGATCCTTGAATATCAACCAACAGTCTTGGGCCCCCCTGCCCTCTAGGGCTATATCCCATGGAACCTTCCGAAGCAGATTCCTGAAGAGGCCAAAGTCTGCTCTTCTGAAGCCCAGAGCAGTGAGCTTGCTGCACGCTCTTCTCACTGTCCTGAGGATCTCAAATTCAACCATCTCGTGATCGCTGCATCCATGGCTGTCCTGGAGCATCACATTTCCAACGAGCCCTTCCCTGTTGGTGAGCACGAGGTCAAGCATGGCACCTCTCCTTGTCGGCTCATCTATTACTTGCAGAAGGACGTTGTCTTCCACACAATCAAGGAACCTCCTTGATTGCTTGTGCCAGGCCGTACCATCATTGCAACAGATGTCAGGGTGGTTGAAGTCACCCATGAGAACAAGGGCCTGTGAGCGTGAGGCTGTTCCTATCTGTCTATAAAATTGTTTCATTCAATTTTAATGAGTTATGTTCTCTGCCAGTAGAAGGACTAAGTACGTCTTCAAGTAAGATCACAGATGTTCATTTAATCAAGCTAGCATCTTTCCAATTTGGTTATTAAGTGTTCTATTTAAAAAGCAATTTAAGTTGAGTGAAATAGTAGCTTTCCTATTTCAATGTTCCAGAGAAAGTAGCAAAATACTACTTTTCAATGTCCCTTTTCTAGCTGGAGTTTTGGGGGCTTGTTAGGTTTGGTTTTTTTCTTCCATGGGGGGTGAGTGTTGGTTTGTTTCTGAATTTGTGTTTTTTTTGTTGGTTTGTTTGGATTTTTTTTGAGATTGACAACATGTTATAATTTTCATGTTTGTGGATTAACGTCCGCATGATGACCATAGTGCATTAATACGGATTCTGCTATATTATATGAAAATTTGAATTGGTAGTCAGAAAGATAGAGCACATCTGCAACCGCAGCTACAGATAAACAAGACCAAAGACAGAACTGTAACAAAATATCACAGAGGGAAAACACAAATACATTACTGTGAAATATCAGAATACAGTTCCCATTCATAATAGGAAAATGTTGTTGCATTAATCTGCTCCATTTGTAGGCAATGCATTTTGGTGTGACTAACACTGTAACCCTTGAGATCTGACAGGCAAATATATTTACAGTTGTATATTCATTTTAGAGAAAGTGTTTAAACTGGAAATAAAATGTGCAGATAGATATTTGATTAGGATTTACTTTTAATAGGTAGAAATAGTTAAACATGTGAAAATAGTTTTCCAAACAGGTAAAATACTTCTTAATCTTTCCTCCCAGTTTCCTTTTTTGACCAGATTTTCCAGTCAAAACACTTTTCCCAAATCAGAAATGAAATGAGAACACAATTATCTCAACAACTATTAAATCACAGTGGATATACTGCAGTGTTTGTCTCCTACAGTGAGGAAATATACCACTGTTCGTCATAATCATTTTGAAATAAGAAGAAAGACAATAATCTATGGGATCATATTAGTAAAGACTTATACCCTGAAATGAATGAACTAGATTGTACTGCATGTATTTCCCATAAATATCTCCTCAGTAGTAACTGCAGTTTAAAACCATGCTGATTTTCCCACAACTTTGTTTTGTTTATTTTATAATACAACTACTTGAAGCTATTCATCAAAGTCTTTATATTGACGACTTCATAAAAGTTGTGATTCCCTTCTCCCACATCTCTCACCAGAAACTCTCAAAGTGGAATCATAAGGAATCTTGTATAATACACAAACAATATTCTGCAAGTGCTTTACACTTCCAATTCTCTCATCTATCAAGTTCTTAAAAGAAACAAAAGGGAAGTCTTCCTCCAGTTCTACAAGACACAAGTAAATATCTTTTAAAGATACAAAATTATTTAGGAGATTTTATTTCCAACCCTTATAAATTTTCATTTTTTACTATAAAGGAAAAGAGTAGAGGACATTATCTCTTACATATTAATTTCACAGGTTGCTTTGTCCTTTTGTTCTTTATTTAAATAAAAAATAATTGCCAGAGGAAATGGATGCAAAACAAAAATGAAATTGCTTGCATGTTACTTATTAAAATAATATTTTCTTACACACAACTGTGGTGTATGTTCAACTCAAAAAGGACATTCAAAGAAAATTAAGCAAACTTTATTCATCAAAACCGAACAGTAATGAAATTTGCAGGACAGGACACATATTTTTCTTCATCAAGTATGCAAAGGTTGGAGAATAATTATTATACATATCGTAACGATTTGACTGACACTTATAACCTATCTCTCTAAGATTCTTAAAGCATGAAAATAATTTAACAATTCAAAGTTTAAGCAAAAAAGCAGACAAATGACTAATTAAGACTCAAAAGGATCATCTTAATGTTATGATTACTGTGGTTTGTTGTCTTATAAAATCATGCCAAGACTGACTTGAATGTATGTAATGTAAGCCACTTTAACATACCGTAGTAGCAGATCAGGTAGAGAAGCAAATGTATATGCAGAATAATATATGTACAAGAATATATATAGAATATATATATAAAAAAGAATATATAGAGTAGAATATGTATATAGAATAGATATAGAGAAGCAGATGTACATGCAAAATTACTGTAAGCATGGGAATGGGTAAACAAAAACTCTCAAGAATCTTGACATGATATAGAAGGCAAAAACTCTGTAAAGTCCTTCTTGAAAAAAAATAGGAGAAACATTGTTTCTCCTGAATATTTGATCATTTATAATTATAACAACGATAACAATGATAACTTCACCATTGGGAATTACTGAACCTGCAAACATAGAATCAGAATTTGAAAAGAAAGCACAGTGCACGAATTTACAAAGCAGAAAAAAAGAAAATAAAGATGACTTTCCTTTTGCCACTTCCATCTTGATATCTTTAATTTCAGCTGCCACAAAAGTTTTATTTTTGCTTTTTTTTTAGTTATTTTCAACAAATCTAATGACATTCCCTAAAACCCCTCTGCAGAACAGTCTTATCAAATTGAGAACATGTATCTCACTGAAGACCATAGCTGGGTAAGAGTTCAACGCAGGAAGTAAAAAAAGCAGAAGCACCTTAATGGAGTTTAGTCCAGTCACAGAGCAAGAGGAATGCTGGAATGAATCAGTTGCCACATAGGAGGTAGCTTAAACCAGGGAGTATTTATTTACCCAACACTAAGAGCCCTCCCAGTGCTGAGAGGGAACAGGAAGTGGAGCAGGCTGTTCCTTAAAAACATCTCTGACACAGCCACAGTTAATTTCAAGAGACGTAAATAAAAAGTTCAACTCCTCATTTTTCACTACTGTAATTATAAAACTAAGAATCTCCTTGGGAAGTCACATTATTCATACTCAAATTATTGCCACGATTGTCCACTTCACTCCCTTGTGTACATTACTGTCTGACCTCTATTTTTTCTATATACCAGTATTCTAGAAATTACTCCAAATGTGTCCGGGAAGAAGGAAGAGCTATAATAATGGACACAGAAGGATCAATTACCTACGGATATACAGACATTCCACAAAGAAAAATGAGGTCTTATTCCCTCATATTTTATGAAGTGTATTTCTTCCATAAAAAAACATTGCAAAAGAGTGGAAAAACAAGCTGATAGGGTTTAGAATTAGCTTTAAATTAGGTTTTATAACTGTAAATGCTAATCAGATCATGAAGAAAAACATGAGAAAACCTGAGTTCAACTTTAATAATATTTTATTAAGAAATCTATGTGCAGCATAGGGAAACAACTAAGTACCCTTGAACATAAAAAAATCTCAAAACAATAGCACCACCTTTAAAAAAAAAAAAACAAACATCAAAACCCAACCAAACAAAAAATATTTGAGGGAGATTGTGTCCTAGCCCTAGAGAAAACTTTTTTAGGGAAAAAAATTCCCTTTGAGAATGGAACAGCTAAATACCCTTATCCATCAAAAATTTAATGCAGTAATGTAATATATATATATTTACATATATAAATAAAGTCAAATAAACAAACAACAAAAAAAAAACAAACCTCCCAAACCCCTAATGATAAATCGAAAATCCTTTTACCATAAAAAAATGACCTAATGATGAATTAAAAAAAAAAAAAAAAATCTTTCTGGCACATGTACATTACCTGTAGAGGAACAAAAAAGGAACAAATACTACCACTGATCTGCAAAACACCATTCAGTCTTTAGGACTGCAATAATTAATTGCAAATAATTTATACAAATAAAAGATGGAAATATTTAAAATGCTGTAGCAAAATTTTAACATTTTCTATTAAACTAAGGCTATAAAGACATGGGCTATGGCCTTTCTCTATCTGTTCAACAAGAAAAATAGTCACTGAAGAAAGGAGAAGAAGCTCAGAATCAGAGCCAAATTTTCTATACTACAGCTTCAGATTTTTTGATTCATAAGACTTTCCTGAATTGAGATCAGACCTAGCACAGTACCCCAAGCATGATCATTCATATCTACAGCAGAGTTATGAAAGAAGTTGCATTTTGGATAAAATTGTATAAAATTTCTGCAGATAAATTATGACTTCCGTAATTATCTCACCTAAAACATCACTATGGGTATGTACTCTATGGAATAGGACAGTCTCATCTTGATAGTTGAACTGTTTGATATGAAGCACCTGTGATACAGGGCAGCTACATAAAATAATAACAACTGACAAGGGCTGCATGAAATATTGATTCAAAGACTTCTGTTCTCTAGCAGCTTAGGAGACTCTCCCTGGTCTGTCAACATTGCCACCTCAAGACAGTTGCTGCTTCTGCAGGCCAGGGCCCTGGAGGAGCATGCTGCAGAAGAGGAGTGGGAATGAGTAGCTACAGCCGGGAAGAGCCTGCTTCGCGGCATTACAGTTGAGGCAGTGAACACTACTCATCTTACAGAACCAACCAACTGGTTAGTTCCTATGGCCTCACTATAGTAAAACTAGGTGAAACAAAACCAGCAATTGCACAAAAATGGATATAGAAGAAATCATAAAGAAGCTAGCATTTACCATATTTTCTCCTTGGCAGAATGGTTTTCAGTATATATAACAGTGTAGCATTTACAGTTTTTAAATGTTACTACTTGTGTATGTTGACTTTAGAGGCATGAATAAACTTTACAGTCCTTAATACTAAATTTCTACAGGTCATTTTTTCATCACTTGCTATGACACACTTGCATTTTATATCTTTAGCTCTTCTATGCATCATCACCTCCTCAGTTTCCATGTGTACACATATGAAATAACTACAGCAGTGTAATAATGCAGTGTTGAAAAAAAAATCCAAAGGTTTCTGTAAAAGAATTTAGAATGAATACTATAAAGATCCACTAATAGGAGCTAGCACTGTGACTAATTTCAACCAGGACAGCCATTTACAGATACTGGTTTAAGGGGCAAATAATCTTTCTGCTGTTGACAAAAATTACATTTATAGCTTTTTTCCAATACTCTTTTTTTTTAATTTCATAGTCAAATACAGAAAGCGTACAGTAGTCACTGACATGCTCTGTTTCTTTAAAATGGAATAAATTAAACTTTCTATTTTGGTTTAGCATTTTCCCCCTTTTGTAAAATGCATTTTATGACAAATATGGTTAAAAAATTATAATTGCAGTCATATATTCTATGTTGCATAAGATAACAGTGTACCACATGATGAAAAACTAGATGCTACTGAAGTATCTACTCTTTTTGATGAGCTTTATGAAGTTTAATTTCTACTCTATGAAAATCTAGAGCAAATTCACTTCTGGAATTAAATTCTCTCTCCTCTCTACTGACAGAGGTGGACAGGCCTGTCTTATAACCTGGCTAAACAAAGACAATTTTATGTTGCTAAAAAATATCACTGAATCTTGTCCATAAACATGCAGTCAAGGCTGCATGATGGTAGAATCACACTGAGTATAATCTTTGTTTCTGAACAGTGTACTTTCTCTTTTTTTCCTATTAATATAAAATATATAAAGCACTGATAATTTATCAAAGACTAATTCAATTGCAAAAAAAAGCCACATAAACTGTATTACTGGTTTAGCATGTTAAAAGCAAATACAAAAGTAGGAAAGCAAAATACATACAACTACTCTTTGCATGCTAGACAAACAAACTGAATTCTTGTCATGAACACTTACTGGTCTGTAGCTGCTTTTCTCTGGCATGCATGTCAGCAAGTATTTTTTGGTAATGACTGGTAAAAGCAGCCAGGTCAGCATCTAGAAACACTGGCCCTTGCTCCTTCTCTTTGAGTGCTTGACTTTGAGCCTTTAGCCGTTCAATTTGAGGCTGAAGGGTTGACATTCGAATGATTTCATCCTGCATGTTTGAACAAAAAAAAAAAAAAAATCAAGATAAAGCTGTCCAACAAATGAAATCACTAGTGGCATGGAATTTCCACTGGTTTAATGCACATTACGCAACTGCTTTGCTTCCAACTACATCAGTTACAGTAAGAACAAATCCAACATTTTTAGTATTTTCTCACAAAGCAGTTACTCTGCTCCAAATATGATTGTTGATTTGCACCATTGTTTACAGTCACTTTCACATGACATTATCATGTGAGTAGTGTAAGACACAAAGAAAACAAGGGAAAGTATAGAGTCCTGCATCTGGGCAGGAACAACCCCAGGTTCCAGTATAGGTTGGGCAACAACCTGTTAGAGAGCAGTGTAGGGTAGAGGGACCTGGGGGTCCTAGTGGACGACAGGATGACCATGAGCCAACACTGTGCCCTTGTGGCCAAGAAGGCCAATGGCATCCTGGGTTGTATTAGAAGGGGGGTGGTTAGTAGGTCGAGAGAGGTCCTCCTTCCCCTCTACTCTGCCCTGGTGAGACCCCATCTGGAATATTGTGCCCATTTCTGGGCCCCTCAGTTCAAGAAGGACCAGGGAGCTGCTGGAGAGAGTCCAGCGCAGGCCAACGAAGATGATTAAGGGAGTGGATCATCTCCCTTATGAGGAAAGATGGAGGGAGCTGGGTCTCTATAGTTTAGAGAAGAGGAGACTGAGGGGTGACCTTATTAGTGTATAGAAATATATAAAGGGGGAGTGTCACAAGGATGGAGCCAGGCTCTACTCAGTGGCAAACAATGATAGGACAAGGGGTAATGGGTACAAACTGGAACACAAGAGGTTCCACTTAAACTTGAGAAGAAACTTCTTCTCAGTGAGGGTGAGGGAACACTGGAACAGGCTGCCCAGGGAGGTTGTGGAGTCTCCTTCCCTGGAGACATTCAAAACCCGCCTGGACACATTCCTGTGTAAACTTATTTAGGTGTTCCTGCTCCGGCAGGGGGATTGGACTAGATGATCTTTTGAGGTCCCTTCCAATCTCTAGCATACTGTGATACTGCGATACTGCGATACTGTGAAAATAAGACAGATTGTACATTAAAATTGCATGCATATTGTAAAAGAGAAGAGACAAGAGACAAGAATATGGAGAGAAGAGAGAGGGGAGAGAGAAGAGAGAAGATATATTTCAGTTGGAAGGGACCTACAAGGATCATCAACTGTCTGATCAATACAAGTCTGACCAGAAGTTAAAGCATGTTGTTAAGGTCATTGTCTGAATGGCTCTTAAAAACTGACAGGCTTGGGGCATCGACCACCTCTCTAGGAAGCCTGTTCCAGTGTTTGACCACCCTCTTGGTAAAGAATGCTTCCTAATGTTCAGTCTAAACCTCCCCTGGTTCATTCCCGTGTGTCCTGTCATGGGATACCAGGGAGAAGAGATCAGCATCTCCTTCTCCACTTCCCCTTCTCAGGAAGCTCTAGAGAACAATGAGGCTGTGCCATTACACCTTCATGAGACCCTGTACACACTGTGTAAAGAGAAATAAGGAAAGTAAGCCAAATGTACACATCATTGTAGAGGTACTCTTAAGGGAAGTTTTCCGCAAGAAAACAGGGAACTCCTGTACCCACAATGCCACCTCGGAAATGCCTGAAAACAGAAGCAGTATCCTAGATCTAAATTTGGGTTTCAAATATTGTTTTCAGCTTCAGCTCTGCAGCCAGAGATTTCATAAAGTCAGACTACTACAAGTATGTCATGCAACTTATAATTTGTTACTACATCTCAATAGATTCCTGTCAAACAATATTACTTTGTAAATTATCCACACCTACAGCACTGTCTACAATAGGAGAGGTAAGGAAATTTCTATGATGGTGCAGCACAAAAACTTAGAATAATCAGTGAACTGGTGTGACTTTTTTTGTACAGCTGCTCTACTCGTGTCATCTGATGACAGATTATTCCTCCATGCAACTACAGTATCCACAGTGCATCAAATAGCAGGGGAACAAGTACAACAGTCTGATATGGCAGAATTTTGGACTTCACTATGAAGACAATTTTCTGGCTCAGATCCTTATGACAGAGCTTTTTAATGAAGAATCAAAGACAGATTCTTAAAATCAAAAAAAAACAAAAAAAAACCAAGAAGAATTTAAAAGCATAGTTCCCTGGCTTTAGATATCTAAGTATCTTAATAAAGAAATATTTGGTGCAGGCCTTTAAATACCAATATGCTATGTCCTATTGCTTCTTTGTTTCTTTACCAGCCTTTCCTTTCCTTAAATAAATATTTTCAATAATTACCCTGGAAAGATAAAGAATCCATTTTCTACTTTTACATTGAAATAAAGCAGATCATAGTGTGGCCCACTGTTGGAACACCTATGAAGTACAATATAATGAAGAACTTGGAGAAGGATCTCTAACCTTGCATTTTTCCAGCTGAGTTTTTACTGTAGCAGGGTCTGTTGCTGGTGTGGGTTGTGCTTTCAGCCAGTTTTCTGCAGTAACTGCTGTCTGTTCCAGTTGCTGCAGCTGGGAGTAGAAGTCAATGACGTTATTTTGGTACTCCAGCCATGCCAGTCTTTCACTCAGCAACTGACAGAACTCAATCCAGCGGCTCTTCAGCTGCTCTGATGCCTGTCTAATGTTGTCAGCATTCAGACCCTCTAGAAAGATAACAAGAGAGGAAGACACTTAAATAAGTCACAAAGAAAAGAAATTTAAAAAAAGTAAAATAATTTAACAATTCAATTTCTGTATTTGAGAGTTCATAAATCCAGTTAATGATTTATCATCAAAGAACAGTCCTGAACATACAGATGTTAAACATTAGTGGAGAAAGCATTTGAAAAATATTTTAAGTTGCTGCCAGGGTACTTTTGTTGCTATGGGAATGAATTATAAAGCGCTTTAAAGTACAAGAATGGGAATAAAGCAGAAAGTAGAGATACAATACATAAAGCTAATTAAAACTGTTGTAAGAAATAAGAAAATGCCTGACAGCTGGATTTTGGAAACGATGTCTGTATTGTACAAGAATGTTTTTGTTTTTTTTTAATAAAAACATCAAGTTAAATGAATGGGAACTATATTTCACAGTTATTTTAATGTTTCTGATAATCCAATCCTCAAGTTTTGCTCCACACATTATTTTAGAAATATTATAAGCATTCAGGAATAAATATATGATCAGATCAAACCTCCATCTAGGCCAGTCCCATATGCCCAACAGTGTCCATTAACAGATATTAAGCAAAGACTGAGAGCCAAGAAACCATAGCTGACAACTCTATGATTATTTTCAGACAGGGTTTGAATTCTCTGCTATAGTTTGCCTATTCCTATCTATAGTTCAATAATCACGCTTGAATTAAAGTTCATAAAAGAAGACTGACTTCAGTTATTACAGACAAGGCAATTATTTAGAACTATTAAAGGTAAAAGTGCTATATATATTCTGTGAAGAAAGAAAGGCAATACATATCAAAGACAAGCAAAGGTCTTACAATAACATCATTTATAGTTATTCTGAAACTTGAACTCAGGCTGAGTTCAAAATAATATTAACTTAAGCATCTCATTTATTTTTCAGAGGAAGTTCAAATATAATTTCTAACCTTTTTAACTGTCATGACATGTAATGAAACTCATAGCAATAAGACCAATATTGATTTTAAAATTAATAATCCTCTCAATCCATTGAGTAATACTCTATGCTTAAGAACATTTTTAATAACATCATCACTTAGACATAGCTAGTTTTCTATTTCTTAAAAACAAGTTTAAAAGCAAATGTGACAAAAGCTTTCAGTGTTACACTTTTATGATATACTGTCATTGTGGTTCATCTTGTTTGCAACCTGCACTCCTGATCAGGTATAAAAAATGGTGAAGTTCAGGTGCAATTTTTTGAAGGTATAACACAGGAAATGGAATCTCAATAACAGCTAAAAGCCTTAAATAATAATAAAAAAAAGTACTGAAAATTTACTGCAATCAAATTTTCTCAGGAAAGACTGTAATACATGATGTATGGTAAACAGCACTAAATGATAACCTCAGATCATGTCTGTTGTGGAGTACCACAGTTCTCTAGTGAATCCTATTCTGGATTCAGCTCAGGACTACTCCATTCAGAGTCACTTGGAAACAGACTGTGCAGTACCTGATAGCAGTTCCCTGGACATTCTCTGTTTCTGGGGTGTTGCCCTAGCCAAGAAAATTGTACATAGTTTTAAAAAATACAAGCAAAAAAGTAGGAAGATAGGAAGCTCAGTACCACTGAGAGATAATGGCAACTGTGGTGACTGGAGTAGCTATATGCACATTATACTCCAGAACCTGGATAGCACATTTTAAAGGCTGAGCAAGAGTATAAAATGAACCTTTAAGCATAAACAGGTAAATGGTACTTTGACATATCTAATAAAATCCAACAGCGATCTGGTCTTTTGTGTTCATTTGTTTCCATCTGGAGATGTGGTATGTATAACTACATTTTGTTAACATGTAATGTCTAATAAACACATAGAAATACGTGAAGAGGCAGCATAAACCTGAACAGCATAGCATCTCTGAATACAACCAATCAAAGCTGACAAGGCACACAGTTACTGAATCATACTGACAGCAAGAACAAACACATATATAGAAGACAAGCCTTTAGCTATGCTGTATTTCAACAATTGCTTCTGTCCTGATGTGACTTTGATTGTAAAAGTGCTGTATGTACATTACAGAGAGCAGATATCTGCCACTGTGTTCATGCTTACCTCTGAACCTGGAAGACATTGCCTATGAGTTTGGGAGAGTAGATACAAAAACATTACTTTTATTTATTCCTCCTTTCCTCTCTCTTTAGCTGCCACAGGTTTCAAAGTACTCTTAGGCAAGATTATGATTATCAGGGGAAGGAGAGTCATTAATTTTTCTTATGGAATAATAATTTTCATTATATTATTTTCTTTAAGGATTCAGAGAGGACTGTATTTCAGATGAAAATTTAGACTCATCAGTTCCTCTTCTTTTCACTCGTATGTCCTTCTTAACATTTCTATACATAAAAATAAGTAATGTTATTTAATTTTCCTTAATTCTTTTCTTTAATATCTAAACTTAGAAACTAAATGAGGTGACCCTGCCCATGGCAGGGCAGCTGGAACTAATGATCTTAAGGTCCTTTCTATGATTCTATGATTCCACATGTGCGCAGTTGACTGAAGAAATGCTTCTCTCCTCATGTAACTAAACTGGACAGTACAAGATTGGAGTGTGCAGAGATATGTTTGGTGAAAAATTGAAGAGGTGCACCTCCATTAGGCAACTCATTATCATACTGAAAGGAAGAATAATCTGAAAATCTCCACAGGATGAATTTTTTAAACTCTCTTAATTCATAGTCCACTTAGATAACTCGAAGTTGCCCATCAGATGTCGATACACCATTTCCAGAAGGATGTAAGAAAATGTCCATTACTTTCACATGAAATCATTTGGGCAAATTTGATAGAATTTTGTCTTATTTTGAAGAAAGCTAGTCCTCAATCTCATAGAAAAAATAATAATTGTTTGAGTAGCTGATATTATGACTGCATAATTTAAACGTTTTTTATTTGCTAATTGGTGAAAAAATAAGAATTTGGAACTTACTTCCATGGTAAGTACTGGTTTCTTTACTATCCTTTGCAACTTTTCATTCTTAACATCAATCCCCTTACTCTGTTTCACTCCTGGTGGCAAGACACACCAAAAGTTGACAAGCAGGAGAAGAAACGATGTAAAACCCATTCTCCCCTAAAACAATATTATTTTAGGAATAATGGTTCATAATCTTTTCATATTTCATATTCTACAAGCTTCTGATAAAATCAGTGAATAAATACACTGTACCCGGAAGAAGCAGATCATTAACTGAAGTGCATCCATTAATTTTATTACCTTGTGTACTGCACATAACAAATTGTGTGAATATTTTTAATTCTGCAGCACCTTACATGCAAGTACTTTGTAATTGCCACTTAATATGAAGTATAACTTATTAAATGCATTTATCATTTGCTATGGTTCTGTGATAGAATAATGTAATACTATCTGTGGTTTTATAGCTTTTGACTTCTAAGCATATATGAAATAGTAATTCACAAGATAACACATTTCTTCCACAGAACAGTGGCACTTAACAATTCCATGGTTTATCACAATAAATTCATTTGTATTCACTTTAATGCTGCCTACCAAAATTCCTCAAGTATTCATTTTGATGCCCTATTTATTTTATTTTAAACTACTATAATGGTCAAGTGTCCACTCAAACTGCTAAACTGCTTCACTCACATATCGACAGATTTCTTATTCTGTTTTAGAATAGAATGTAGAAAAGAAAAATAGAACAGATTTTTTTCTTAGAATCAGTGGGAAACAGAAGAGGTAAGTTTGCATTGATTAGAATCACCATACTTTTAAGAAACCATAGACAAAGAGAAGCAGAGCACAGCCCATGTAGATGAGTGGTTGGGTAAAAATAATCCACCAAAACCATAAATTATTTCCTCTGTGATGGGAAATGTCCTTCAAATTGCAACGTCCAGACTCACTACTTAAAACCACAAGAATAGCTACACTGTATGAGATGGCAGTTCTTTCTAGTGCAAAATATTTTTGCTGACAACAGTTGATAGCATCTACATAAGGCAAGAATAGTGCCCTGTAAAAATACATTTCCCCAGAATATTTTCCTCTGTGCTAAGGAATAAATAAATGAAACCCTAAATAAACCAATCTAATTATCATCTTGAGAATTTAATCTTACTTTTTTTTTATTCCCTTCTCCCATCACTGTAAAAATAAACCCAGGAAAATAAATATGAATGCTACAACAGTGAAATTCACCACCATTCTGAACTTGCTCTTATAATCAACCAGAGGTGCTAATCTATTTATGCACTTCATCTCCTACATTCAGAATCTTGTTTACAAGGAACAAGAAAGCACATTTTATATATAAGTAAAGCCAAGAATTTAGTGATACCATAATTGAAATCTTAGGAGTTTAATCATTATTAGTCCAGATCTAATTGGTACAAAATAAGTAAAAAATAACAATACAGTTAAAAATATCATCAATTTACTTCTCAAGTGATCTATCCCTTAAACGTGTTTGCCTTGTGTAGTTTTTAATTACAGATTAAACTACAAATGCATGACAGTCCTCAACTGTATCACTGGCTAGTTTTCCTAAAGGAAGAACCACACAGAACAATGATGGCAGCATCATAACTGGGGATTTGTAAACTATGGGAGTTAAAAAGTTTTTCCATTCAAGATAACATAGTACTTCACTAGATGATAAACTCCATGCCTCCCACATGTGCATAAAGGCACATTAATTGCTGCTCCTTCCATGTTACGAAAAAGACTTCCAGCATTAGAAGAGGAAAGTAAGTAGGCATAGTCAATCTGCTTTTTTTCTTCATTCAGCAAAAGTCTCCCATGCTATATCCTTTCCTATTGTTCTAATGAATCAGCAATCAACATCCCCCCCCCCCCCCAAACCACTGAACCAACCAACCAACCAACCAAAGAAAAATACAAAAACACATAAACCAACCAAAATCAAACCAAACCAACCATACCATCCCCCAAAACCCAAACCAAACTTTTAAGCAACAAAAAACACAGGAGATAACTGTATGTCCCACATTTATTACCAGAAGCCACACAAAGACTAAACATAGCTGAATTACTATGGAAAATATATAGCTGCGTAGGGAAGGCAGGGACGAGGTTATGAAAGCCAAGGCCCAGTTAGAATTAAACTTGGCTACGGCTGTTAAGGATAACAGGAAGGGATTCTACAGGTACATAGCAAATAAAAAACAGACTAGGGACAACGTAGGCCCCCTCAGGAAGCTCTCAGGAGAACTGGCTACACAGGACTTGGAGAAGGCTGAGGTTCTGAATGACTTCTTTGCTTCGGTCTTCACTGGCAAAGGCTCTGACCAAACCACCCAAGTTTTGGAAGGCAGATGCAGGGACTGTGAGAATGAAGACCTTGGGCCCACTGTAGGAGAGGATCTGGTTTGAGACCATCTTAAAAATCTGAACGTGCACAAGTCCATGAGACCTGATGAAATCCATCCACGGATCCTGAAGGAGCTGGCAAATGAAGTTGTTAAGCCACTGGCCATCATATTTGAAAAATCATGGCAGTCAGGTGAAGTTTGTGATGACTGGAGAAAGGGAGATATAACCTCCATTTTCAAGAAGGGGAAAATGGATGACCCAGGGAACTACAGACCAGTCAGTCTCACCTCTGTGCCTGGGAAAATCTTGGAGCAGATTCTCCTGGAAGGCATGCTAAGGCAGATGAAAATCAACAAGGTGCTTGGTGACAGCCAGCATGGCTTCAATAAGAGGAAATCCTGCCTGACCAATTTGCTGGCCTTCTATGATGGGGCTACAGAACTGATGGACAGGGGGAGAGCAGTTGATGTCATCTACCTGGACTTGTGTAAAGCATTCCACACTGTCCCACACGACATCCTTGTCGCTAAATTGGAAAGACATCAATTTGATGGATGGACCTCTCAGTGGATAAAGAACCGGCTGGATGGCTGCACACAAAGAGTTGTGGTCAATGGCTCAATATCCAGCTGGAGACCAGTAAGGAGTGGTGTCCCTCAGGGATCGGTTTTGGGACCGGTCTTGTTTAACATCTTCGTTGGTGACATGGACAGTGGGATTGAGTGCACCCTCAGCAAGTTTGCTGATGACACCAAGCTGTGTGGTTTAGTTGATGTGCTGGAGGGAAGGAATGCCATCCAGAGGGACCTCGACATGCTTGTGAGGTGGGCTTATGCCAGCCTCATAAAGTTTAGCCATGGCAAGTGCAAGGTCGTACACCTGGGTTGGAGCAATCCCAGGCACAGCTACAGGTTGGGCAGAGAAGAGATTCAGAGCAGCCCTGCGGAGAAGGACTTGGGGGTGTTGGCTGATGAGAAACTTCACATGAGCCAGCTTCAGTGTGCGCTTGCAGCCCAGAAAGCCAACTGTATCCTGGGCTGAATCAAAAGGAGCGTGACCAGCAGGTCAAAGGAGGTGATCCTGCTCCTCTACTCTGCTCTTGTGAGATCCCACTTGGAGTATTGTGTACAGTTCTGGTGTCCTCAACATAAAAAGGACATGGAACTGTTGGAACAAGTCCAGAGGAGGGCCACGAGGATGATCAGGGGACTGGAGCACCTCTCGTATGAAGACAGGCTGAGAAAGCTGGGGCTGTTCAGCCTGGAGAAGAGACGGCTGCGTGGAGACCTCCTAGCAGCCTTCCAGTATCTGAAGGGGGCCTGTAAGGATGCTGGGGAGGGACTCTTCATTAGGGACTGTAGTGACAGGACTAGGCGTAATGGGTTAAAACTTAAACAGGGGAAGTTTAGATGTAAGGAGGAAATTCTTTCCTGTTTGGGTGGTGAGGCACTGGAATCGGTTGCCAAGGCAAGCTGTGAATGCTCCGTCCCTGACAGTGTTCAAGACCAGGCTGGACGAAGCCTTGGGTGATATGGTTTAGTGTGAGGTGTCCCTGCCCATGGCAGAGGGGTTGGAACTAGATGATCTTAAGCTCCTTTCCAACCCTAACCATTATATGAGTCTATGATTTAATATACTTTGAGATTCTACTTTCTACCAATCCCACCTGGCAGTGATTACTGCATTATTTAACCATTTCATACGCTATTCTTCAAATTGCCTTTGCAACAGTGGAGTAGCTGAAAGTCGCATAAATATTTTAGCTTTCAAGTCCATGGTAACTGTTTCTCTTTTTAAAGGAATTGTTTCTTCCCTAAAACCACGACAAGAAAGGATCTTTATTCTTATAGGCAACTGCCATCCTTGCCTAGAATACTCTTCCTACCAAGGCTGCCGCAGTATATGGCATGATACAGAGCTCTGAGCAGTTGATAGGAAACAAGCATGCTGGCATAGCTAGACTTTCTTGTACTTGCAGCCCAAATGGAAGATGTACTTTCTAAAAAGAAAGGTGCGATCTGGGAGATACTGGAAATATTTATATGCACATATAGCCACAGCTGAGATCAGAACATCTATAAACCATGAATAAGCATGGGCCCATGGACTGAAGGATAAAAAACAAGAGCACCTTGAATAAAAACTACATGAGAATATTTAAGATGAAATATTAATCTACTCAATACTAGGCAAGGTAGGTAGTACAGTACCAGGAAACTAATATATAAGGAGCCAGGGGGTTCTGCAACTAAAACCTAAATTAGTCACCTAAAAATAATATATAACCTGAAGAGACTGGATCTTGAATTCTTGAAGTTCAGGTCTGCACTTGGCCAAAGGAAGGGTGGGGTACAGCTAAATGTGCTGCAGACGGATTATGCCCAGACTAAACAACCTTGATGTGGCAGCAAACAAATTTCAAGTTTCGCCTTAAAAGTTTTATATATAACCAGTTCTTTCAGTCAGGAAACAAAAAAATTGTCAACATTTTTCATATGATCAAGCCATGGAAAACTGACCAAATGATTTCAAAGTGTGTGCAGAAGATACCAGACTCCAGTCTATTCATTGAGCCTGGGAAGGGAACCCTTGCAACAGTTGTTACAGCAATGATAATTAAACAGAGCCCACACAATAAATATGGTCACTTTTAAAATATTGTACCTTCATACTTAAGCAATATGATCTTAGTATTCTGTCAATTTTTTTTTCAGCCTGGCCAGTTAGTGCCTCAAACTCAAAGTATTTAATTTTTAACAATTAAATTTTTGGTTCTTCATTATAATAATTGCTCTCAATTATTATAATTCATTATATAATTCATTATTATAATTCATTATAATAATTGCTCTCAATGTTCTCAAGCTCAGTGTATTCAAAATTTATATTTCTGATAATCATATGACGGACGTTGGCCCATGTTGAATATTTTAGTGCAAAGTTAGATATTCTTAAATAGCAAGGACAATGGCATGACAATCATAATTTTACTTTCATCTACCTTTGATTTTTCTTTTTCCCTTAAAAGTTTTAAAAGATCAAAAGGAAGACACAACAAATTATTTTTTTAAATCAATAATAAAAATAAAAACTTACAACTATTTTTTTTTTAATTGTATAAGCTTTGACATTTATTATCTTTGAAAAGCCAAATGCCAAAAATATCTCCCAAATCCGAACAAAATGTTATATCTTCTATGATACCGATCATTACAGCAATATGTTTATTACAAAACATACATTGGATATTATATGTCAGAAAGCCCTTTTTTCAAACTGTTCAGAGCAATGCCTCCAGGGCTTTCTAACTCAGATGAGTTAATGTACCTTCAAAAGCTTAGTATACTCAGAAAATAAGATTACAACTTAAGTGTCTGAGCAGAACAGATTGTTAATATACATTTTATTACTGTGAGCAAGTTTTACACACATTTCTTTTCATGGTACGGAAGTGCTAAGGTTTTTTTTTCTTTTTCTCTTTTCTAATTAAGATATTTAACATTCAGAAATAATAAAAGAACTATAAGGTAATATTACTTTACTGTTCCATTTAGAGTATTTGCTAATATTGTGATAAATGTGAACCTGTGCATTTATCAAATTCCTAAGAAGATTATCTAAATCAACTCCCATGTAATTACCATTCACCATCTGTTCCACAAGGGCCTCAGCTGATCTGCTGGCATCTTGCAGTTTTCTGTACTTCTCAGGCTTTTCCCGCTGGATGGCCTGCAGTATGACAGGAAAGGTGAGTATTTCAAAAGAGGGATTTTGAAGAAGAAAATAATTAATCTCAGTGATGTCTTCTGCTTTCTTGAGACCATTTAACCTCTCATACTGCCCTGCCAGCCTCCCAGTTTGCATTGAAACCAGAATGTACTGCATACCATCAAGGAGTTAGTCATAAAGTCAAATACATATACTGACACAACAGAACGGATTTGAGAAATTATATAGATCAGTATTTTACAGACAAATAAATGACACATAAACTAAGAGCTATTCAAAGACCAATATTCCAGAACACAAAAAAAATCACAGAAATTCTTTGCAGAAGAACACATTTGCTTATTTCTCATGGTAACAGCAAGAACTGAGCATGCTAACCAAATTACAGGGGTTCATAGCATGCTTCAGCATTGAACCTACATACCATTTGTTTGATTATATTACTCCCTTGTTTAAAAAGAAAAACAAACCAAACCCTGCAAAATGGATATTAAAGTAGATATCTAACATCTATATGAACATAAATAGCACACATGCATATATGAGCTACTAAGTGAGAGAGTTTACTGCAGTATTAACACAGGATTCTAGTTATGTATTGTATCTAATACTCTCAATTCACCTTTCTGCATTCAAAAATTTCTCACCCATGTTCAGGCTAGCACTCAGGCTAGCTGGTAATGGCTGGTAAATCTATCTTACGAAGTTTCAGGATATAGTATAAGAATTTAATGAATTTGGGGTTGGTAGCAATACACATGGAAGTAAAACCATTTTAGATCTGACAGCCCCTCAGTGCTGTCTTATGGTTAACATCATGAAGTCAATTGATTTTAAACTAATTTAGTTTAGGTGTAATTTAGAAGCTCTAAATCAGAACCCCAAAGAAGCAGCACAAGGCCACAGCCAAGTCTGATACCAAAATTAAAAGAGACTGTAAAAAACCCAGAGATCCTGACTAACAGTCTCCCATAAATCAGAGGTCCTCACTTCACTGCAGCAGATACACACATATTAAAGGATATACCACTGCAAATCCTACATGACATGTACAGAGAGATAACACAGTCCTGGCTGCAGCATCTCAGTCTGGCTGACCCCACTAGGCTTCCAGATCACCTTCTTTATTTGCACAGCAAAAGTATATTCTATGTGATTTGACTCTTCAGGGGGAAAAGTTTCTTACAATTGGAAAGAAACCTCAGTGAGTGGCTAAGAATGCATTTAGTAGAATAACTTCATATGCTTACATTTCATAGAATCATAGAATTAGGAGGAATTAACATAAACACCTTTGAATAAACTCTCTTAAAATATATTTTAAAGTGTGATGCTTAAAACACCTTCAGTTTAAGAAGCATCAGCTCCCCAGAAGTCCTTCCCAGATGAGGAGATGTTCAGAACTTTAAAGAGAGATTTTCAGTTAAATTCACACGTTTCCACAGCTTACTTAAAACTGCCCTGCATTTGTGCATATAGAAATGATTAAACAGCAGGTTTTCTAACAATAACCCAAAGATGTTATCATAATAAAATTTTGTATAAATAAAATATATAAAGAAAGGATATTTAAAGAATGAAGGATGGAAATATATTGGATTTTATAAACCTATCGTTAATATATACCTAAGTTATCATGAAAGATTACAAAGTTTAACCCCAATAAGTTAAAGATGACTGTATTAATTATTCATAGTTTTTGTAGGTCAGAAAACAATCTTCTACCGTTCCACTGTACAATTTAAATATTTTCCAAATTAAAAAAGAAGTAGTAATTCTCTGCAGAGTTCCAAAATTTCTTACAGAATCCTAATTAATACTACTCTGTCTATAATGCCAGGTATAATTAGCATGAATCTAAGTACAGAAAACTCAAAGGAATCATTAAAACACTAAAATATACTGAAAATAATTCTACTTGTCTGCAATGCCAGATGCGTAATTATCATGATTGTAAAACTGTAGTGAGCACAAATGAAACATTAAAAAAACTTAAAATATACTGAAAATTAGTTTTTAGAAATATAAAAAATGATATTACATCAATGTCTGTTGCAGTGTACCTTTCAGTGTACAGTAATACACTATGTATGCAAAAAAAGTGGAGAAATATCTACTTCTCTCCTGAAAGATTTTACAGTTTCCGGGTCCTGAGAGAAAATGTAAAAACTATTGGTATAGTCCTTAAATAAACATGAAAATTTGGTACATATCACACCTTCTGTCAATCACTTTTCTCCACTCATTTTTATGCAACTGGAATATACTATAAAAATTAAATTCTATCATTCATTACAGGAATACATATGTTTACACACAAAAAGCACAGCGCTAGCCAGAGAAGAAAAGACTGTCATCTTGTTCCACACAGAAAGACAAATTACCTTATCTGGAGAGAAAGGAGGACATTCACCCTAGCTACTCCTAGCACTAATCAGTGTCCTGCCAGTTCTCTACAGACTGCCAGTGTTTGCCAAACCTGCAAAATGTCTGGGATTTTTCAGCTTCTAAGAAGGATTTCTTTCCATAAACACATGTAAAGTGCCTCCATGGGAGGAAAAACAAAGGGAGTAGAAGCCCTGGAACTACCTCTCATTTACCTCTTTGGCTCCATTTTGTTAATTTCTTCCTTCACTGAAGGGAACCATTCAGGTGCTTGTGACAGAAATAGGCTGGCTAAGTTTGTAGAGGTTTGTGAAGTTTTGAAAGTGTTAGATTCTGTACATTGTAAGCAACCCTTTTTCTTTTTTTATTTTTATGAAAAGTTGTGGTAGGGGCAGAGCAACTTAAAAATATTTCCAAACATATAACTTCCCCTTTTGTACTCTGTTTTCTGAAAAGACCTTTCAGGAAAAAAAAAAAAAGGAAAAAAAAAAATACATGAATATGAGAAAAAAAAAAGAAAGCAGTTAACTTTACAGTTGGCTTTTCAATCAGGGATTAATTATCTTCTGAATTATTTGCAACTGGCAGTACAAATGTGTAATATCCTAGTTTTAACTGACTGAATAACACTAAAAAATCATCTTTACTTAAATGTCACCTGAAGGTGAGGAGGCTGTTTTCACAATGATAAGCATTTTATCTGACCCTGAGATTTTAGTTGGCAGCCAATGACTTCACAACCTAGAAAACATTAATGGTCACACTATTGGATGGTATTTGGATGTTATTCATATCAAACCAACATCCTACTTTGAGAGCTCTGTGAAAGGATGCATGGTAGCAATACTCCCTGACCTCCTCTGACTTCGACCAATTACCCCTTAGGGCAGGAGATGGCAACATTTTCATCATTGGCTCTCAGAGTGATTCAGCTTTCAAATATCCAGGCCCAACAAAGCATGTCTGAAAAAGGTCAGTAAACCAGAACAAATAAGAACGGAACTTTTGAGAAGGCCGAGAGGACAAATTTAATTGTCTAGGATATATGACATTTTCTCTTACATCTGTTCCTTGTATGCTTACCTTGGATTCAGAATTTCTAGGTGGTGCTTCTTGGCTAAACAATATTCCTTTCAAGGAGTTTTATTCCCATTTTATTCTGGGATTTAGTCTCCAAGTTGACTTATTATAAAGCAGGATTTTCTATCTAAAAAGTTTCAATTTTTGCAGCTGAACCTTTATACACTTGAATTTCCAATACTGAAAGCTCATCATGGCTTTAGAAGAGTAACAATAAAGAATACGTACTAACTGGAAAACGTCAACGGTGTAATGCACTGTAGCAATATTTACAGCATTAATGTTTGGATGTCTTCATTATTTAGCAGTAGTACAGCTGTTTCACAATAGAACTTCTTATGGCATCCAGTCCCTCTGGCCAGGTAAGGCAAGTATCTTTCTTTTATAGCATGGAAGGGCTATAAATGTTTTTGCTTCTTCCCAGACATAGGAATGGGCTTTATGTGCATATCTAATATATTCAATCTACATAATACATTAGCCTTAAAAATAAAACTAATTGTCTGCCAGTTTTTGAAGAGCAGATAGCTTAATAAAGTCAGTGCATTTCATACAGCCTGCTTCAGTCTCCGTCTCCTCAAGGCTCTTCTGAGCTGGGATCGGAACAGGCTTTTGAACTTGATGAATCATTAATGATGGCAAAACAGCTTTCCTTGTGGCTGTCATTACTGAAGTCAGCATCCCTCCATCTCAAAGCAGATGTACTGCCACTCTACCATACGGAAGTGACCTCTTATTCAAGAAAAATGATGAATAGGAGGAAGCTGCCACAACAAGAAAGAAAATCATCTAACTAGTAACTTGTCCTCAAAAGAACAGCTGAAAGAAAAGTCATTAGGAAAAGGCCCTAGGACTGGGCACCTACCATGGTGAGCAACAAATGGTAGGTCTGACATCAGCCAAGCACAGGTATTCTGTGCTACACCCATATATATATATATATATATATATATATATGTACACACACACACACACATATATAATCACACACACACATATATAGAGATATATATATAGTTATAGAGGGAAAAACTAAATGACAGATCTCTATATAAGGGCAAGATGGGGCTTCTGCATGCATGTGCCTGCAGCTGCATTCAAGCATGTATAACACAGGGGTGTAACTATGTATGTCAGTACAACAGAATCTTTTTCCATTATCACTAACAAATATCTTCCTTCTTGGCATTTCATCTTTTTTTTTTTTTTAATATGCCTTATACAACTTTACTAGAGACTATAATATATTAAAACCACACTACCTTTTCCACTGATTTGAAGCTAATTTTGAGCAAATTAGGAACAAAAAAGTGTAAACAAGCAACACAAACTGCTCAAATCAAAGAACTAGACAGTACTTCCTACTTTGACGACTAGCCTTAGAGATGGAGACAGAGATTAGACCTGGAAAAGTGAGGTCAGGACAAGCTTTAAAATCTGGCATTTAAAAAAAATGCATTTTTTGCTTTTTTGAGAAGCATGCCCAAACTGAAAACCATACAACACTGAGCCATGTAGTACTTTTAAGTGCTGTCTTTCATAGTTCTTCTATCAAATTAAAACACACAATCAAAATTTTTTCTCCTTTAAAACATCTACAAATTTCTACATGTAACTTGATTTTCTCAATGAAATGTTTATTCTAAAAGCAGCAATACTCCATGAAATCCAGCATAATATGTAGATCAAGATGAGCTAATTTGCCATCCTTGAAATTATGTTCCTCAAAATGGGAACATATGTTCTTTTTTTAAATTTTACCTACAATGAAGATTGAAGCATTCCAAAAATTAACTGTATATCTATGCATGTATTAGAGTAAATCCCATTACCTCAGTATGGAAGCAGCTGAACCCATTAAATCTTTTCAGTATATTTGATAAATGTTACATACATTTTTATATATAGAAATTTGTGTATATTTGACATAGCATGAAGTGTTGCCATGAACTACATTAAGCACGTTATGTTCTAATGCATATGTACTAGCAATATTATTACATTAACAAATTAAAATTATTGTAAGAAAGCTATGACTTAAAAAAAAAAAAAACAACATATATTTACAGTCACAAAATTCAGTGTTCCTCAGTCTTATCATAACTAATTTCTGATGGACAAGCAGACACAAAATAAAACCAGCAGCAAAACTCATGTCAATACAGTAACCTTGTTCCATCTGTTTGAGTGTTAGGAGTATGCATCACCATATATTTTAATGAAGTTCCATGATATACTATGATATTATAAGGGCTAATAATAAAAAGAACTCCCTTTTTCTTACTTAGAAAAGACATGTATTTTTGCATCTATCTATAAATGTAAATATGGAAGAAAATTTGTAATAGTTTAGCTTCCAAGGGCTAAACTCAGAGTGTGCGAAACATACGCACAAACACAGATACTCATTAAGCAGCCCAGAATCATTCCTTTTGTCAAAAGTAGAAAAGTAGTTCAAGAATGGCAGTACAATTCAAAAAAATTATAGAAAAAATAAAATGTGGAAACTGGTGTTTTTCAGATATATTTTACAGCACTGTAAAAAGAATTAGATACAGATTTTGTTTAGCACGCACTAAAAGTAGACACTTTTTACATCTCTCAATTTATCCATGTATAATGTCAAATTAAGCTGTTAGTATAGAATGATGATGCATATTTAAGTAGTAATGTATATGCTTTGATTCAACTTTACCACTTTCATGATAAAGACTTTCATGAATATAGAATATCTTAATTAAATATGAGTATATAGGAACAAAAAATAAATAAACAAAATCTCTGTATTCAGACAGCCTGTGCAGCAATTTTGGTGCCAAAATCTGAAATTCACAGAAATGGTGAGCACTTCTAAATTTCTCTCGGACATATGGACAATCAATGCTTGCCAGTCTATATGTGAAATCATTTAAACTTGGACTTTGAAAGCACTTTGACGAGCTAATACAAACATAACAGACATATATATATGAGTACTTTCTCCTACATTGACTCTTTCTCTGAGATCTGAGAGATTGCCTTCTTTTCGATACATTGCAAACTCAGGACTCTGAAGCACTGCTTCTGACCGGGTCATCCAGCTGTGGAGCTCTGTTGTATCTGAGTCAAACCTGAGAGACAGAGAAATGTATTAAGACATTTCATTTCCACAAAGTTTCTGAAAATAGGATTGACAGAAAACGTGTTTAACTGGTTATTTAAATGAGTGAGTAAGCAGCAATTTCTCTCAACAAAACAGTTTTAACCCTTCATATTTCATTAAATAGCTAATAAAGCTATTCATTTTAAAATTTGGAAACAGAGAAAAACTTCTTCATTTTTAAGACCCTGATTTGAACAGTTGCTACAATTTTCACAATAAGGATTTTAATCTTACAAGCTGATGGCTTTGGAAGACATGATACAAGTGGTTCTCATTAAAGACAGTCCTATTGGCTCAGCTGAGAATGTAAGGCCTCTATGGCTGACCAAATGCAGCTTTCATACCTGCAAGATTTCTGTCCCAGTTAGTGCTGGCAATATTATGAAGGATATTCAAGCAGGAAATTTGACCATTAGAAAGCAGTCTCTTCTGACTGACTCTAATTTGTTGCAGAATGCAATTACTAATCAACAGTAAATTATAATTTTCCTACAGCTAAAGATTTAAAAACTGAAAATTAAGATCCCTATCTCTCTGTATATGCTTCTTAGCTAGTTTTTTACTGTACAGTCCTTTTTATTACAGTCTGGATCCTTCCATCAACTCCTTTAAAGCTGATATTAATTTCTGTAACTTCTTCAGAAGGTAATAGCACAAAATGAAGGTTACCATATGCAGGTATTTAAATTACTGATGTGTAAAAAAATTCAAACTGTGGTTCAGTATCTGCTGTAGTTTTTAAAACAAGAAGATTGAGACAATGCTTTTTCTCAGTTGTTCCACACAATATCACCATATGCTTGACTATATGTCTTTATTGCATCGTAAGTTCTAATATCTATATCTAGTTTGTGACTGATTTTCTTTTTGCAGCAATACAATGAAACCAATAGAATAGAATGATCTAGAAAAAAATAATTAGCTGCATTGTTCAGTTTGCTTTGCAAATATATGTTGTATCATTTACATACATAATTGAAAATCTATTAAAACAAGAGCCTGAATGACAATTATATCTTTGGAGGACTTAATTCTTTTATAAAAAATATACTCCGTATATACAAGTACTAAAATACAAGGATGTAAGCTAAAGTAAGGTGCTACAGAAATCTACATATACAGAAATGAAAAGTAGTTCCATGTTGGATCTAATATTTATGCCTCCTTTTTTACTTCTCCACTGTGATCTTTGTGACTCCATTTAGCAACACAATGTGCAAGACTGAGTAATAAATAATGAAAGTAGAAGAAAGAAGAGCCATACACTGCCTTAATACCAGCCCAATATTCCATATTCAAATCACAAACTTTAAGGAATAATTTTGATAAAGCAATCCTAATAAAACTATTTGGCCACTCATTAAAGGAGAAACAATATAACTGTGAAGTAATGGAAGGTGCAGAAATCTTCATTTTATAAAGAATTAAAAGTTCAGAGGCTGAAGACAAAATAGAATTCCAGATGTTTCAGGGAATCTCTGTGCCTGTACCAGATTCTAATCCCTGAAATCAAAGTGCACTGCCTACTTCAGCTTTATTTCTGACCCTATGTGACATTAAATCAATTCTATTTTCTGAAATAAACGTTATCGTCTGTTCTGCGTATAACAACTGTGCATTTAATGACCACAGAACATCAGACATCTTATCAAAACAAAGATGAGTTTACCAATCCCTCAGTACTAAACTTCCTTGTAGGTAAAACTGTATTAATTCTAGTCTCAAGCTTCAGGTAAGTAGGGCCAGTAAGACCAACTTTCTGAAGAATAGTGTGGAATTAGCCTGGTATAGGATGGAAATTGACAGAGCAAAATGGTTACCAGTGATCATTTCTTAAACAAAAGGACATGGGCCTTGCCTCTGCAACATCCTTCCTAGAAGAAGAATGGAAGAATTTGGGGCAGTTTTGATAAAACAAAAAAATAATCAGGAACATGTCCCACGGTCAAGAGATTCATCAGATGGTGGAAAGTATTAGCCACAGGTCTTTAAGGTCACTTCCAACTCAAACCATTTTATCCTACAATATGATTCTATGATACGACAGAGCTGGTCTCCATCACTTGCAGTTTCTTCTGGAAATAAATATAACTCCACAAAGCCTCCTACCCAAAAAAGGGCTATAAAAAGGAGGCAGAAAAGGATTAAGAAATATTGAAGTTAATTCAAAGTAGCTTTTTGCAGCACAAAAATATCCTCAATATAAAGATATTTTTTCAGTTTGTAGAAAACCAGGAAATACAGGTAGAATAAGAATCATTCTGTTAGGATGACTGGACATTTCCTCTCTAAGCACAGCTGCAGTTACAAACTATATTAAATCTAGATTGATATCAAAGGATCAATCAGTTTTTAAATCTCCTAAGTACAACAATACTGTTGACATAAAAAGTAATGCAAGATTACCTTTCTGACTCAATAAAGTTGAGTGCATGTAGAATTTGTTAAAATAGATCTATGGAAGACACTAAAACCAAATCTCTTGAGAGAGTTACTACAAATAATTTCCTAATTTAACATGCACATTATCTTGCTCCCCACCTAAAAACTCAATCTACAGCAAGGATTTACTCTTTATGCCACATTCATAGTTTAGTTTTCCAATTAGTCTTTCCTTCTGCTAGTCCACAAGAGAAAGACTATATTTTACTGCTCTCACTGTCTTCTCTCTATAGGCCAGCACGTCAGCTGAGTTCAAGTACAGCCTCATTTTACTGCAGAGCATGTCTGAAAATCCATCTTCACATTTTTAATCCATACCATTCAAATTTTCACAGAAGTCCCCCACCAATTTATTTTCTGAATCTTATTAAGACACATGCCCACTTCAGATTCCCATTCAAAATTCTCTACTGAGAAGGTCACCACATGTACTTGTTCAAAAATGATTCCTTGTTCTAAATTTCCCTTCCTTTTCCTTATTATATACATGATAAACCTCCCAATTAAGGCATTTCATAACTTAGTGGCATTTTGTTTTCCTATTTCTTTGCATGGAATTTCTAACCTGAATACCCAGCAGAGTATGATACTCAAGTCCTACTACAATGGCATATAGGTGGCATATACTTTCTGGAAGCCACTATATTCACAGTTCCTGCGGCTTAAGGATATCATTTTTGAAGAGTGTGTACAGCTTTCCTGGACCCCTTTGTCCTTCACTAATGTTTCCCAAGGAATTTTGCCAACTAGTGTCCTAAACAGGCTTCTGGAAGTCTGAGGTGGAAGCTTTGCTGACCTTCTTTCCTGACTTCACCAAGGACTGAAAATTCAATTATTTCATGATCGTTTTGCCCAAGATGGTCTCCAACCACCACATCACCCATCAGTCCTCTGTTTGCAAACGGCAAATCTAGCCAGCATCTCCCCTGGTTGGCTCACTGGGTTGGGAAGTGTGTGGTATCTTCCACACCCTCCAAGAACCTCCTGGATTGTTTCTTCTCTGCTATAGTATACTACCAGCAGATATCTGGTAGGTTAAAGTCTCCCATGAGATTAAAGGCAAGCAATCATAAAACTTCTCTGAGTTGTTTGAAGAACACTTTATCTGTATCTTCATCCTGGTTGTGTGGTCTTTAACAGACTCCTACCAGGATATCTGCTTGGTTGGCCTTCCCCCTGATCTTCACCCACAAACATTCAGCCTTCACACTCACAACATTGAGTTCAGTGTCAGTCGACATACTCCCTAACATACAACACAACCCCACCACCTCTTTTTCCTTGCCTATCCCTTCTGAAAAGCCTGTAGCCATCCACTGCAGCATTTCAATGATGCGAATCATTCCATCACATTCCTATGATAGTGATTATGCCATGACTTCCTTGCTGCACAATGGCTTCCAGCTCCTCTGTTTGTTGCCCCATTCTGCAGGCATCGGAACAAATGCATTCAAGTTGTCCTGTGGATGTCTGGACTACAACAGCGGCATGCTACCCTCTGACTCATTTTTAGCGAGCCAGGTGTTATCCCCTTTTCCCTTCAAACCTAATTTAAAGACCTCTCTATAAGCTCTGCTATACCTGCTATTATTGAAACAATAGCTATTGAAACCCCACTTTGAATAAGTCATGATAATTCTTCCTTTGACATATTTTTTCTACAAATAATCCAAACTTTTCTAAGTAACCAAGCATTAGAATCCAAATACATTATTTTTAAAGAAATGAAGGCTACTTTCTTAAAAAAAAAATAACACTTATTAAAAGAAAAAAAAACACTAGATGGAGCAGCTATCCTACTTTAACATGCTCTTCTCCTCAAAAAGCATAAAGTCTCTTTCAATTCTGAACCTTAACATTATATCCATAATAATGTTACAACAAATACCTTAGAAACATTAGGAAGCATGTACAAAGTTATTTACTAAATAGCAAAGAAAGGTATCTTTGGATGTTATTTCAGAAACATTAATATTACAAATATGCTTAAATTAAATGTTAAGCAGCTTGTTTGCTATTTAAGAAACCTGTGAACAGAACAATTTACTGATTTTTCTATGCTACACAACTGACTGGTTTTGCCCACAGTATGTAAATACCATGAAATGTTACCTTGCAACCATTATCCCCATATACATTATTTTTTTCATCCTAAAACTGTAGCTTTGTTACATTTATCTCTAGTCCTAATGCCTAACACATACTTTCAAGACCTGTATTATACAGCTTCGAGTATTTTTCCCTTCTTCAAATTAATTCCTTTGGAAAAGGTGATTTCCTATGACCAGCAACAGAAGTTTGCACATGACTGAATTATTCTGACTTTATGAAGCATTACTTTTGAGGTAGATTTAGAAAACTTTTTTTTTTTTTTTTTTGGCGGGGGGGGTGGGGAGAGGGGAGGAGCCATCTTTATCTTATCTCAGTTTTCCACCACTTATGGTAAAATGTTGCTGTAGGAGGCAAGAAAAATCTCAGCTTCTTTCCCATGTATTTATGCCACAGTGAGTTGGGGCAATGGAAATGTGACATTCACTCCTGTTTATGCTATTGGTCTACAAGTCTGATTGCTTCTCCTCAATTTCTTCAGTATAAATGGAGACTCTCATACTTCTAAATACTTTCAAAGCACTTGGAAATGTAAAATAAAAAGCGCTCTAGAAAGCTTGATGTTTCAATCTTAGCCACCCATTATTTCTCTTCAACTAAGTAGCTGGGGACCATATTCTTATGCAGTCTGCTACCATGATATTCACAGACAAACTCCTCTTTCTTCCACCTTAAAACTAAGCACCTAACAATTCACACTATAGGTGCAGTGCATCTTTAAAACATCCTCTAGTCTAAAACATTCAGATCATATGAAAGCAAACCTGGAGCACAAATCTTTCAAAACACATGGCAACAGAACCCGATACACTTATTTCAGGTATACTCCTTTACAGAAACAGTGTTGACTAAAGCTTGAGAACAGATGAAAGAAACATTATTCACTACCTCAGAAAAGCTCTAACCCTCAATATGTGTACCCCCCCAGCTCTAAAAATAATAGGCAAGAACATGCAGTGTGTTGTACCATAACTGAAGAGGCCTACATGATCTGGTTATGCACCTTCAGAAGTTTCTGGCAAGCATTCAATAATTTCTGTGTATTTTTAGAAGCACAAAATCTAAGCAGTATCACTTAGTTAATTTCAAAACCCAAAAGCTGTGCAGTACTGTGGCTTTGTTTGTTCTCCGGTGTAAGTACAACTATATATACACAAAAAAGCCTAGAAGATCTTGCAGCCAACAATGACCCAGAAAATAACTGACTGGCAATACAGTCATGGGGTTCTCCCAGCAAAAAAAGCATTGACGGAAAAGGTGTCTAGTCACCAATGCACAGAGTCATTTTAGCTGAGCACCCAAATCTTAAGATGAGGGTTTTTTCCCCCTATTCTTATGTTTATGCTCCCTGTAAATTTATCATGCGCAGAGAAAGACAGCAGCATAGTGTTAAATGTATTAGTTTCTAAGACTGCCTTTTTATGTTTTAATAAAAGCAGGCCTAACAATGATTATTCTAAGCTGAAACTCCTTTCCCAAAGTTTCCTTTCAAATTGTTTATCTCAAGCTATTTATTGACTGGCCCTCTGTCGTGGTTTAAACCCAGTCAGGTAACTCGTTCACTCACCCCCCCCTTCTTTCCCTCCCCCTACTCCCGGAGGGACAGAGAGGAGAATCGAAAAGAATGCAACTCCCACGGGTTGAGATAAGAACAGTTTAGTAACTAAGGTATAACACAGATCACTACTGCTACCACCAATGATAATAATGATAAAGGAAATAACAAGGGAAGAGAATACAACACCTCAGCACCAGCTGACCGATAACTCGCCCCCCAAGCCAGACCAAGCTCCAACCGATACCTCCTCCAACCCTGCAGTCTCCCAGCCCTTCTGGCTAACTCCCAGTTACATCCTGGGCATGACGTGCTGTGGTATGGAATACCTCTTTAGTCAGTTTGGGTCAGGTGTCCTGTCTCTGCTTCCTCCCGGCTTCCCCTCCTCCCTGGCAGAGCATGAGGCTCACAAAGTCCTTGGCCAAACCAAAACATTGCTATCAGCTCTGTTCCCAGGCCAAAAGTCAAAACACTGCACTGCATCAGCTACCAAGAAGGGGAAAAATGACTGCTACTGCTGAACCCAGGACACCATCACACTATGGAACACCCACTTGGAATTTCTAGAGAGGAAAGGTAAATAAGTCTTTTTGGCTGTTCAGTTAGAAATGCCAAGAAAAATATCTAAATTGAAAAATGCTGCCTTCAGATAATATAGCCATCATTCATCCTGCTGCACAGCTGTGGACATTTCTAATGTCATTTACTTTGTACATTACCATATTGCAAGTCCACCCAGTGCCCACTCAGTGAACAGTCATAGTGATCTCATTCTCCTATGATGTTATGATTGTGTTGTTAAAACAAATCTAGTAAATCCTGCACACAAAGCAATATTCAACCTAGTTAGACCATATTAAAGTGTATCAAACAATGGACTACCTTCTTCCTGCTAGAATTCAGCTTGCTTTCCTACCTGATCAAAATAAAAATCTACACTGTGCAGCAATGAAAAAGATTCTGATTTTAAGTATATATAAGAAACCATAATTTATTTATCCACCTAAAGACATTCTATACAAAGACAGAACTACAGACTGCTCCAAGGTTCATATCCTGACTCTTAAACAAAAGGTAGACAGAACTTATATGGTGAACTAATATCTTCTAGATAGCATAAAACACGAATCAACCCCCCTCGAAACCTAGTATGCAATGGTAAAAAAACATTAACACTCTGTAAAATTTAGTAGCAGATCTGCCAATGATATAGCTGCAAGCAATCATAGGCTCAATTTGATAATATATCCTATTTTCTCTAAAAGGATCTATCAAATTTATATATAACCTTGCTGGTTGAAATGCCTTATAGAGACAACAACTAAAACACTTTAAGGCTTTAAAATTCTCAGTTTGTATAAAATGAAATATTTCTGAACATAAACTAATTCTATAATCCAGCTAATTCCTGCCCTCCAGGAGTTACCTCACAGACTAGAAGCCTGTAGTCTGTTGTACCCTGCTAATTTTACCTTCAGTATTAAGGCAAATCAAAGGAATATGAACAAGAAAGAAAACACAGACTAATATTACATACTTAGTAGCTGAGAAAGGAACTTCTGATGCAAGTTGGTCTCCAATTTTGTAATATTGCATAGCTATTTATAGCAACAAATTTCTTGAGGTATCATAAAATACAGCTTTTAAAAAATAGTTCATTTAGTTTTAACTAAGGTAATGCTTTCTTTTGTAATAGTAGACTCCCATTTCACTTCATTATATTTATGCCAAGTAAGATCATTCCTAAAACATTCAGCTTGGAAAGAAAAAGTTAAAAATTTTAATATATCAATATTTGAGAGAGTAAAATTCCAGTGGAATTTTAATTCTTAATTTGTCAATTTCAAAATAAAGAATGACAATATTTTCAAGACAGGGGTCATGCCTTAAGATAGGTTTACTCTTCCATATAAAAAAAAACTAGCTTCTTAGCATCTCATTCAGAAATTTAGTTCTTGAGCCAATTCTACTTAAACTCATCAGAAATTTTTTTGTGACTTTAACAAGTGTTCAAATGTATTAGTCTAAACTCACTTGTCACTTATACTTGAGTCACACAGGAAAAAAAATCTGAAAATAATGATACTGCATGTTTCACCAAGTATGAATTCTGCCTTTGCAGAACTGTTATTTCTAATGCTGACCTACAAGCCAGAAAGAACACAACTTGAATTTTAGAAACCAGGCAAGATCTCCACTACTAGTAATCTAAGTATAAAAAAAAAAAACAACAAAACACTTAAAGAATTAATAAAGATGAGAACTAATGGAATGCATCAACTTCTTCAAGCTTCAAGACTATAGTCAAGTGGAACCCCCACAATGCCATTCATAAGGACTTCTACTGACTATAATTACTATCACAGTGGTATTGGTATAATTATAAACATTTTTTTTACTGCAACATAGTTGGACGAGAAGCACAAAAATATCAATAACTCATCCTAAGTAGAAGAATGATCAATCCATATTTTAACAGAGAACAGAAATAAAATTTTAACCTCAAAAATGTATACAGCAACCTACTGCAGTCAAATGACTTTCTGCATTCTTATTCAAACTCTATCAGTATTCTTTCTCTGTCTCTTAATGATTCTCACCTCTTCCTAATTTCTGAATCCACAAGGAGTTGCCTTTTTTTGTGGGGTGGAGGTGGTGGGAGCTCCTCTTTAGCATGCTTAACCAGGATATGTTCTCTTGTGGTCACCATAGTTACAGTTTCCATTACAGTTGTCTGTGTTAGTGATGTCTGAGTGGTAGTGACAGTCTGTGAAATCTGTGAGAAGTATAAAAACAGAGGTCACACATTGCTTGAAACACTTCAGTAAAGACAGTTTAGAGTAGCAAGAGAAGATAATGAGAAACAGCTCCTATCTGATCATAGGCTGACCTTCAGAAAAAAATAACCCTATAAGCAACTCAAACCAAATTGTTTTATCCAACTCATGCTGTGTGAATAAGATATCTGCAGAAGTCAATATCAAAATCAGAAAGGATCCTAAACTGAATTAGCTCATGGCTCCCTGCAAGTCCTGATGAATGAAGACAAGAAATGGTCAGTTTAGTGAGGGAAATAAATAATAGCAAATACATAAAATGTTACTATTTGAGTTAGTCTGCCTCCATTCTGAAAATATATTTCTTGAGAAGCGATAAAAGCATGGTAATGGAACTAAATAACCAATTATTACTTTTACCATCTATAACAATTTTTAAACTAGAAGGTAATTAATCACAACCTACTTGCGAAAAAGGGCAGCTAGCTTACTGTCAGGGAATCTTAAATCAGAAAACATGCACTAGAAGGCAAATTAATTTGCATCATTTTATTCCGTAATTAAAAAAATGTTAAGGGGTCATAAAAGATACAAATACACATAATATGTAACCCTGTAACCGGCAATCTAATGCATTTAACTTTATGCACTTAGTAATATGAAAACAACCCCTTCATAGAGTTCAGACATATTAAAAAAAAAAAAAAAAAAATTTTTAGAAATATTTTCAGTTCATATCTGTTTGAAAGATACTGGTTGTATTTCTATGGCCCATTAATATTTATTTCCATATAACACCAAACTACAACCTTCCCACTTGAATGTGGGCAGCTGCTCTTAAGTCCCTTAACTAATGAGAAACAGGTCACTTCAGTTTTCGGTTCTGTCATAGGATGCCTCATTTCTCAAAATGCTCTAGTTACAGCTCCAGTAATCACATTACAGTTTAGGGGCAGTGAAATGAAAAATAAAAGGAGAAAGTTATATCAGGAGCAGAAAATGCTGTGCATCAGAAGAGCTCTGCTTCTTTGCTTATTGTCAATGGGCAAGAGTTAGAAAAACTTTCCAATTCAATGAGAAGAATGTCTGTATCTAAAATTCCATGAAACTATATATGCATACATAAATTATCTATTATTTCTTGTACCAGAAATTCAGTAAGAGAAATGAGTTTTATTGAGACATTAATGGTTCTATAAACAATGGAGAAGAGGCATACCAGGTAATTAACTACAACACCTTTACCATGATGCTTTCTTATATTTAAAAGAATAGACTGACAAGGAAGGGGGTATACTGTTAGCAACCAGCCTCTTCTCAACAGGTGACATCAGTAAAGGCAAAAAAAAAAAAAAAAAAGCAAATCAAAAACCCAAACCAAACCAACCAACCAAAAAAAAAAAAAATAAACCCACCCTGAATTCACGCCAACACTACCAAATTTTTCACATGGTCTTCTAAACAGAAAAGTTTTCCTGATCTTTGTCCAGTCTGCCAATGGAAGACCATTACCACTGTCTTTCTTGCTTAGGCAGTCTTTCTTAGGCAGTCTTTCTTACTTTGAGTAGTCAGCTCAAAACTATGCTCAGAGATAGAAACGACTAGCTGTCTAGTCTTAAAAGCAGAATCAGGACTACTCAGAAGACTACAAAATTAAGAATCAGAGGAGAATTTTTTTTTTTTTTTTAAATCTCTGGATTAATAATGTCAATTGGCATAAGCTGCTTGTGAACTGCAGGGACTTAGCTAAACACATGAATTACATAAATTCTTTGGAAAAGAAAAACACCCAGTTGACTTTTTAATCACTACAGTAGTAAGTATTAATACTCTTGGTTGAGTTCCGTCAATGTATTGACTGATATCTTAATCCACAGAAATAATGACAATATTAAGTAAACATTTCCATGCAATTTTAATAAAAAAAAATATTTAATCAAAATAATACAGCATCTTTTTCAATTTTCTTTTAGTAAGGGAGGGGAAGAAAGGAAAAGAAAATTACAGCTTTTGATGTCTGTGGTTCTGTCAAATTTGAGGGTAACACCTGCTGTAATCTTTTCCTGAGCTGACTCTGTTCCTAAGATCATTCCAAATAATTCTCGGCTCCTTATATGCAGTTTTGGGTAGAGTTTCCGTTCCTCTCACAAAATTCTTATCTTGAGGTCATAGACTGTTATGTTTCCATTTGCCAATCAACACCAGGGCACAATTTACATTAAAGAAAGTGTAAAACACAATAAACCACAGCTAGGGCTCTGTAGGAATCATCTGCAGTGTACTACCAATTACACAGGAGTAACAGTAACAGTTTCAGCTGGTGATTGGGAGCTATGCTTCAAAAGTAGGTAGCGCAATTACCATATGCTTAGAGCAGTCAAGTCATGATGGGGGGGGTATGGGGGGTAATGATTTACATGTCAAAACAGTAAAGAAGTACTTTTCATGCTTAATCAACAGGAGTGGAGGTTAAATACTACATACTTCAAAAGGAAAACAGAGATGTGAATTTGAAGTTCATAATCACTCTAATTAGAGACTGGGTAAGACTAAAAGGTACTGACAATTACACTGCAATGTAACTCTGCAAGCTGAAGTTGGTTCACATATAAAGAGTGCACACAGTTCAGTCGGTAAAGGACAATCCTTAAAAATATATGCGGGTACAAGAAATGAAGTGACTTCTAATAGCTTTCTTGGTGAAAAAACGCACCAACCCACCACCCAAATCTAATCACTGAAGTGTGTGTTTCATGTATTATTCAAAGATGGTCCAAATAATGACAGTATCATTTCCTCATCCCTCTCAGTTCCTGACAAGCAAATATGAATCTGAGAAGGGGTGATGCAGACTAGGCCTTACACCACTAGAAAATAATATGGAAAGCACTATGGTGACTCAGAAAGCTGCACATTAAAAGGCTTTCAAAATACAATGCTTGCCTTCAGTTTCACATCAGCAAGCTCATCTTAAAAACATGTAAAAACTCATCACTTTTTGGAGTGGACAAATTTAAATCTTTTTCATCATCTACAGGCAAATGTATGTACAATGTGTGTATAGCACTTCAGTAGTTTTATGTCATTTTATTTCTCTTTTATATGGCAGCCTACCTTTAATGTCCTTGATTTCACTGTGTAGTCAATGAAGGAAAGTTGACTTTTTCACAATGAGGACAAACTGATTTTAGAGGTCTCTCTCCCCTCCCCTTTGGCATCCACTCATTTGTAGCAGAAGCTTCAGCCATGAGTTCTGATTTAATGCTTAAATTCAGCAGTAATGAATTCAGCTAAATATGGGAGGACTCACATTCTACTTTTCCTTTGGGATGTATAACTGCCTCCTGTGCCTAGCTGGAAAATCAGCTTTGAACTGAGGCTGAGGTTGTCTCTTCCATTTAATTTCTTATTTTCTCAACAAGTTAACCATTCAGTGACACTTTAGTAGAGAGGGAAGAGAAATAACTAACGACAAAAATGTAGTTATGAAGGTACTATAAGAATTATTAACCATAGAATCACTCAGGTTTGAAAGGACTTTTAAGATCATCAAGTCCAACCATTCACTTAGCACTGCCAAGTGTACTACTAAATCAATGACCTAAAGTCAATTTTGAAGTAAATATCTAAGAGTGGTTAATAAAATGTGCATTTTCTAATAGATATTAGTGAAACATGTTGCATTTGACACATTTTTCCAATTTCCAATTAGGATATACCTAAACTGTGTAACAGTGTCTTAGGAAATGATCTTTCAGTTAGAACGTGCAACATCTTTGGAACGTGAAGCAATATGCCCACAACAGCATCTTCTCCTTGGAGGAAAAGCTTATCAACTGAAGTGTGCTGCTATAAGACAGTTACACTGTTTGGGGAAGCCAAAGCATTTCCTACCTGTGCTGCTCTATGATGCATGGATGCACGGCCGGACATTGCTCACTTCATCTTTTCTGCAACCTAAGTTCCATTTTCAAAACTAGTATCTGCTTTTAAGACCAATCAACAATCTAAATAACTCTTGAACACTTTGGAGTGATTTACTAAATTCTTCAAATCATGTGACCCTAGGCATCCCAAATTCAAAACACATCTCTGGATTTTCCTCCGCATTGAAATAACAGGTTTCCTACAGCAAATACACAACTGTTAAATCTAATTTTCAATTGTTATAAATGCTATATAGCACATACTAGTTTTGCTTTCCGTTACGAGGTGAAATTGTACCCTTTCCACTTTTTCTCCTCTTCTGTTCTCCCAAACTGATTTTTCCAACTTCAGCTACACAAAAACTGTATCACAGAGCAAACTAGAAGATTAAAGCTTGAGTTGGAAGCAAGGTTATTGAGAAGTATTTGGATCACTATGGGAAGTATAGCAGCTTTCATTTAATTAGGCAAACAGAAGTTCGTAGAAGGATTAGTATATAGCAACAAAAAACTGCAGTATGGTCAAGCAAATTGAATCAAACTGTCCAGACTATTAGAGTCCCTCTAGGAACAGGACGGAGGAGTGTGCAGTGACATTCTGTTTTATGTTATCATTAAAAAGTCTTAATGTCCATTTCACCAGTCATGAAATGATTGCACAGAAATAATGAGATAATATAACAGAAAAATGTGAGATGATTTGAGTTTAAATACAATAACAAAGAGATGCTGTCAGTTGACTTGAAAAAATAAATGGGTATGTTTTGTGGTACTACAGCAGAGAACACCAGAGCCCTGATTTTTGTTATCTGATTTAAAAATGTGAAACTTTAAAACTTGATTTTTATTTTTTTTTTTTTTTTATTTTTATACATATGCTACGGTTAACATAAAGGAGCTGGGTAAAATAATAGCAAATTATATTCTTCTTTCACTGGCATTTGGGCTACATGTATAGATTGATCTATTTTCCACAAAAAAAAACCCAAACTTCTCTTTTTATGGCCTCTCTTTTTAACCTGTAAATCAGCATAACATGAGAAGTAAAAAAGTAATCTATTTTGAACTTTCACTATTGACAAGAAATTAAAAATAATTTCTCTTTAACTAGCAAATAGCACTTACACTAATTTCAGACCAACTGCTATTCTGCAGAGACAGCCATAAAAATATTACATTTGAAGTGACCAACTATTAGAGGTTAAAAAAATAATACTGGAAAGAGTATTTACATTATGGATTGTGTCACTCCTGAAACCACAGTTAACAAACCAAGAAACTAGTCAACACTATAAAGAAAGATCAAAATCTAAAGCAATATTTGAAATTCTGGAAAGTTGTATTTACAGTTGTATTACAGTGCCCTAAAAATAAAGTATGTCTTAAGCAAGCATGCAGAGAAAAAAAAAACAACAGAACAATATGATAAACAGCACCAATGCTACTTCAAGCATTTGACTAGCAAAGGATTTGACTGCCACCAAGTGACAAAATTATGGTTTTAACATACCTGTTTAGAGTAGCTCTCCACCTTCTGTACAAGGCTCTCCCAGCGCTGGGCAAAATTTTCAAGACGACTTTCCAGCTTTTGAGCCACTGCTTTATTTTTCACAGCTACAAGGAGGTCTTGGCTGAGTGACTTCAGCTTACCCATCATTTGCCTTTTCATTTCTAGATCTCCTTTTAGGATCTGTTAAAGAAAGTAACAGCAGGAAGAACAGTAATTTATACATAAAAAACAAACAACCCAACAAAATCAAACCAAACCAACCCAACAAACCTAGAAGAAAATTCCAAAAGAGAGCATCATAAACACTGAAAATGGGTAGGGGTATTACTTAGAAACTCCTATACTTCCATGCTGTTAGCGTAAAAACTGCTGTCAGAGCTGACATGTTGGAATGAACACACTGCACTTCACAAAACAGTATAACATGACAGGTGGAGCAACCCCAGACATCTCAGCATGCCTCAGGTGGCAACGTAAATCAGAAAGCTAACAGCTGTGTGACGTTAATAACCTTAAAACTGTACTAATGTTAACAACTACATCAACATTTCAAAAAATTTCTTTAAAGTTTTGTTGTACTTTGTAATATATTGGGTATTAAGACTCACTGGGAAAAAATGCTAATACCTAAAATACTGATAAGCAAAAAAATGCACAATTTACAAATCTGCAAGAAAATAAATTGTACTGTTTGCTTTACCAAACTACTAAATAACTCAGTCATAACTTATGTCAAGTGCATACTGTAAACTCCAATATTTCAATATTGTAAAGTGGTTTCCTTATTTTTTGGTAATGTGCTTCTACTAGTTGTTTTGTACTTTTGTACTTTTTCAGTAAATCTCAACGTGTTACAAAAAAGAGGAACGTCATCACCTTCATTTTACAGTTTGTAAAACTTAGGCGCGGACATGAAAGCAACTTAACAAACATGTGCCATAAATGACAGTAAAATTTCACCTCACCCTGTTCATTTACATTCTACATTCTCAGTGCATCACAAACTCATGCTCTGTCACCCTTTTTTTGCCTTGCGTAGGAATTACAGTGACATTTATAGTGACACTGAATAAACAGTAGGTGGAAAATTAGAAATAAAACCAAACCAAAACAAATCAAAATGAAGCACAGTTGTTTTAAAGAACTATTTTCAGAACTAGAGCAACTACCCATCAACATGAGGGAAAAAGAAGTCAGTAGTAATACATGCACAAATTATTAAGGCCTAAACAGTTTTTCTGACCTTTAGACTAAGTAGATCCCAGTAGAGAGTTAATGACAAAAGAGATAAATTTTCACATGCAACTACTGAAATCCTCTGAAACAAGCCATGTGAGATCATTAAAACACAAGAATTTCTTGCAAAAAAGTTTTATCTGAAAAAAAAACTTACAAATAGATATTGTGGGTACAGCATATAAATGAAGAGAAAATCTAACTGATTTGATACCAATTTCCACACAACATTAGAACTGCATGAAGTTTTATACTGATTAAAAATGTGTTCTACTTATTCATTTCAATAAAGAATGAAAACATTACTGCTAAAGCTGACAGAAAAGGAGGGACACCAGTACTGGGTTTACACAGCAAGGATTTGGTAGCAGGAGGACTGCAGCTGTAGCATCTGTGAAAAGACACCAGGGGCTACTGCCACACTGGATAGAACCAATTCCAGATGCCTCCAAAAGAGACCTACTGCCCCCACAGTGGAGCCCATCAGTGACTCCAGTGGTGCCTCTGCAATGATTTCATCAAGAAAGGGTAAAACCTGCTGTGCAGAAGCTTTGAGATAGAGGAGTGAGAAAAAATGTGACAGAAAGAGCTCTGTAGACACCAGTCAATGAGGAAGGAGAGGAAGGAGAGGAAGCAGATGCTCTAAGAGCCAGAGCTGAAATTCCCCTGCAGCTCGTGGTGCAGACCATGGTGAGGTAAGCTGTGCCCTGCAGCCCACAGAAGTCCATGGTGGAGAAGACATCCACCTGCAGCCCATGGAGGACCCCACACCAGAGCAGGTGGATGTGCCTGAAGGAAGCTGTGACCCTGTGGAGAACCTGTGCTGGAGCAGGCTCCTGGCAGGACCTGGGGTGCTGTGGAGAGGGGCCCACACTGGAGCAGGTTTGCTGGCAGGACTTGTGATCCCACAGGGGACCCAGACTGCAGTAGTGTTCCTGAAGGACTGCACCCCGTGGAAAGGACCCATGCTGCTCTCTTCCATGGGTAGGACCACATGCTGGAGCAGGGAAACGGTGTGAAGAGGAAGTTGCAGCAAAGTGTTATAAACTGACTGCAACCCCCATTCTCTATTGCCCTGTGACACCTAAGTCATGAGTGAAGTTGAGCCTGGGAAGAAGGGAGGGATAAGAAGGTGGTTTAAGATTGCTCTTATTTCTCATTATCCTACTCTGATTTAGTGGGCAATAAATAAGATTATGCTAACAACCATACTTCCAGGTTTTGAATTTTGGAAAAAAAAAAGAAGTCAACAAATATTAACTTCTTTATCATTCCATAAATCAACAAGGATATTTACCACTAATTTTGGACCACCTACAAGGTAAGACTTAAACAATCAAGCTGTAAGAATTCTAATTAAAAAAACCCCACAACTTTAATATTTGTATATGTGAGGACAAAATAGAGTAGATTTTAAAAGCCAGTTACTTAAACTTCAGAAACATCATGGTATTTTTATATTGGCCAAAAGCCAAAATGTTTCTAGTTTTAATGCAGAAGGATGAGAAGGACATAAATTCTAGAATTATTTTTAAAAATCTAAGGTTGAGCTTACTGTATAACCAAATAATTAATAATAAATTGAGAATTGTTCATGCCTGAAAATTCTACTATGTAAAGTGTAAAATCAAGTCTTGAAATAATGCCTAGGACACTTCCTTCCCTCCACCATTTTACAAGAAATAATAATAGTTCTCTTCAAACAGATTGCTAAAGAAGTTCCTATTTACAGCAATAATAAATTACCTATTTTAACAAAAGCACAGACATGAGTGTTTCCTTTCCTCTAAATGTATAAACAGCCATTGCTATGTAAAACAATAGCACATACTGTACCATTTCCTTTACAAATGTCCTAATGCTATATAAATATTTCGAAGTCTAGGCTGGGAGTTTTCCACCTCTACCAGCACAGGGACTTTCTAGGCCACTCAGATGCCTTGCTTCCATAGACAATGCATAGTGAAGTATTTTTTGAAGAGTGAGGTAGCGAACGTGTTGAAAAGGGTACATTTTGCATACGTAAACAGAATCCCAAAATACAGTTGAATTATAGTTGTAAAGTAACACTAATGTCAGCATTTCACAACTTTTGAATATGTAGCTTTTTCAAGTTCAAGGAATGCATAAAAGGTTTTGATGTATGATGAGTGCTTAGTCATATGCATATGTCTTTGTAAATATACATATATAATCAGTCACACACAATATATACAGTAATAGTAACAACAAAGAAACCTTCAGTACAAAAGCATACATAATTTTAAGACACCCAAATGCTACTTCAGTTCATAAACTTTTGACAGCCAAGGAAAATATCTGTATCTATTGTCTCCTTTATCAGCAAGGCCATGGGCCAACATATTCCATCAACATGAGAATGTCCATTCTTAAAGTATGAAAGAGCTATTCTGCTAAACCACATATTGACTGGGAGTGGGAGAAAGCCACATGTAGTCAGACTTATAAATAAGAAAGTTGAACATAAAATAAGAGAATGAAAAAATACATACAGCTAATTTGCGTAGACTGGTCAGTGTTTCATTTTGATCTTTAAAGCCAGTTGTATGAATTTCTCTCACAGCATCCTCTTTCTCAGTAAGCCATGCATCAAAAAGGCACTGAAAGAAAAATGAAGAGAATTAAAAGGCTTTGGTTAGGCCTTTCCTTGTGCAATTTTTTGAAGGGCATGCCAACTTATAACTGTTAAAACTACTCACTTGCTCTTCTGCAAAGTGCTGCCATTTACGTAGAATATCCTGCAAAAGGACCCATCGTTCTTCTGTCCATCTGCAGATGGCTGCCCACCGGTTTCCAAAGCGCTAGAAAAAAAGAAACACACAACAGATGTTTGCATTTTTTATTATTTTTTTTTTTTTAATGAAGCAATCTGATTTTCCTATGGCATTACAAATTTTTCTTAAAACTTTTCCCTAATTCACTTTTTACAGTCTTAAGCCCTCAAAATATGTTGCATGCCACACTGAAAAGGATCTTATCACCATTTGAAACAAACAAAAAAAATAAATGGAGAGACTAGGAAAAGCAACAGAGGCAACAGCTGAGAATTTTAATACTAATCTACAGATACAGTTTTCTATTAAGTCTCTTGATACTACACACTCAGAAACCCCCTCAGTTTCAAAACTTTACAATGCCAAAAACATAACTCCTTGAAACATAATTATAGTGGCCCAAAGATGTAATCAAAGCAAAGTATCTCGTTCTTAAATTGCACCATCAGTGTGGTTGATATAAGTTCTTAACTGTTTTAAAATATCGCATTAAAAAACCCCTTCACCTTATAAACTAACCAACACAATCTCAGTGAGGTTTCCCAGATATTCGTAGCGTATGCTACTACATAAATTTTAGAATTACACAAAACACTACCTTGTTACCTCTCCCTTATCTTAGTTGAAATCAAGCATTACTTTATTTCAATTTCCTATTACCCTTTATTAAAAAATGCCTAAGACATATGATGAGCTTTAATAATGCTGTGATGGTGTCACATGCCATAAAACTTTTATTGCAACAATTTACAATTATTTAATTACCCATGAGCACTCTATGCAAATTATTCAGCTGCTCCCAAATAAAAACCCCTATAAAATCTACAAAATATTCTATACTACTGCATTCTAATTTTTCCCTCTACTTCGAACGCATGCTTTGACAAAAAGTTTATAATTCATATTTATTTGCTTGATAATTCTCCCTTATAATTAGAGATATTTTATGATACTGTATTTTTACATATTTTTCATAGGATTGTAATTTAAGTTTAGCAAAAAATTCAGCTAAAATTAGCATCCAAATGGTAGATTTTAAAAGCAAGGGATTAATATTCAGACTGTATTTTCTACCAGGAATGAAATAATTCAATTTTGCACTCCCTAGAAAATGAGACGTAAAATTTCAGGATGCCATTTGAATTTGTCACTTTATCGATTTTATGTCAAAGCAAAAAGTTAGCAGCTACCATGTTTATCATTTAGTGGACATTAAACCCATAAAAATCTTGCAGACTAAAGAGGCTCCTGCCATGCCATTAGTTATATAATATTAGATATTGGTTCAATTTAGAAAAAATGAAAACTATCTTTAATCAAAGAGCATAATAATGCTAACTTAAAAATATGCCAATTCTTAAACAGCACAAATACATTAATACAGAGAAATATTCCTCCCCAGTCACTTACTGCATAATTACAAAGTAGGTTTTGAGAAAGCTGCTTTGTTTGCCTTTTTCAGGCTTAATAATAGGACCATGGTTTCGGTATATATTTGGAATTATGTATTGTATATTTGCATTCTTTCCTAATTAGATCTAGATAAAAGCCAAGCAATTTTGTAAATCTAAGAATGTGATTTCACATTAAAATCATGTTTAGTATTAGTGTTTGCTTGCCATGAACCATAATGTTATCAAAGATAACCAACAGATGCTTCTAATCTGAACCCTGATCTGAGACTCTGTCTTTCCTAATAATTCCAACAATTCAGGATAATTATGATTAGTTATCTACTCAGAAACACTGTACATGATTCAACAAAGTCGTAAGTGGCTTCTTCTTGTCGCTAAACAAGGTCCAAGTCTAAGTACTAGATTTTCCCTATATGCCTTTTCTTCCCACCACCAGAGAAGAAGAATCTCTTAATTGCTAAAATTCTATTTATACAGATAGTGAGGTGAATCACATTTGGCTGTTTGGGTGCTCATTTTACACAGAAGCTTATGGACACTAATTATGTACTACATTCAAAAAATACACTTACAGTTCAAGAATTTACAAATTATCCCAAAGTTAAGCAGCAAAGCTTTTGGTACACTGGATTTAGATTAATGTTTCTGGAAAAACCTTTTAATGACCAGAGTCTCTCCATTGGTAATGCAGGCGTAGATCAGAATAAATGACACTGTGCACATCTAAGCAGTATTTCTTACCTACCTGAAATTTTTAATTCTCATATAAGCCGAATACAGAGTCTCTGACAAGAAAAAATGTAATTAAAAAAGGATAGACTTTAACAGACTTTCATAGACTCTACATTCTTAAAGAACTTCATTCTTACAGTATGCAACACCAAGAATTATGCAAGCTCTTGCATCTTTATATCCAATCTGGACGCTTTTAAGATTCAATTAGACAGGGTGCTAGAACATCTAGTCTAGGTCATGCCATTTCCAGAAAGGTTGGACCAGATGATCCTGGAGGTCCTGCCCAACCTGGTACTCTATGATTGTTCTCCAACTTGCAAAGGGACTTACATAATAGATACATATTATATCTATATATGCATGGATTCAGAGGAAAACTTTGTGGAAAGATATACTAATCCACAAAAACAAATATCAAACCACTGATTACTAATTCAATAATAATTCCTTAATTATTATTATTCATTTATCAACTAATTACATGGGATGGATAATATATTTTAGATAAACTGAAAAAAAATAGATTTAAACAGATAAGATTTTTTCTTTTCTTTTTAATCACTTTCCAAATACTGGTTAAAGAGTATAAATATTTCATTTTCTAAACTCTGTTCAAGAAAAACACCCTAAGTATTCTCTATTAGAACATGAAGTAAACCAAAAATTTTGGTACTGCCCCATGCAATACAACACCACATTAGATACTTAAGTAGGAATGCCTACAAAGTCCAGCCTGGTTTGAGCTACAGAATCATTCCTGGGATCATTAAAGTTACACATAACAAGGCTCCTTTTCTATCACTAACTGCAATAGAGTACAGTTCTGTATGAATACATACCTTAGTAACTGCCCATAAATTACACCATCATACGTAATGAATGTTCTCGTAACTGGCATACAATCATCATTTACCATGATGTCTATGACTGCAATAGCAACAGGCATTCACAGAGATGAACTGTCACTTTTCTCTGTTACTTAATTTCTCTATGTGTCTGCATACTGTATTTGAATACTTAAATTTAAGTTATGCTAATCATAGTCTAAGCCTCAAACTCAATTCTGCATCTTTCATGTTTATGCTACTTCAGACATATTGTATGCTTTTGATGGCTTATAAATAAATCAGTAAATCTTTTACTGATAAGCATTTTATAAAAATTCTCATACCTGAATTAATTTTTCCATACCTCACATTCAAGCAGCTGACTTTTCTTAACAGTTCTCATAAAGAAATAGTTTTCTTTCAATATCTGCAGTAACATCTTCATCAACTTGCCTTTATCACTATGATATACCTTGAAAAATACTTTTTGCTTGCTCATTCAGAAAACACCAAAACCTCAAGAGTACAAGATCAAATACCTGGCTCTGCATTTGCTCTAAGAAATGCATTGATATGCATACTGAAAAACTTTTGTAGAGTCAATTCAAAATACTACTTTCTGCATATGATTTCAAAGAGCCAAAACCCCTACCTTTAAAAGTTTCACAAGACACTTTATTTTAATAAAGTGAGTAAAATGACTAAGTAACTGCACTGATAAAAGGGTTGATAGAGTGACCTGCCTGAAACCTGTTATTTCTCATGAGAGATGATAACAACCATGACACTAAGAAACACTGTTTGGTCGAATAGGTTTAAGAAACACAGTTTCAAGTCAGAAATACCATGTCAGGACTGTTTATTTGTAAAGCAGTTATTGACTACTAAATCATATGGTGCTCAACGTTATCTCCTTATTCACATCAAATAGTGGTTGATGCTGTAAGTAGTCTGTGTGGTGCCCAGAAACTCAGACTGCACCAATGGTTTTGCTCCCAACATCTGAAAAAACAATCTCCAGAGAAACTGACTGAATCCAGTCTGAAAAGTAAAATGCCTTCCTGCTCCCTCAAAATTCCTCTTTTTACAGCCCTCTCTGGATTTTTCCAAGAAACCTGCATGTAAAAAAAAACTTTTTTTTTTTTTTCTATTTTCAGAGGGCTTTGAAAGAATACTTTTTAAGACTACCAGAAATAGAAGATAAAATATTCCTTGTCTGCAAAAAGGTCTAACTCGGGGAACATGAGAACAGAAGAAACTGAGTAAAACTAACACAACTCTTGGGAATACTGGAGTGAATATACAAAAAGTTAAAGAATATGCCTCAAGTCTGCAACTAATAGAATAGTTTTATTGAAAGATGTTTTTCTAACAAGATAAGGCTATTCACTTTTTAAAGTAAGGAGGAATAGCTGAAATATACTTTTGTCCATATATAATATCAGTTTTTTTTTAAAAAGGCATATATAGCACATTCATAGAATTTCTCCCATGTAGCAATAAGTGCCCCTTAGTAAGTCTGCAAATGACACCGAGCTGTGGGGGAGTGTTGATCTGCTGGAGGGTAGGAAGGCTCTACAGAGGGATCTGGATGGGTTGGATTGAAGGGCCAAGGCCAGGTGTATGAGGTTCAACAAGGCAAAGTGCAGCGTCCTGCACTTGGGTCACAATCACCCCATGCAATGCTACAGGCTTGGGGAAGAGTGGCTTCAAAAATGTGCAGCGGAAAATGACATGGGGGTGCTGGTCAACAGTCAGCTGAACATGAGCCAACAGTGCGCCCAGGTAGCCAAGAAGGCCAGTGGCATCCGAGCTTATATCAGAAATAGTGTGGCCAGCAGGACTAGGGAAGTGACTGGCCCCCTGTACTTGGCACTGGTAAGGCTGCACCTGGAATACTGGGCTCAGTTCTAAGCCCCTCACTACCAGAGACACATTGAGTTGCTGGAGTAGATCCAGAGAAGGTCAGCGAAGCTGGTGAAGGGTCTGGAGCACAAGTCTGATGAGGAACAGCAGAGGGAACTGAGGTTGTTCAAGCTGAAGAAAATGAGGCTCAAGGGAGACCTTATAACTCTCTACAACTGCCTGAAAGGAGGTTGTAGTGAAGTAGGGTTTGGTCACTTCTCCCAAGTAACAAGTGAGAGGACATGAAGAAATGGCCTCAAATGGCCTCAAATGGCCCGGGGAGATTTAGATTGGACATTAGGAAAAAATTTCTTTACCGACAGGGTTGACAAGCATTGGAACAGATTGCCCAGGGAATCGCTGGCATCACTACCCCTGGAGGTATTTAAAAGACGCGTGGATGTGGCATTTACGGACATGGCTCAGTGGTGGACTTGGTAGTGCAAGGTTAATGGTTGGACTCAGTGACCTTAAAAGTCTTTCCCAACGTAAACAATCCTATGATTAAGAAGCATTTCTTTACTTAGAGGGTGGTCTAACACTGTAACAGGCTCGCTAGAGAGGTGGTTGATACCCCAAGCCTGTCAGTGTTTAAGAGGCATTTGGACAATGCACTTAACAACATGCTTTCATTTGGTCAACCCTGAACTGGTCAGGCAGTTGGACTAGATGATCCTTGTTAAGTGTCTTCCAACTGAAATAGTCTATTCTATCCTTTAACATTCCTCACTCCTTTTGAACATATTTTTACAAGAACTACCCATACATCTTCTTCAATCAAATGGAAGTACCCTGAACAATATGAATATATCACAGAGAGTGTAAATTACAGTCTCAAGCTCCCTTCCCTCAGCATGATAAAAAGCCATCAGGAGCAGTTGATACATTTAATGTAGATCTCTTTCCAGCACAGGCTCGGATCCCTGAAGCCTGGGAAGGCTCTAATTTAAGATAGCCTGCAGGAATCCTTAAGGGACCTGTTGTATGCTAGATATAATTAGAGAAAATATCCCTGCGTTAATAGGTTCTGTATGTCATCCAGCTATTTGTCTGGGCTCATGATAATTTCCCACATTTTCACCTGAGAAATTAGTCAGACTATGGCAAAAGATTAGGTTCTGTAGTCCTCTGATTTTGAAGCACTATATATAGATTTGAGACTCACTCAGTAGCTGCCTTTGGTAAGTGTCTGGATTGAGTCTAATACGGGTTTAGGAGTTATAAGTCTAAATAGCAAGTTCTCAGCAGCAACATAAACAGACAGAGCTTCACGACACTGATATGTCAAGTAGCTAATGTTATGTAAAGTTAGTTTTAATACTTACACTCACCAATGCTAGCTGTAATCTCTCAGACTACCTTAGTACAATATCTGTTTATAAGTACTGTAATTGTGTTTACTTTTATTTTTCCTAGAAAGGTTAAGTTTTCTATGGATAATTTGTTTCAGGAGACACTTTCGGTTTCCATGTTCTGTGCCATTAACTCACTTTTTTTTCTTTTTTTTTTGTTTTGGCATATGTAATAAATCTTAAGAGCTTTTTGGCATATGCAATAAAACTTAAGAGCTTCTATAACATTCATTTGAAGCCTGAAGCCAGTGTAGATTCTTGTCATCCTGTTGAGACTTGAAATCTGTAAATGACCTCTTTATGGCTTTTAAAATTGTTTAATATATATTAATGCATAAATATATGCATTATACACATATATATTTTGATATATTAAAATATTTCAGGAATCACCATCTCAAAAAGATATTGAAAAAGAAAGGAATAACTGAACTCGCTTGGAAAATGCAGTCTTGATTATTACGTAACAATAACTGTTCTCTTTCTTCTAGATCTGATCCTGATCAATATCTCACTCAGGCAGTCTTATTAAGCAGTTTTGTCTGATGGTGCATGCTCTTGTTTGGTTCTATTTTTCAGTGTCAGACTGGCAGATACATAATCAAGCTTAGAACTTGGCTTCATTGTGCTTTTTGTCGAATGCTCCAATGGTTGTGCCTGCCAGAACATTGTGTCTTCCATGCTTATATTCCAATTGCAAGTGACATTGTCCTGGGTTCAGCTGTAGCAGCCATTTTTCTCCTTCTTATTAGCTGGTGCAGCGCTGTGTTTTTTGACTTTCAGCCTGGGAACAACGCTGATAACACCGATGCTTTTAGTTTTTCCTAAGTAATGTTTACTCTGACCAAGGACTTTCTGAGTCTCATGATCTGCCAGTAAGGAGGAGCACGAGAAGCCGTGAGGAAGCAGAGACAGGACACCTGACCCAAACTAGCCAAAGGGGTATTCCATACCACAGCACATCATGCCCAGTATATAAACTGGGGGGAGTTACCTGGAAACCTGGAAGGACCAGATTGCTGCTTGGGTCAGGCTGGGTATCAGTCAGCGGGGTGAAGAGTGGTTGTATTCTCTTCCCTTGTTATTTCCCTTATCATTATTATTATTATTGGTGGTAGCAATAGCGGTTTTGTGTTATACCTTAGTTACTAAACTGTTCTTATCTCAGCCTGTGGGAGTTACATTCTTTTGATTCTCCTTCCCATCCCTCCAGGAGCAGACGGAGAAAGAAGAGGGGAAATGAGCAACTGGCTGCATGGTTCTGAGTTACCATCTGGGCTTAAACCATGACAGACATGAATTGAAAATAACTGAAAATCCAACCTATCTTTCTGTACACCAAAAAAAAAAGTAGATGTAACATTTTGCAAGAAGAGTAGGTGGGTTACAGTAACTTAGTTCTTCTGGGCATAAATATACGAATGCCCAAGCAGAGGTCAGTGATGAGTTGCATTCCTCAGACATTGGTGTTGGGACTGGCACTAACATCTTTGTCAGCAACACGGACAGTGGGATTGGGTGCACCCTCAGCAAGTTCGCTGACAACACCAAGCTGTATGCTGCTGTCCACTGGAGGGAAGGGATGTCATCCAGAGGGACATGGACATGCTTGAGAGGTGGGCCAGTGCAAACCTCATGAATTTTGACAAGGGCAAGTACAGAGTCCTGCACCTGAGGCAGGGCAATCCCAATAATAAATACAGGCTGGGCAGAGGCTGGATTGAGAGCAGCCCTGAAGAGTAGGAGATGGGGGCTTTGGCTTTCAAAAAGTTCAACATAAACTGGAGGTGTATGCTTGTAGCCCAGAAAGCCAACTGTCTCCTGGGCTGCATCAAAAGGAGTGTGACCAGCAGTCAAGGGAGGTGATTCTGCCCCTCTACTCTGCTCTTGTGAGACCCCACCTGCAGTACTGTGTTCAGTTCTGGGATCCCCAACGTAAGAAAGACATGGAGCTGTTAGAATGAGTCCAGAGGAGGGTCATGAGGATGATCAGGGGCATCGAGCACCTCTCCTATGAAGACAGGCTGAAAGAGTTGGGATGCTTCAGCCTGCAGAAGTGAAGGTTCAGGGGAGACCTTCTAGCAGTCTTCCAACAAGGTTAAGTCTGGACTGAGCAGGTACACTACAGTTCTGCCATACTGTCTGAGTGACTAAAAAGCTGCAGCAAAGAAAACTGAGACTTACTTTTCAAGTGTCAGTGCTCAGCATCTTAGTCAAACATTTACTGCCTACTCTGAATTCCGAAGTAATTATTGATTTACTGGTATCGGTACTCAAATCAGCAAGATTCAAAACAGCACACAGAACTTGTCTGTGCTTCCAGCTGAATGTATTGAAAGCTTCTTCAGATAAACCTTGGTCTTTAATGGTCTCCTTTCTGTTTACTTGGTTAATGAAGCAAAATGAAAGAAAAGTATTTTTTTCCTTCTGAAACAGATATATAGAAGAAAGCTTGGTTCTAATACTGTCATACTTCTTCAGCAGTGACCCCAGAGATCTGATCACCAACACAGGGGTATCCTTCAATATAACTCAACACTGATTATTCACTTACCTCTATTCAGAAGTTACAGCAAAAGCATTGAAATATAAGAAATGCAATAAAAGCAAATTCTTAAAGATGTGAGTGAAATACTAAACTTTCATATAGTAAAAGCTAATATTTAGCAATTTTTATAACATCTTTGCTGCTAGCTTTATCACGAATGTATTTCCAATGTGTTATTCTTTTAAGTACGCTCAAGTAATTTTATTTATAAACCAGAATATATAGAAGGTGTTTTTATGTTGATTGTTTAGTCTTTGGGTCAAAATTCAATTTAGAACACGTTTGGATTGCAAGGATGCTGCTGCTAACTTCTTCCAATTCTAGTACTCTGGAAAGCCTAGTCATATGAATTTTAAATGATAAACCATTGTAAAAAACATGTACAGTGAAGATGATATACAGTGAAACAGAAGAGACTAAGGACAGACTGAGTTGATTCTCTTAATTTCCAAGGAAACCTTTCCATGAGAAACTAATGGGAAAGAAATTATGACTTTCCTAAAAAAGAGCTTTAGAAAAAACAGTATGTTCTTAATATTTCTTGATAACCATTATTTGTCTACAAAAATATGATCCTGTAGGCATTTGCTATTTGTTTTTTCTTGTTTTTAAAAATTCCAATTTCAATTTTGTGGGACCAGCATTTCCATGAAAAGACACACGTATGCACGTTATTTAAAATGAATGTGTCTTTTGGAACTTGACACTGGATAATGACACTTCATGTTACTGTAACACCAAAATATACCACCTGTATCAAGTTTCCCATCAAAAGAATACTCTGTTCCCAATAACTCACACTCTGCTGAATCCTGTAGATTCTTACATGGAATATCCTTATCCTTAACTATAACAGAGAATCACGTTACTTCTATCAGGGCTAATGAAATACAGTTAAGAAATCAAAGACGAACACTTGTCTTTGGATAGATAAAAGAGGCAGATACTGAAGGGAACAAAAAACAAAATTAAGTTGCTCTCAGACATTTGATTTTTCCTCCAAAATACATGCATGCATCCATCTATGCAAAAGCCATGTCCTACAGAAATATTTAAGATAATCCTCAGAAACATCTTCTGAGATACACCCAATGCTACTAGTAGCTCTTCTTCAAAGTTATTAACACCTAATGCCCCTGACAGCTTTTTCTCTGAGACAGAAGTTCAGTCATTACCTGAAGCTGTTCTTCCAGTGCAGCAGTAGCTCTGTCTCCACTGTTTTCATCCACCACCACCACCATATGGGTTAGAGAATTCACCTTGACTTGTTCCTGTTCCAAATCTTCCTGAAATGCCTATAGTTAAAGCAGATGTGTTAGAAAATGTGTTCCAAATTAAGAAAATACTGTGTCTTTGGAGTCCTACTGACTGATTAACTTGCATAACTAACCAACTATGGGAACTTTAAAATCATGTTGCTGTCAGTATTAAGTAATTTAAACTTATTTTGTTGCCTTAGCACATACATGCTAACATCGGCATATTGGGCATATTCTTATTCTTTTCACAAAAATAGCTTACTGTTAACTCATTCACAAGTCCTAACCCTTGATACAATATTTCAGACAGAAAATTTGGCTTGAGAAAGCATTTGTTGAGTTGATGGAGTTGAATTACAGATATTGATATATATGGATATACATCAACATACCAAGAGCCTGCAAATTTTAAATAGCCACTGGGTTAGACTTTTGTACTTCATTTGAACATATTAATTTTATTCTTTTTTAATATGAAATATTAAAAATGGCATAGTTTGTCACTTAACAACTGCATACTATCTTCAGCTTGGCACTCCTACATAATTTAATCAAATAGGATGAAACTCAGGACATGACTCAAGATTAGGAAACACACTCAGAACCCTTGTTTCACTTAAAACAGAAACCAGGAAACAGAGAGAGGCACTTTATGATTTCTGAATGTCTGAGAAAAACTTTCTTTCCCTTTTAGCTTTGGTATCCGGTTCCAGCTGCAATAAAAGTGAGGACAATCTCTAGCTGAGAAATTGTAAACTGCTAAAAGTGAAGAAACCTCTCTCAAATCTGCACACAAATTGATATTTAAATGATTCCTAACCTTGCCAGATTTCTACAGCTCTTCAAATCTCTCTGACCCTCCCACAGTTTCACAGTAATAGATCTAATCAAGTGTTCCCTTCCTCCTCACAGCTCACAGAGAAGTGCAATGGGAAGCCTAGACATGTTTAGATGATGTTTTCTGGCATATTCATTGTACACTTACATACATCACAAAAATGAAACTTGAGGTACTATAACACCTTAGTAATACCCCCTTAGTGGGTTTCAGTATCAACTATTACCTTTTGTTGTTGTTGTTGCTCTTCTAACTTGCCATGAAAGATGGAATCCCTACTTCGCTATAGTTTGTTAACAAAACCAAAACCAGCTCAGCTTCTTTCAAGCACTAAGGAACTGAGCAGCCATACTTATTTGCTCCTTCCTTTGCTGAGATGCAGCAAGAGCACAGATGACAAAAATGGAAAGAGGAGATAAGGAAGCATTGGGATAAGGAAGCATTGGTACAGAAACTTCAAGCCACAGAGAAGGCAATATTCAATTTATTTTCTTAATTTTTGTAACCTACCTCTAGCTTTATATTTGTGTATTAATGATGATATGTGCATTTTAAACTCCCAATAGTTAACCACTGTTTTACGTTACTGGGTTCTGTGTTCTGTTACTTCAATAAGTCTTGAAAGAATTCCTCATCCCACTTCTCTGAAAAATACCCCAAGGTATCCAGAATCACATCTCGCCTGAAACACTTTTTAGGTGTCTACAAGTAGTTTCTAACCAATAGAAGAATGTGGGAAACCAAAGTCCTGGACTTTGTCCTCAATACTTCAGCAGACTGTGTCCTAGTGATTAGAACATGTATACTATCATAATTACAGTCTGAAAAATTACACGGCTAACCACATATCATAGAATCACAGATTCATAGAATGCATCATATCATCATAACATATGCCTTGTTATAATGGAAACATTTGCTGTATTACAGACTGTTTTGAATTTCACCATATCAAAAATTTTCTGCTTTTTCAAGTAGGGTATGAAGAAGAAGCCCTTGTTGACCGTTAGGTCATGCATTTTAAACCTCTTTTTCAAAATATCTTACTTTTACTTGATAATTAAAAAAAATATATATAATGTAGATAGTTTTTCATTTTCAGCCATAATCCTTGAGACAATATATTTATAAAAATCCTCATTTTTTCTGACTTTCATGCCTATGATTACCATTTGCTTCAGAGAACTAGACTATAAAACAATTCTCAAGGACTGTGAAGTACACCAAATTGTCAGAGCAGTCCTTGGAATTCAGACTTCTCAAGATTTTGTGACCTAACACTTGATCAAGAGCAGGGAGAGCAGTCATGGATCAGACGATATAACACAGCTTGCTTCCCCCAGGTTTAACCCGCTCGTTCAATTATATGACAACAAATATATTGCTCTGTGAGCCTAGAGCAAGGGAGTAGGTGACTTTTTTTTCCTGATTAATGAGTATCTGACAGATTACATTCCAGAATAAAACCGGAGTTATCAATGCTCTGCAAGTGCAGGAGTGGAAGGCATTTAGGAAGGGGGAGACACTTGCACACAGCGAAAGACAGGGTCAGGGAACTGATGAAAACATAAATTTGAGTAATATTCTAATCCCTAGATGGATTCAATTTGTCCTGAGCTGAAGGGTTGTTTTTGATAATCCAAGTGTCTATTTTTACCATGAAATTCACTGGTGACAACAGTCTGTATAGAGGAGCTTGTTGAAATAGGAATTACGGAGGCAGTCCAAGACTAGAGCAGACATTGTTCAAATCATTTAAACTGAAGTTTCTAGCGCGTTCTCCTGAACTCCTACAGATAGCAAACTTTCAGTGACTTAAAATGTAAGATGGGTTTAGATGTTGATGCATGATCACAGCAGCAACAGAAACTCATGAAACTCCACAGTTCCTTTAATTCATGTCTATCAGATAACAACTTATATGACTCCAACAATTTACTTCAAATCGAAAAAAAAACCAAACAACACCCTATCTAGGGCATCCAACTACCCAAAGACAAATCCAATATTTGAACATTTAGGAAATGTCTTATTGTACCTTATTGTACCTTTGCAACTAATTTGAACACTAACCATTTTCTATGATTTCTAAGTTCATGAAAAATAAAAAGGCTTAGGCTCCCAGAAGAAGTATCTAAGCAGCTTAGACGATTTTAGAAAGTTAGTGAAACTATTACTTCTACTAAATAAAATAATAATAATGCGGAATAATAAAATCAGTTCAATTAAAAGCACATTTTTACTCAATTATAAAATTTCTAATATAGTATTCTGCTTAGACAGCTTAATAGTACTTAGACTTTTATTGAAAAGCAGTTTATCTCCCTAAAGAAAAGATTCTTGCAACAGGAGATAAAATACATAAAATTCTGTCGCAAAGAGGAATAGTTCTTTACTGAAATGTTTGGTTATTACTATAAAATACACTGACTATGCCAGATTTCTTACCAAAACTTTGTACCATGCTAATGACATAAAACCGTCTAGAATTCCTTCAATCTAGCTCTATTTCAGTCCACCCCAAAAAAATTCTGTGCTATCAAGATATTAACCTCCTATACTACTGAACTAAGTAGCACACTGGAAAGAATATTGTGTGCTTTCTCTGGTCTCAGTGATGGGGGCCCTTCCCAATACACATTACTGATTTTTTTTTTTTCATAGGACCCAGAAGAGAAATTGAAGTGCTAGTCACAAGAATTCAAGACAAATATCATTGAGAAAAAAGCAGAATAAAAGAAATCAGATATATCATCAAAGAGGGACAGGGAACATGAAATAAACAGAGAGAAAATTAGTTACTAATGAACAGATAAAGAGGGAAAGTCAAAGTGATAATGGTAAAGAGGAGAGGGAGACAGGATGACAATAAACCAAACCTATTATCTTTGCTGAAGTCTGTTTAATATAAAACAATCATTGATCCTTATATCGTCTAACTTCTGGTTCCTCCCATCAATTTAGACAACATTGTTTCTGAGATGTCCAGAGTCAGATAAGAGTAAGGAAAAACACTGGGCTTGTTGGTTCTTTGCTTTTTTTGTTTGCTTGTTTAATAATGTAGCAATAATGTGCTATTAAAATTCCAGTGCTTTCTCCCATGTTATAGAAAGTAGCTTTGCTGCATACAATATAGAATGAAATTATCCGAAACTTTCACACAATACTTGAAGAATGGAAAACAACTTGTTCTTTGACTTATGAATGAAACAAATTATACATGCATAGAATTGTAATTGAAGTTAAAACCAAAACATTTTCTTTCCACTTTATTAGCTAAATTCTCTTTTGTACAGAAAATGGATTTGATAAGTAATACACATAAATAAATAATGTTGACTAATCCATCACATTAAGAATGAAGAACTAGCATTTGGGAGAGAGGGATTTCTGCATGTCTTCACTCAGAATATTAAAATACAAGCTAAATACCCATTTTGGCCAATATTAGAAAAAAAAAACGTAAAGAGATTGCATAAATATAGCTATTACATTTTAAATTGCTATTCAAATACAAAATGCATAGAAATAGGAATAAAGTTATTAAAGTCTTAGCACTCATGTATTCAAAAATCTTTCTGGTTTTCTTCTCTAATTACCATTCCATAATTACGCACTACCTTTTCTAAAAAAAGAAAATTTAACATCAGAATAAATGTTCAGCTACAAAACCTGCATACTGAAATGAACTGTCCCCTCACAAGGCAAGCAAAGATAGCACAAATAGCAGCAGTAGGCAGTGAATTTGAATTCTTCAGTAGCACTCCTTAATCAGAATGCAGAAAAATCATCTTTCACCCAGAAGTGGATAATGCAGTCTTTTGCAGCTCTTGATGTCTTTTTTTTTTTAAAAAAAAACCAACCTGTAAAAGCTGGTTTCAGTTCGAACTGTTTTTCAGGATGATCTGCCCACTAGAACCTGGAGTAGCACTGACACAGGCTGTCAAGCATCAAAATTTGAGATCTATCAACATACTATGGAACTGAACTGATTTGAACCACTGATGTAGAAACATTAACAGTAAATCTCCATTACCTCACACATCATCTCTGTTCTATGCTTTTCTGTGCCTCTAGATCATTATCACCATGTGTCATGGATACATATATAAAGATATATGGATACATATATAAAGATATTAAAAAATTTAAATTAATATGAAGCCAGACAATTTAATCCAGTAAATGAAACAAAGCTGTTACATAAATTACACAGTCTCTCTCATTTTAATTTTTAATTGTTTCAATTAAAGAATTGCCTTCATGGAATATAGACAAAGTTTGGCCAAATTCTCTCTTACACTTCATTTATTAGTTTCTTAGTTTTCATTAATTAAATATATTACTAAAACATATTTTCTACAGTTAGAAAATGGAACTTATTTTACAGCACTGTACAGTTAAATGTTCAGAGTCACATGAGTCCTAACAAGATCATGCAGTCTAATTATAATTACTGCATCATTGCTACTACAGCATGTAAGTAACAAACATGCAACATGCAAAAAGAACAAAACTCATTTATTAAAAAACCTGATATATTCTTACTGTACTGTGTAATGAAAGGATGTTATAGTTGTCTCACACATTCCAGCGTATTGTTTATATTTAAAAAGAAAATTATTCTTTCATATAAGGATAAAAGTCAAGGTTGTAATAAAATAACTCTACAATACCTTGTTAAGTGCATGAAAAAATCGATATTAAACCAAGACTCCATATTAATTTTCTATGTTCTAGTGTCAGAAGTAGAATTTTAAAAATGTCAAACACTCAACTTGATGTTTATGCTTTTGGAAGCATATCATACCATACCTTATGTTCTTCTACTTGATGTTTTAGGTCTTCTAGATCTGGACCTAAGGGCTCCAAATCGATTTTCTTAGTCCTTTCTTCTGTTTTTGTCAACCAGTCAGCTAACTGTGCTAGCTGCTGATTCTGCAGATCCATTAGAATTTTATGTAAACTGGAAAACAGAGAAATACTCTTTCAAATTTACATAGGAAAGAAAACAACAGGTGGAAATATCTGTTCTTTATACTTTTAACTGATTTTCATGAAGCTACATCTCAAACCAGGATTTAAAAAAATATACTTTCAAATAGGTAACTAGATGAAACATATTTTAAATTAGGCAAAATGTTTTGAAACTTTTTTTTTTTTTTTTAGGACCTGAGTATTGCATATTATATACTGTCTGTTAAAGTTTTAGCCTCCAGTTGCATTTCCATTACAGCTGTTTCTACTATTTGGCTTGTTAAAACTTGTACTGTTTACCACAAGTACTTTGAAAAGTGCTCAGACAGCTGTACTGACCAGGCTTCCTGAAATTTAGGATATTAAATAGAAGAGATTGATGCTTTTTCAGTTATTAAATGGAGAATGCTTTATGGAATTAAACAAGAAATACCTCAGTTTTGCCTAAACAAACTATTTAGATAGCTCCAAAATGATCTGCCCAGAAATCCATTACAAATCCTTCACTTACGCTTTCCATCTTTAGAAATTCTCAAAACTTTCCTAAACAAAATCTTCATCTTATCAAAAGTGTTTTCAAAATAAAGTGCAAACTATTGCTGAGCAGTGGAACTACAAGCAGTTATTTGTATTACCCCTCTTTCATATAACGCAATTTTTACCTTCACTTAGATTTGACAGAGCAAAGTCACCATCCTCAGTCACACTGAGCCTGGTGAAACCATTGTACATTTTAGTGCATTACTTACATCTCTAGAAGAACTCTTGCAGCAAAAAGTTAGTTAACTATTTTCAGAAGTCAACTTGGAGATTTGAAAATCTGAGTTGAACTTTCAGACTGGAGAAAACTGCTGTGTAAGAAAGATGTCAAATTCCTACTCTAATTGCACTCGTTTATTAGTTGGCATCTTGCTCACTTCTTGAAAATATAGCCCAAATTAGAAAGCTATTGTAAATGTCTTTCTGTGATCAACAGCAGCTAGAATTGCCCAATTTTTGGCATTGACATTTCACAGAATCATAAAATGGGTAGGGAAGGGACCTTAAAGATCATCCAGTTCCAACCCCCCTGCCATGGGCAAGGGACACCCTGGCTGGTGAAAGCCCTATCCACCCCGGCCTTGAACACTGCCAGGGATGGAACAGCCACAACTTCTTGGGATAACCTGCTCCAGTATCTCACCACCCTCAGAGTGAATCATTTTCTCCTCATGTTTAATCTAAATCTACCCTCTTTCAGTTTTAGGCCAATCCCCCTCATCCTGTCACTACATGTCCTTGTAAAAAGTCCCTCTCTGTATTTCTTTTAGGCTCCCACTAGGTACTGGGAGACTGTCATGAAATCTTCCCTCAGCTTTCTCTTCTCCGAGCTGAATAAGCCCAACTCTCTTAGCCTGTCTTCATAGGAGAGGTGTTCCAGCCATCTGATTATCTTCATGGACTTCCTATGGCGGGTGAGGCATTGGAACAGGCTGCCCAAAAAAGTGATAAATGCTCCATCCCTGGCAGTGTTCAAGGCCAGGTTGGACAGAGCTTTGGGCGACATGGTCTAGTGTGAGGTGTCCTTGCCCATGGCAAGTTGGAACAAGGTGATCTTAAAATCCTTCCCAACTGAAACCATGCTATGATTCATTCTATGATGCTATGGACTCACTCAATCAGGTCCATGTCCTTCTGTTGGGGGCCCCAGAACTGAACACAGTACTGCAGGCAGGGTCTCACAAGAGCACAGCAGAGGGGCAGAACCACCTCCCGTGACCCACTGGCCACGCTCCTTTTGATGCAGCCCACGATAAAACTTGGCTTTCTGGGCTACAAGCATACACCTCCAGCTCATGTTGAGCTTTTGATCAACCAACATCCCCAAGTTCTGCTCCTCAGGGCTGCTCTTAATGCAACCTCTGCCCAGCCTGTATTTGTATCTGGGATTGCCCCAACCCAGATGTCAACTTCTGTCATTGATTGTTATTTATTTCCTTTTTTTAAAAAAAAACAGACAAAAAAGTATTCATTCCAGTTTTGAATCCTCTCAAAATGAGCCAAACATTTGGTCTCTGATTAAATATTTATATAATTATTAGTTCATATTTATATACACTTAAAAATTAGTACTGTATACAATGACATATTGTAAAAAGCAATTGCTGTTTCCAGTGCTATTTGATGCTTTTGTTGAATGTATCTCAGCTAACTCATACTCCATTCTTAGATACTATTACTCAGTTTGTGAACAATCCTTGGATCATCTATAAATTTAGGAATGCAAAATACTTTGAATCCTCTGCATATACTGGGACATTTTACACTCTAGGGCAGAGCTGCCATTTAGAAGGACCTAGAGAGGCTGGAGGGACAGACCAGGAGGAACTTTGCAATATTCAACAAGGACACAAGCAGTCGTGTGCCTGGGAAGAACCCCTGGAATGGCAGATTCTAGGACCTGATTAGCTAACAGAATTCCAGAACTAAATCTAACTGAACATCCACCACTCTGGCATTGTCTTTGTACCCGTGAAATGACCTTTGCTTTAAAAAGAACAGGATACTAGATGAAAGACTTTCTCAAAATAAACTTTATCATGTGTATATAAATTATGAATTTAGTATTCTTAAATCTGTGTTAAGTAAGGATTTATGTTTTTTCTTTAGGAAACAGGATTTTAACAAGATAACACAAACACATAAATTCCAAGTACCCCAAAAGTAACAGGCAACAGGATTGAACGAGATAGTTTTAAAACAGGGGTGTAAAGAGAAATTATTCAAAAATTCCCACAACTTGGGTATTTTAGTAATAAAAACGTATCTGTTTTATTACTGAATGTAGCTGTTACCACTTTTCCACTCTAATCTTTCTCTTCATGAACGTAATACAGGAAGCTGATACCCAGCTTTATAATAACTCATGGCTCACAAAGGATTACCTATCTCAGATCTAAGCCAGTCTTTCCTAATTTTCAAGTGTGTATTTTATTGTCTTTCTTGATCTTCTAAACCAAGTTATTATAAATAGTAAATACAATGCTTCAACCTAGAGATATCTTTTTAGCAATAAATGAAATAAATGGGGAAGAAAACCTGATAAAGAGAATTTGATTTTAGAAAACTAAGATATAACAAAATACTTATATACAGAACATTTATGTTATTCTGAAGCAAGGAGCATAAACTTGAAAATGAAAGAATTGCAGAAACAATTTAATCACAGTTGATTCTTAAACAAAAGAATGCTTCTTCCCCATTCTCCAGGTACGCTCTGGTTTTCAAGTTACTTCTATAAACATCTGATAGAGGTTTTAGTATTTATTTATATACCTCAGGAGATTATAATAATCTTTGTTTATGGTACAGCACTCATAAATTTTAAATACAAAATGATTTATCACTGAATTCAGTGTGCTTTAATAGTTGTGGAATTCTCCATAAAGTGGTAAACTGTATTTTCTCTCTGATGGTACAGTTATCACTCTGAGACACTTTACTATAGAGCATCCTATTTAGGGAAGGGCAGGAGTAAGAAAATTAAAACTAGGCTGTTTTTGTTCAGCATGCTAATGCATTGCTTGCCAGAAGAGTCAATACATAGTGAATACATGGGAAATCCAATTTGGGCTGCTATACATAAAGGCATTGCTGTGTTCCAAACTTACTCCGGTATTTTGACCCTCTAAATCACTTTTCATATCACCCTTTCACTTTTACAGTATCCCTTATCATTATATCTTTCTCCTCTCTTGGTTGATTGCTTGCTTTTGTTTCCTCTGTGCTGATATTCTGACCCCCTAAATCACTTTTCATATCACCCTTTCACTTTTACAGTATCCCTTAACATTATCTCTTTCTCCTCTCTTTGTTGATGGCTTGCTTTTGTTTTCTCTGTGCTGTAAAGTGTTCTACTTTTCGTTACACTTCCTATTATCATTACAAAAGAGGATAGATGTTCCCATGGTCACAAAATCCATCTCTGGGTAAACATATCACTGTTGCCTTAAAAACTAGATTACAGCAATAAGGTCAGAAGATTATGCTTTAAACTGAAATAGAAGATAGATTCCCAAGAGTTTAAACTGTGTACAATAACTCAGAAATATATTACATTGTGATATGAAAGTTGTTCATAATCCTTCAGATGGGGTTGTTGCCCAATAGGTCAAAATTAGCCATATCTAACTATTGAGACATTTTCTCTTGCCCTAGCCCACAAAGTTAACTGAATTTATCACAGAAATTTTTTTAGAAATCAAATAGTAACACAACATTCTCTGTGAAGCCCTTAACACTTCATTTCTTTTACTGATTTCATATTACTCATATATGACATAATTTAGAAGATACTAGACAATTCAGTTCCTGAGGAAATGACCTATAGCTGCATCTAGGACAGAAGTTTAACAAGTGGCATCAAAGGATAAAGTAGACACAGCACCACTCGTAGAACTGAGGTTGCTGTTTGCATGTTGTTGATTTAAATGAAAATGAGTATGGCAAATAAAAACACCTGCAATAATGTATTATAGTATTCTCTCCAATAAAATAATAAAGGTGGAGGAAGTTAGGTTGAAATATCTAAAACCCATCAACAATTTTATAGACTGTCAAAGAAAAATAGAATAAAGAAAATATCTCAACACTCAGTATCAATCTGAAAAGAAATGTTTGGAACATATGGAAAAAAAAAATAAAATACCACCAAACCAAAAACCCAACAACAACAAAAAATCCCCACCCAAACCAACAAAGAGAACTATGTTATTCATATTGTTGAAAATCATGGTTTGCCCTTCGATACTGTGGGCAATTCTGGTCCCCTTAAACAAAATGATATGGTAGAACTGGAAAAAAAGCCTCTTAGAAAACCAAGACAAATAACTGAAGATACATATTTATGGAGAGAGTAAGGAAACATACACACTATTGACCCTCACTTCCAAAACAGTAACTAGAAGGAATCACTTCAGCTGCCAGTGACAAACACAGAAAAATAAGCTGTTCCTCAAAAAAGCAGCACTCAGTAGGTGCGAGGCCTACAGAATTCAGTGCCAAAGGATACCATGGATGCTAACAGGTCCAAGACGATACTGAATCAATAAATAGAAGGAAAGAGAAGAAAAATCAGTAGCAGATTACTAAATATGCAAAACTGCTTCCATCTCAGGAAGTTACCTCAGCTGAAAGCAATCTGAGAACAGAAAAGTTCTATGGAGAACTTTATAACATAAGACATGAAGTGTTAGGTCAGAATATTAGCCCGATATTTGGTCTCCAGAGCAACAGGTCTATGCAGCCCAATATTTGTTCTCCATAAATGCAAAGGGAGACGGGGAGATGCTGGTTCAGGAGATCATTCTTTTTTCTTGTTATGTTACTGTCAAGATGCTGGGCTAGACCATGGTCAGACTACTAGAGAAATTCAGCTTTTAGTAAAATCACATTCACAAAAGGAGCTCACTCACTCTCCAGCTATACTGAAGGAACAGACAGAAGAGTTTCTCAGTGTATGTTCATTGGGATTTTCTGTGAGAAATATTAAGACTTCAGTAGAAAGATTTTATTGAAGTCTACCTAGTTCAAAGTCCCTAAAAAGCCACCAAGGATCTCAGATTCAGGTTGGTTGCCAATGCATCGATTTGGTTTCATTGTAGAGAGCAGCTATATTTTTCAGGAATTAATACTTCTTGGCTATAAGGATGTTCATAGTGAAATTCAATTAATTTAAAAATTTCAACTCGATTTAACTTGATACGATGGTCAGCAAACTTCACCATTGGTCTCCATTACAGACAGGCCAGCAGGTGCACAATATTCCTCATGACATGGCAATAGAAAATGCAACAAAAGGCAGAACACTTTACAGCACAGAGGAAACAAAAGCAAAGGGAATTCGAAAGGGAGTGTATATGTATGTGTGTGTGTATATATATATATAAATATATATATATGTCTATCTCAGACAGGAACTAAAGGTATCCACATAAAATGAAAAAAGAAGAGGGGCTGAAAAAGAGAATTGTGAAATATCAGGTAAGTAACTGACATTTTACTAAGATAAGCAACGTAACTCACAAAAAGCCCAGCTGCACTAACTTCCCTCATTTAACCACTCTGTATCCTGCAAAACAAATTACTCCACTGTAGCACAATCAGAAGCTTTTACCTTTATGGAGTTCCTTATACTAGATGGCACTATGTAAATCCAAATTTCAAAATAAAAAAAAAGCTTCAAAGACTAAAATGACTAATTAGTAATTACTTTTCTACTTCTACTTGTATTTCTACTTTAAGCTATACGACTTCCCCTATTTTGAAAGTTGTAACTTGTTCTCAGAGAAAAGCACCACAGTATTTCCTGGAAAGCTAAGCTCCCACTTATTATTTTCATGGGCTCAAGTTTTACAGGTCTTTAAGATTTGCTTTCCTTTTACTTTTGTATCTCAGTAAAGATTCTTTCTTTTGTAGCTAAATATCTTGTGTTATTTGGTGAAATAATCAAAAAAGGTGAGGTAGGTTATATGAGTTTGGGTTAAAGTATTACTAGAGTCAAGTTGTTATTAACTGCTGATTTGTGTGGCTTCCAGTCTTGAAAAAAACATGCAAGCTTCAAAGTCACTACACAGAAAATTTCAGGATAAAAAAATATCTGAGATCGAATTTGGTTCACAGTGAAGTGAAAGGAAATCCCAGCTGTTAATCAAGTTCGGTATTGTTTCAAACTCCATATATATTATTTTACCCAACATACTACTTACTTGCTTTGTTTTTCCATACTTGCTACCCTAAGACTTTCCCATCGAGAATTAAGTAGATTCATTTGTTCTTGGATTTCATTCTCTTCATCATCTGAAAGTTTTCCAATTGTTAAAAGTTGACTTCCCACTTGCAAAACATTGCCGACACGTCCTTGGTGAGCTGTTAACTCCATCATAAAACCCTGACAATAAAAAAAAAACATAAAATCCAGTTTTAAGTTTGCTTCTTTGGAAGGAAAGAACAGATTTTGGAGAAATAGCCACCACTTCACAAACATGATTTTCAACTTTGCTTTTTATTTTTTCATTCCCTCCTCAAACCTCACAGAACAAAACAGAAATAAATGTTTTCATATTCTGCATAGATAATAAAGTTCTTTAGTCTGGAGAAGAGGAGGCTGAGGGGTGACCTTATCACTTTCTCCAAGTACCTGAAAAGAGGTTATAGTGAGGTGGGTATCATGTAATAACAAGTGATGGGACAAGAGTAAACATCCTAAAGTTGCACCGGGGAAGGTTTAGAATGGATATCAGGAGTCACCATTCCTGGAGTCATTTAAAAGACATGTAGATGTGGTGCTTAGTGACATGGTTTAGCAGTGGAATTGGCAGCGTTAGGTTTACAGTTGGACTTGATGATCTTAAAGGTCTTTTCCAACCTAAAAGATTCTATGATTCCAAGGCACAGTCTCCAGTACTGCCTTTAAATACTCCAAATCTAATTCACACACACAGAGGAAAAATCAAAACAAAACAAAATCAAAACTCCACAAACAAAAAAAACCCCAAACCAACAACCAACCAACCTAAAAAAAAACAAAAAACCCCACCATACAACACAAAAAGAAAACAAACAAAAAAAAAAAAAAACAAACCAAGAAAAAGGAATAAAATAAACTAGAAATATGTTTGGTTTGTGTTTTTGACCTTATTATGGGATACAAGCAGATAAATGACTACTGAAGGATTGGTATAAACATATACCTCATGGGTGTGAAATTGTTCTTTAACAACTTCTACATCATTGGATATGTCTCCTTGTGCTTGTAATGCATCTTCAGCAGAGAGAAGCCATGTGAGTACTTCCTCTAAAGCAGTTTGGTAGTTTTCAAGATCCATTTCAGGTCCCATCCGCATGGTGCTGTATGTCTTTTCTTCAACAGTTTCTAAAAACTGATCAAAGCCAACATTTTAAGAGTAATGCAGATAATGCTTTCTCAGAAAATTCCACAAAGGAATAAAGAAAATGCCATTGTGTTGCATAAAACCCCAACTTTTTATAAAATAAAAAGATATTAGATGGCTAATGTGTGGAAGTAATTATTAGTATAAAAGCAGTTAGTTGACTAAGATTATTTAAGATTGAGGGAAATAAAAATTTTATCTCGTATTAAATTATATATTTCACACTAGAATTCAAAATTCCTACCAAGTATTCTGAATAGTGATAATATTTAAATTTTACCTATAGAGTGCTGTTATACGTGTTTTTCAATAAATACCCAGATTTTTTATTTCAAGTTTACTGCTTCTTATTTAAGTATTTTCTCTTGGAAATGAGAGAGAAATTTATTTCCCATAGCAGCTAGGAAAATTAGACCATCAAAAAAGCAGCAGGTTTCATGCTGTCACGGCAGAGAACCTGTGGAAAACAAGACGTAAAAAAGAAAACCCTTTGCACCACATGCAATGCCAGACTCAAGCAATTCATAGACATCCATTTTGTGAAAACCATTTTAGAAAGTTGAAAAAACTCAGAAATATCAAGCAAATTCACTTTGTAAAATCAAAGAAAAATGCATTACTGTTGATTTCTCTTTCCCACAAAGGCCACCCTTATATTCCTTCTTTAGAAGCTTGGTGACTCTTAAAAGCACAGAATTCACACTTGCTTCAAGTCAAGAGAAATCAACAAATATGATAGGTAAAATAGCAAAGATGAGAACTAAACAGAAGCAAGAAATACAGGCTTGTTATTTATGGGATATAATCCCATAATTTTTTCAAAATGTTCAGAAGAAATTTACATACTTTGTTGGCAAACAAGTTAAAAAAACAACCTGTCCTTACATAAAAATATACTTATGCACTTCATGTTTTTATAGCTAGCAAAAACTGTCTCTACTGACATACTTGTAACAGTAAAAATATCAAAGCAGCTTCTAAAGCCTTTAATTTTATTTTAAGACAGAAAGTCTGAATTTATCACTAGAACCAAAACCAGGAAGTGCAATGGATGCAATGTGATCACTTAAAATGAAATTTTCAGTCTTCATCTTCACAATAAGAAATTCATTCTGAATTGCATATGCTTAATAACCACAGGCAGCCTACATGAATCCCTCTATGATACGTGTGTTAGGTAGCTAAAACACCAGTTATATCACCACTTATGCAGGAAAAAACAATGTTGAGTAACTAATTCAGCATCAAAAAAAGTGGGCTTGGAAATTTGATGAACTTGATTTTGTTTTGTTTTGTTTTGTTTAAAGAAAGTACTATCTTAAAGAAATATAAACAATGAAGCATGGAAAATGTTCAACATATATTCCTGCTCCACAAATCAATGTTTCAGTTGTGTGCAACTCCAAGTTTATAGTATAAAATCCAGTAAGAAATTACACCCAACCACATCACATTTCTGCAGCAAGATAGTATTTTATATAATACAGTCTACTATGGAAAGGGATTAACTTTATAATTACTTTTGCATAGGTAATGATTTTTTTTTTTTCCTTGTCTATATGAATACTGCATGGAATATATCCACATCTGATACACTGGAGGAAAACCCAAGATGCTATAACAGGTGAGTAAGACTAAGGATATAATGATTCCAAAGATCTATGATGACCTCTGTTATCTATTTGTTTGAAAATTCTCCACCTTAAAATCCTTCTTTCTCTAGATCTGATACAGAATATTGTCTCGTGTATACCAAGTGTTCAACTAAGCACACACTAAAAAATAATTTTCTGAGGAATGACTACTGGGTCTAATTTTCCCTTGTTATGTTGACCAGAAAATTTTCCCTTTCTCTCATTCAACTGTGTTGAAAAATCTTGGACTCATGATCTTCACTGACAAAATGGTGCAACTAACTACTGATCCATTATAGTAACTCTTGACAAAGTGTAGAGAAAACCAAACACTAACATAAACAGAAACAAAAACATTTTTGGCAGGTATTCCAAAGTATTTCCGCGTTCAAAAAATGTCCATTTTCTGACATAAGAAAATCAGAAAGTGGCTAAAGGAAGTATAACCAAAGGACTTCGTAGAATGCTGTCAGCAATCATTCTATTTAGTAGAAAGAGGGAACAACAACTTTTCTACTTTCCCTCAAATCTTAGAGCATTACTGCCAGCACAGAGTTCAGATCAATGAAGCTGAAGAACGGTATCATTGTGTTTGAAGTTTTGAAGTGAAAGAAAAAGAAGAAAACACTCTTTTACGGACAGTGCAATTCAATAATTCTCAACTCCTGAGGCATAATAAAGTCACTAGATCATTATGCCTTCTCTTTTCCCACGCATTTTAGGGAAAAGAAAAAGTAAAACATAGAGAATAATCAGTATCTTGTTATTCTGAAGTGCATTGAGCCTGCAGAGTATTTGCATTCAGATTTGACAGTGACATAGGCAGGGACCCCTGGTATCACCAAATGAATTAAACCAGTTCATCCTCACTGATTTCATTGATAAAATCAAGCTGTAGTTATACACGTTCAAAATTGTGGTAAATTTCCTTCTGCAACTTTAAGCACATTCTCATTAACAAGCCAGAGTAGAGCAATGGCCACCTTGATCTGAATCTACTTAAGCAGAGAATAACCATACTGTAAAAAGTCTACAAATATAAAAAATGTGCCTTAGAGTCACAGTTTGTTTTGACTTGAGAAAATACATATATTTTAAAATCTGCTGTTATACTCCATCCTCACTAATTCGGTCAGGGCTGTTAGCTCTCTGAAAGATAACTATCCATCATTCCTCATCCTGCATATGGAATGAAAAGCAACTACTGAGATCAGCAGAAATTCAGACTGTTGGCTAAGCTGTACATGGAACAGCAAACACTAAGCTAAATATTCACATTTGGAAGTGGACAACTACTAACCTAATGCCTATGCTACACACTTTGTATTAAAAGGCAAAACTAAACAAAAAAGTGTCTCAAAGTAATATTCATTGACATAAAGATTATTCACCTCATAATATAAACCAAATTTAAATATGCAGATCCTACAGCACCAAGAATAATGCACACTGATATAATCCACATAACACACACAAAAAAACCCCTCTGAATTTTATAAAGTATAATGGTAGGCAAATATGTTTAAATAAAAAATAAACAAATAAACAAACAACACACACACACACAAAAAAAAAACAAACATAAAAAACCCTAACCAAACAACAAAAAGCAAAAATAATAAAACCCAAAACCAAACACAAAAAACAACAAAACCAAATAACAAAAAAAAACCCCACAACACCTCCTGTGATTTTTCTGATTTCTTAATTTATATGAAACCTTTTCAGAATTCCTAAAGTAATAAGAAAATATAGGATCTGAAGGTATTGCATATACTACATTATATTAATAACCACAGAGTTATTAATATAAGTTGTGATGGCTATTTCTAACCATAATTTTTAAGAGAATGGAAAGCAATTAGGATATGCTACAGTGTCACGGCTTAAACCCAGTCAGGTAACTCGTTCACTCACTCCCCCCCCTTCTTTCCCTCCCCCTACTCCTGGAGGGACAGAGAGGAGAATCAAAAAGAATGCAACTCCCACGGGTCGAGATAAGAACAGTTTAGTAACTAAGGTATAATACAAATCACTACTGCTACCACCAATAATAACAATGATAAAGGAAATAACAAGGGAAGAGAATACATCACCTCACCACCAGCCAACCGATAACTCGCCCTCACCTCAGCCCGACCAAGCACTGACCCCGCAGTCTACCAGCCGTTCCGGCTAACTCCCAGTTACATCCTGGGCATGACGTGCTGTGGTATGGAATACCTCTTTGGCAAGCTTGGGTCAGGTGTCCTGTCTCTGCTTCCTCCCGGCTTCCCCTCCTCCCTGGCAGAGCGTGAGGCTCACAAAGTCCTTGGCCAAACCAAAATATCATTGTTATCAGCCCTGTTCCCGAGCTGAAAGTCAAAACACTGCACTGCACCAGCTACCAAGAAGGAGAAAAATGACTGCTACTGCTGAACCCAGGACATACAGTTAAATTCTTATAGCCATATATTGCTAGGAAGGCTATACTTAGGAAAAAAAACCTTTTTAAATATGCATGCAGTTTCTTGAATCAAACAATATTATTAGGAATATTTTTTTATGACTACAAATCTCAAAAATGATAAGGTGCAGTCAAAGCAAAACAGTTACAGAGCATAATCTATTGAAAAGCAATGCACGTATAATGATACAAATGTTAAGGGTAAAAAATAAATGTAAAATTCAGATATTTGATGAAGACTGAATCACATCTAGCTAGGAATCTGTGAACCAGTCAGATCACAGAATACTCTGAGAAATACACAGGCGTTTTTGCATGGAAAATAGTCCTGGTGGTTACTATGGACTGACACAGTAGAAAAAAAAGTGCTCTGGATCCATATGTTGTCCTCCAGAATATCTGTTGTTCTTTGCTGCTGCACATGGAAGAATTGTATCTAGATGAAAAGATGTGAATTTGAATTTTTACACACTTCATCTTCTGCTGGAGTGAGGTGGCTAGGGTGTGGGGGCTGGAAGACTCCAAGGACTCTTAAGCTTTAATTTGAAGTATAAAGAGAGAAAATAAAAAGCTTCAAACCTTCAGAAGCCTGGAAAAAAGAGATATGCCTGGCAGCTCTATGAATTAATTCACAGAGTCTAAACCATGAGCTCCTTCAGGGTAAGAAAGTGAGGGGAAGAAGTGTTCTTCACCTACTATTGCGTTAAGTTCCTAAATGGAGAAGAAGGATTGGATATGTTATTAAATTCTCCAAGAATGTTTTTATTACTGCTTCTGAGTTTTAAAAATTTGTTGGGCAGTTTTAGAAAGTAGTTTTGCAGTAAAGATTTAGGGATCATTCCAACACTTTTATATATTTTCTTCCTTCAGAAACTGCCTGTCTCACTGGAAAAGACGCAGAATCTCAC